ACTTGCCTGGATGTGGCAAAGGTTAACGATAATGATGCTATTTTGGCGCTTTTTCAACAGGGGGAGTAGATGACTTCTTTTCAAGTAAATATATGAATTGTAATGGCGAGGCTTTATAGACCTCGTTTGATTTCTTCTTCATAAACGGGCAATTGGCGATAAGACCAAGTCAGACTATAAATGCCGAGATCAGCGATTAACCTAGTGATGAGTAAAGAATGAAGCTCTTCCATCCCTAATTCTCGGTGGATGTCTGTTCATATCCTTCATTATGCTCACTCGTTCATCTTTGTGAATGGAAGCTATTACTTCCTCCTAAACTCGTTAGAAAGAGAAATTCAATGTTCTATCAATTACCCAGCAAAACCAACCAGGTACGCCACATCAATCGAGCGAATCTTTGCCAAGTATCCCCCAAGAAGTTGCTGCACGGCACCGTTTCTGGTGACATGAACCACGTGGAAGGTTAAACTTGATTTGGAAATGTCCTGCAGAGAGCCCTAGTCTGTCTTCCCAAACTCTCGGGGCCTTCGGCGCGTGGCTGGCCAATGCCGACCAATTGAAGTTGTCGAGTCAGATTGACATGCAGGTTGGGAAGCATTGCTACGTTACTGCATGATCCATGACCTCCTGAAATAGTATACACAACACCTTAGGCTTCAAATGACCACTCCCATATATTCCCATCAACAACAGCTACGGAACAACCAAAGTACTCTGTAACGGGGTTTTCCAAACCAACATTTTCCGTCAGATAGTTGGATTGGTCTTGATATTCTGAGTGCTTGATGTGATGATCATGGTCAGATTTACAACTGCAGTCACCTCTGTTGGAATTTTGGATATTCCGAACTGGCGAAGAAGCTAGGCTCAGCTCGGCAGATCCCAACACGGTGGCTGTAAGTTGTTATGGGTGCCGGAGAAGGGATCAATTGCGAAAGGGGGGCGATCCTGAATGATCGCCAGACTGACGCGCTACGAAGGATGATCCAATGGTGGAATTGAGATGACGAATGCTCAAAGAAGAACGCCGATCAACGATTCATCGTGATGGCCATCTGCTTATTTCCTACTTGGTCCTGGGGCTCTGCCTGTATAGGAAGTCTCTGGACGCTTTTGTCAATCCGTGTCAGGGCCTCGGTTCCTGACACCTGTCAATTAATTTCAATGCCCAATAAAATCCAATGCCGTGAAGACGCACATGGGCATTCGGGGGTTTTCGTGTAACTTTCCTCTTTTGCCCAAGTGCAATGGGGCAATGTAACGGCAAAGATGACATCTCCTTTCTGCACGATCTTCCATCGTTCCATTATGCCACCGAGAAGCTGCCAGGTCCGTGGGTCTTAAAGCTTATCTTAAGATGCTCTCACCAACAGTGTCGTATTCCGCATGGACTACCTGACGCTCATGCCCGGATGATGGCTAATAGGGAACGGTTAATTCGTAATGGCGAGCTATTTCGAGCCACCCACAACGGAGCCCCCTAAAACGTGTGTCTGGACTAGGAGAATTGGCATTCCTTTCTTGGCAACTAAACTATTTGCACGCCGCTAAAAGGCCCCAGCTAGCTCCATGCGTCGTTGGTCCTTCGTTGCAGGTGCCAATGCGTTATTATGCCGTCCTCTTCGCTGCTTCAGCTCAGCTTATGCTGACACTAACGCAGGCAGGCAGGAGCTAGCTCGTGATAGTCCAGGGGGATTGTTCAGTTGAATGTGTGGGCAGCAATTGCGAAGTGGTCCGCCTATATATGAATACCTGGGCCACAGCCGTCGGCCCGCCTCCTTCAGTGTCCCTTCATTTATTTTTCGGAGATCTTCAAATCTCGAACCGTATCTGGCTCTCACGAAATTATGGCGAATCTTCTCCCTGCATTGGCCGTTGTGGCCCTGCTGGTCGGCGGCTACCTCTGGCTGTCTGCAAGTCAGAAGCCCAAGGGCAAGCTTCCACCGGGCCCCAAGCCGGCCGCGCTGATGGGCAATGTCAAGGACATGCCGCCCCCGGGCGAGCCCGAGTTTCTCTTCTGGCACAAGCACAAGGCTCTCTACGGCCCCGTCAGCTCCGTGACCGTCTTCGGCCAGAGCTTTGTCCTCATCCACGGCCGAAAGGAGGCCCGCGATCTGCTCGAGAAGACCTCGATGAAAACCTCCGATCGCCCCGCCGCGACCTTTGTGAGTGAGATTTGTGGATATGAGAACACCGTGGTCGGCCACAAGTACGACAAAACCTTCCGCCACTACCGCAAGCTGCTCCACCAGGAGCTGGGCACCAAGGCCAAGGCCGCTCGCTATCAGAACATCCAGGAACTCGAGGCTCGACGAATGCTCCTCCGAGTCCGTGATGACTCTGCTAAGCTGCTCGAGCACTACAAGACGTATGTACAGATCCATCTCCCTGCTCTGCTGAACAGCCCCATGTGCTTCCTCCTCCTCCTTGTCGATGGCGTGAAAGCTAAGCGACCCTGTCTTCACCTAGAGCTGTGGGGGCAACTATCCTGAAACTGGCCTACGGATACACAATTGAGCCACACAAGGCCGACCCATTGGTCAGCCTCAACGAGCGAGTCATGCAACAATTCATCCTGGCCGTGACGCCCATGTCCTGGGCTGTGGACCTCTTCCCTGCCCTTCGTTATCTCCCGGATGGCTTCCCCGGGGCTTCCTTCAAGGCCAAGGGCAAGGAGTGGAGCGAGTGCCTCCGCACAATTGTCCATACCCCTTTTCGATTCGTCCAGAGTGAGATGACCTCGAACAAGAATTACCAGGAGTGTTACATTTCCAAGCTGCTGCAGAACCCTGATGGTGATGAGAAGGGCGCCGGGCCTGTCACCCTGAGCCCTGAGGTCGAGCGTGATATTGTGTGGTCTGCAGGCAGTCTGTACGCTGCTGGAGTGGACACCCAGGCACTCACCCTGGCTGGCTTCACCCTGGCCATGATCAGGTTCCCCGAAGTTCAGCGCAAGGCCCAGGAAGAGATCGATCGCGTCATCGGAACGCACCGACTGCCCTCGTTCGAGGATCGTGAGAAGCTCCCTTACGTCCAGGCCGTGTTCCTCGAGGCTCTGCGATGGTGGGCCGTCCTGCCCCTTGGTATTCCCCACGTTGCCACTGAGGCCTTTGAGTACGAGGGAATGTTCATCCCCAAAGGCTCATTCCTCATCGCCAACATCTGGTCTCTTATGCACGACCCTGAGACCTACGCCGACCCCGAGGCCTTTGACCCTGATCGCTTCCTCGAGCCTCGCAACGAGCCCGACCCTTCACCGGAGGCCTTTGGCTACGGGCGCAGAATCTGCCCCGGCAGACTCTTGGCGGAATCCACTGTCTGGGTCAACATCGCCAGTTTGCTGGCTACCTATAATATCTCACACGCTCTTGACAAGGATGGCAATAAGATCAGCGTGGACCACGTGAAGCCATCTGCTGGCACGACCAACACACCTTCAGACTTCCAGTTCAAGATCACCCCGAGAAGCGAGGTGCACCAGGAGCTGATCAAGACGTTCGAGGTTGAACACCCTTGGGACGAGTCTTCTGCTAGCCGTATTAAGATGACCTCGAAATAGACTGAGATGGTTGAAGACTTTGTAGATTACTTATGCATATAGACAATACAATGATGTGAATGTGATTGTAAAACGAAAAACTATTAGGCCCATTATAACACTCGAAGTACTTCTACTTAGAAGGCTCGAAATAGTTCTATGTGGTAAACCGATATATATTCAATTATGGGAGCCTAGTCTAACGCTATTGAGTACAAAAGTTGTTTATAGTTGATTCTTGTGCGATGAGAAGCCCGGTGTCGTAGAGAGACCTCGAGTGTCTCCCTGCCGCTAGATCACTGCAACAGCGTGATGGAGCCTGCGCAACAAGTTTTGCCGAGTCCCTGAGGCTATTGCTTGCAGAAGAGAGTGGTTTTCTCGGGCATTTAGTCAATTCTTTACATTGACAATATACGAATGACCTCTCATATGGGGCGATAACCAACTCGGAACATTCGACCCAGCGTTAATGAACGAGTTGACTGGCAGAATTGAACCCAAAGCAGTTTTTGGGGGCCTAAACTGGCATCAAGTGAGGCATGAAGAAGAGCTTCACACTTCAATAGCTTCTTTTATCCTTTCAGTCCTAAAGATGCTCCAACCATTGCCATGGTGTTAGTTGGGAGATACATTTGACTGCACGAGCTGCTAAGCACCGTAGAATGTGTTTACAGTAGCAGGATCAAACAATATGAATTGTCGATCTCGAGGATATCGTGTTTCATTTGTGATATTATTACTCAATGTCTAATAATAATAGTCACAGAATCAAGAGAAACAATATGCTATTCGAGTACAATAAATAAATTCTCATCATTCTATTAATCTATCTATAGATATCAGGATCTAACAAAAGGTTTCTTAACACTTATTTTATCCTTATCTCTAAGTAAAACCTTCTATAGCGCTCAAAACCTCCCTTTATAAGGGTAGAGATTAGGAAATTTTATACAGGAGGAAGATATACTCAGGACTGCAGGGAGAAAGAATGTTATTCGAGTATCTTAAATTCATTGTCGTCCAGCAGCACAGATGTAAAACCATGGCGGTAACAAAACTCTTCTTAGTGCCTGTATCAGGATTGTCCTCTATTGACCAGCAGGTCAACATATTTCCCTTAATAACCTTGAAAGATTAGGCCAGGCAGTATTCTCACAGTATCGTCTCCTACATTCCTCTTTTAGAAGTGCCGCGTGTACCTGTTGAGCCTTATGCTTACAAAGGGTCACAAGGCCAATCTGGTGCGAAGATGGCTGCATAATTCTTACTATTATGATTGGATCTGATAATGTTGGGTACAATGTTACATTAATGGCTTAGCGATTGCTGCCTAATGTTCAAATAATACCTCTCCCTCCTTTATTTAGTATATGAGCTACTTGACACATCGGCCGTCTTCCATTATCAGGCAGATCCTCATCCTTTTACACTTCCTCCATAAAACACTAGGATCATCGTCATGTTTGCAAAGTGGGAATTAAATCACCTCAGCAGCATTGACCATGACTGCACAGTCTGCCAACGCGAGAGAGATCTCCCACTCAACCCACGGCTCTGCGATAGCTGCAAGGGCTGGGATGATTTGATCCATGTGATGGACTGCCTGGAACCTGAATATCCTAAAATTAACCCCAACTGCTTCGGCTTGAAGTTCGGCGCAGATAGGGACCCAATCTTTCATCAGTCTACGAGCATAGAAGATTACGACCAAGACCTTGGAAGCCTAAACTATCGGCCCTTGGATCAGCATTCGTTTTCCACGGCCTGCATGCTGTGTTGTAGGATTGATGAAGAGATTCGCATCTCCATCAGCTCACAATCGCGCATTGAAGTTGGCGTCTGGCGGCCTTTTCCTGTCCCTCGGAAGGGCCATCAGATATTTCGCTGGTGGGAATTTGCCAGAGTTGACAAATTGGAGAATATGGACGAGAAATCAGTGAGATTGATATTGCCAGTTTCTGTCAAATCCAAGGCTACAAGAACACCAGAGAAGCTCTTCAAGACGTTGGTGATAGGATTTGAATTGCACTATGCCCACCTCGGCTACAAATTGGAAGCCATCACAAGATGGAACCATAGCCTGCTCGATCCTGGCATTGTCAAGGAATTCATTGGAAATTGTCGAGAACATCATAGAAGCCAATGCAACGAGCCTCGTTGGCCTGCGAAGGTCCCTCAGTTTTTCCGAGTCATTGATACAAAGAACTGGTGCGTTCAATTGGCCCCAGAAGAGCATTTCGAGTATCTCGCCCTCAGTTACGTCTGGGGGGCCCCAACACAGAGCCAGAGGGATATTAATATTCTTCAACTCGATACAACAACTCTCCCAGAATTGGAGCAAAAGAATTCACTGCGCAAATACTCTATCCCAGAAGTCATCCAGGATGCTATTAATCTCTGCGCTGATCTCGGCTACCAGTATCTGTGGGTAGACAGGTTCTGCATTGTACAGGATGACGGTAGCCATAAGCACAGTCAAATTGACGCAATGGGTTCCATATACCACATGGCTACGCTTACGATAGTCTCCCTTGGGGGATGCTCGAGTGGCGGGCTCCCAGGGGCGTCTTCTCGTCCTCGAGATACAAAAGAGCAATTCAAGCGATGGCGCCTTTCAATTGATGGAAGATACTCGCATGCTTTACCGCCCTCAATACACGATGAGGTCTCTACTTCGAAGTGGGATCAACGAGGCTGGACCTATCAAGAGAGGATCTTGTCCCGACGACATTTATTTGTGAGCGAAAATGACTTTTACCTCAGTTGTTCCAACGCAATTTTTGAATCGGATAGCGGGTGGAAGATCGATTATCGCCCAACACCACCATGGACAAATGTCCATTGCTATGGCTATGAAAAAGGGATTAGAAGTGTAGAAGGAGCAGACGACCCCACCAACTCACCTATGCGGATATATATGGACGCCGTTACTAGATACACGGCGCGAACGCTTACCTTTGATCAGGATGCGTTGAATGCTTTCGCCGGGGTAGGAAATTTGTTCGCTTATCAGCAACACACGAACTTGTTGTTCGGGCTGCCTGAAAAGTTCTTTTTTCAGTCTATACTCTGGCATCATGCGGGCACATCGAGGTCAAGGAACCTTGGAGCTGATATAAGCATACCCAGCTGGAGTTGGGCAGCGTGGGAAGGCTCAGTCTCGTATGAAACAAAGGAATGGCGCCGTAAAAACCATAAAAATTCCTTCGATGTACATACAAAAAATCTGGGCAGCCTCGTCACTTTTTACTACGTCGACCCATTGAGAGGATTGAGGCAGATACAGGATGGCAAGTCGTGGTTTTATGTGGATATCTTGAGCTTCAGCGATGATAGCCATGAACTTCAGGATCAATGTGAATACATGATCAGACTACGCTTGGAATTACGCCGAGAGCTGGATACAATGGATAAATATACAACCATAAAAATGTGGAGAAACAGCGTCCAAAACCCATGGAAAGCGATAAAACATGCCGAGATTCGAGATGAGGATGGTTCATTGCAGAGGAAATTCCCCGGAACGTTGGCATTTAATACAACAGTGGCTGCGCTTGAAGTGCGGGATTATCCTACTGCTGTGATGAATAATGATCCTGAAGCAAGCGGAAATGTACTGGCCGATTTAACAAGAACGGACTTCAACCTCGTCGCCGGCGACAATACTGTGGTTGGCCAGGTCTTTGTCAACTGTCGTGAAATAGATCTCCGAACGTTAAGAAGTGGTAAAAATTATCGAGTTGCTGTTATCGGCGCTTGCCTCTCTAATGGACCACTAAACAATGAGCCTTGGGGGTTGATTGTCATCATTCTTGGGGAACATGGAGGGATATATCGTCGCCTGGCTCTTGGGGTAGTCAACCTTGAAGCATGGACAAAGCTGAGACCCCAATGGGAAACTGTTCTTCTTGGATAGTCTCTAAGTGCCTACATTCTCGGCCTATGATCTCGCGAGAGCTAGATCGAAAAACAAAGCTCAGGTTCATTGCCTTTGACCTAGAAGATGCCGGTTAAATCAGGCCATAGCAAATCTCTTTGTCTAATGTTTGTCTTGATCTCGTGAGTCGGGGGAAATAGGTCGACATAATGCAGTTGGGTCAGTGAACGTTGAAGAGGTAGTGGTATCCCGGCCTCTTTTTCATGTAACCTAAGCCCCATTTGCCTAACTTATGTCCCTCACTATATGTTCTAGTTATCGTTATCTCTATAACCGAAGTGTGCCCTAGTTATCGTGAAGCAAGCTATTATTTCCGTGGTCCAATTCAACTGGGGTCAGTTCGATTGAGCCAGTTCAACTGAGCCAATTAAATTGAACTAAATCAGTGGGGTCTGCATCTTTGTCTCACCGACGTACTTAAGTGATGTCTCCCCGCGTTTATGCGGCACCTCGAGCGGCCAGAATCGGCAATGTAAGTCGGCACCCTGGGAGCCAACTGCATACACAACACCCCCTTTCGACGCAAAAGGACTTTTATTATATTTTAAACGAAGGAACTAATCCCGAACCTGATCTGATAGTGGTGGGGACAAAGTCCCGTCCGTTTGGCCCCCTACAAGGTCACTGAACGCATGCATGGTGGCGTCTGGGTATTCTCTGAAACAGCCTTCGTCAAGGCGATAGCAACACTTACCTACCAGAACGTTATTCACATCTATTTTGAAACCGGGGAAAATCTTCACTCGAGTGATGGTTGCATTTCCTGCAGACGGGTAGCTGGGAGATTAATGCAGGTGTGGTCGCCAAAACAAGGCTGCGACAGGTGAGATGACACAAGAACCAGTAAATTGCGCCACAACGCAGGTCGCCAAAAGCAGAAATGAGCTGATGCCGTTGGTTGGTAACGGAGAAAACGTCTGCCCAATCATATTTGCTCATGTCAAGCCTTGACGTTACTGTTCCCCCTTATCTCGTCACCTTTCTTTTTCTCTCTCCTCCCAACATCCCGGCCAGACCTCCATTACACGTATTGCCGACCACAAATTTGGCCTAGCGCAGATAGCTGAGTTCGACACGAAAAGCTAACTATGCAGGTTTATGAGCTGGGCAGGGTTGTGAGATTTGTTGGCTCTAAGGCTTCTGCGGCCGTTTCTTGGCCCAAGAAGACTCTGCACAGCATGCAACTATAAAAAGTCTGCAGATGCCCATATTTGCGCCGTCGGTTTGAGGAGCAATATCAGTTATCTGCCCCCTCCGTGGGAAGCGCTAGTTTCTGCTTTCAATGCATCATTTCCTCTGCCTCTATCATGGAGAGCTCATCTATACATACTGATCAGAAACGCATAGTGGAAGCGTTGAATGCCGTCGCCGTTGTTGCTCAGTTCGTTAAGAGGGCCAAGCAACCGACACTACTCCACGAAGAGGAGAGCAAAAAGCAAAAACGTTCCATTCTCGACAATCTCAAAGCTCTTCAACAGCTTGCCGACGAAGACAACGATGCAGAACTCGAGAACCTCATCGACATCGGCGTACAGTGGAAGGACTATAATAAACAACGCGGCAAAGATGCATTAGCGAGAGAGGACGATCAGTATCTAAACGATCTGATTAACAAATCTTTACAATCTTTGGAAAGGGCTTCTGCGTTCGTGAAGTCACTGCGTCGCCCGATCGCTGATCCTGAGACATGCCGCCAACGCCCAACCTCTCCCCAAGGCTCGGCCGAGAACGAACAGCCACCTATCCGCGAAACACAAAGCCGAAGCGAAGCACATCACGATTCAGAGCCTTTAAATGACCAATCCGATACATTTCCTCCTACTCCTGGGCCAAGCCAATCACCTGTGTCGAATAAACGAAGATTTGTCACCGCGCTAGACGAACCCCCAACACCGATCGCGGGCCCTACCATCGACTTCGAAGAGGTGTATCAGGGCGGCAACGGTCTCGTAAGATACACAATAATCGATGAAGCGCACACTCTTTCAGCCAACCCAGCTGTCAGCGGCCGGTGGTGGATATTGCGATGTGTCAAATGCGGCTGGCACGGAGCGTACCAGAGAAACCGGATGCTAGAATTTGGCAAGCGTCATGCCCCGGGGTGCTTTCGCGAGTTCAAATACACTGGCAAGGGCTCGGTAATCGATTTGCTTGGGGTTCTCGTCCTGAACTGCGACCCGGGCCTCTTCGCGATGAATAATGATGATGTCAAGAAGGCGCTTATCGACAAATCCTATGAACCAGCCTATCGAAGTCGAAATAAAAGGAAGCGCATGAATGTAACGGTACCACAAAGGGAGTCAAATGAGCCGCCGATAATCACAGACCCGAAAGTCGGGATACTTTATCTAGCTCATAGGCGTGATGGTCCCTTATTTGGGGCCATCGTCCTTCCATTGGGGGATTTTCGGTCTCGTGTGGGTATTCGAGGTAGCATATACGATCCACAACCCTTCAAAGCTCTACCGAATTGTTACCGCTTCCATACGGGCCAAAGGAAGTTCTTCTGGGCAGATGGGTACGAAGATGACGGTGAGAATGTCACGATGCGACAATTTCCGGTTTACTACCTCGATGGTCCCAGTGTTGAGATGGGGCATGTGCGATGGGTCTCTGCCGTTGACCTTGAGCCCTTCGATATTAAGAAAGTCGCTACCGGGTACGAAAAACCTACAAAGGAGTATACTCAGTTTTGTCAGTGTAACAACGGTATCAAACCTTTCAGCTATGGTACGTATGTTCAATTAGCACGATCTCTCATTGCTGTTGAAGCCATGATCCTAATACACTTATGCGGGCAGAGCTTTCAAAAGAAGAATGGCCATCAGGTAACTCGGACCATGGACAGAGTTTTGAAGCTGTCAATGGAGATCAGGAGAGCAATCGTCCAACTGAACCGACATCAGAGTCTCCCATTGTCATCGAAGACGACGAAGACGACGAAGCTTTGAGCAGCGGGCCTGATACCTCGAGACCTGAGGAGGAACAAACTCCTTTCGACCCTATTTCTGGCACCCAGGCACCTGTGCATCCAACAAACCTGGAGTCACACAACCAGGTTGATGACGAAGCCAATGGCTCAGATACTCCAGCTCCAAATATCTCCAATACCGAGAGATTTCCAAGCCCTCAATTTTACATACCATCAGAAATGGATATGGACGAAGAAATCCCTGAGGAGGAGCAGACAGTTCCGCCAGGACACAAAGCCCCAGAAGCATTAATGGACCTTGGAAGCTGTGCTTCAGCTACTGCTTCTCCCGTGGCGAACAGGACAAGGGCAGCTACGATGCAAGCAATCAAGAGCGAACATGACCAAGGAGCAAATGCTAACTCCGTGCCACACAATTTTCCTTCGGCTGCCAGTAGCAGGCCAACTGTCCAAAGGCACGAATATGGCTCCGGATTTTCCCACTATCAGTTTGCTGCAAATAGTCCGCAATTCTCCGTTCACGGATCAGATATTTCTGCTATACACGGATTATGAACCAAAATTTGATGGTAAATTATATATAAAAAAAGAGAGAACTTAAAAGGGTCTAATGGGTATAGTAATAGTTTACGCGTACACGAAAGGTTATCAATTTATATTTCCGTACTCGATATGTATAAATTCAATAATGGCGAGCCTTCGACGGGACTAAGCTCGTGAAGTAATCCGTGATCACTCTTCTGCCTCGTGAAACTTTCTTTTTCAAGAAAAAAAAAAACAGCTTTATCACTAAATTTTAGCTTCTGCTTCAGAAAGCATCCGTGTTGGACTCAGTTCTTTGAACATAGCCAAGAAATCATACGTCTGTGATGTCGGCAACCTGGACAACAAGTCAGACTTTGTGGGATTCATTCTGACGGAGGCTCATCTGGTCTCCTAAAAATTCCCACAAAGCCTTGCGCATAGCCGGGTCCTCGGAGTCATGAGCTACTCCGGGGACAATGGTTAACAACGAATCCACCCCGGCTGCAGTCCACGTATCGCGCAGCTTCTTAACCGTGTCAAGCCTGGACTCGTTCATGGGTGGTAGATCGTCCGCGCTGCCCATCACTTCCTCTAGCCATTCCCAAAATTCTGAGCTCCCGTGAATCTCGGTGTCTTTCTCGCCAACGACGAATTGCAGAGAAATCTCGTTTAATTTTTCCATGTTGACGGTAGTATTGAATATCTCTCCCACATCCGAAATTCCTTGAGGCCACGATTTGCTCTGATCAGGATACGTCACCCGACCGGGGGCTCCAATGCTGGCCGCAGCAACTCGATCGGGGTGAAGATAGAGGAATCTATGGGCGAACTGACCTCCACCTGAAAAGCCAGAGAGATAGATGTGTTTGGTATCAATGCCGGGCCAGCGGTATGCAACCTCATCGAGAATGTCCAGGAGTGCTAAGTCAGATCGAAGGCTGGCCGTGTGAAGGACCTTGTATGAACTTATATCATTAGGTCCCTCTACTCCTGCTGGAAAGAGTGGTGCCAAGACGGCACAGCCTATCTCATCCGCAAATTTGGGCAGCTGGTCGTCTACCTGTAGAGCGGTCATGCGACGGCTGGTTCCGTGGATATTGACAAGAAGTGGCAGCTTGTCTTGGGTTAAATTGGACACCGCGTTGTAGTAATCCTTGGGTACATATACTCCATAGGACACTCGAGGATCAGATCTGGACTGGATGATTGGGAAACCCCCGAGGAGGAATACATATTCGAGGTATTCTGCGGGCACATTGGATGTTGTTAAGGCGCCCTCCATCCCCGGAGGAATGGAGGCCCATGTTACCGAAATGAGAAAAGCAAGACTTATAGTAATATTGAGCCTCATGTTGCTTAGTTTCATAGTTGTGTCGACAAAGAAAAATAACCAGGGATGAAATGATAAAGCCAAGGTATGGGAGTTGATGCAGGGTGTGGTTATTTATACCTATGTTCTCGGCGATAAGATACCTAAATGATTTCAGGTGACAACTAGAACTTCTCGGGTTGTGGGTTAGACCGCATTATGTATCTAGAAGGTGGGAGACGGGTCAATCGGTTGTGGGCCATATAGCCTCGGGTTCCCTTCCTTAAGTGAGTAATCTCCTCACCGACCAAAGCCGAACTGGTGATGCACCCTGGTAGTTCGTTCTATCCTTGATCCTTAGAATGGTCGTAATAGTGGATTATTTGAGATGATCAACGATGTTTCGTCCCAAGGTTGTCAACTGACAGGGTCTTACGGACTTTGAAGTTACTCATTAAAGCCCGACGGGCTTTAATCGCACAACACCAGATATTAGCTAATTCATGGGCAAGCATGTGGCCATCGGAAATTGCACTTCAAGTCTCGCTTTGGGAATGGTTGAAATCTCAAGATAGGTTTGATGTCTTGGCCAGAATCAGCCACTGTTATGAGACAAGAAAGAGTTGTCGATTAGAGGATGCACGTAGACAACGGCCGCTATTCGTGCCTTAACACAAGTAAACTCACCACCCAAAGAGATAATATATATTCTTACTACTTTTGAGAAATGTTTTAAGAACTAGCACTTCGCTTGGCTTGATTAACTTTTGATTTGGTAGGTAAAAGGCTCGTTTGTCTACCTGCTATATTTCTCTGACCCAACATATAGACGAACCACTTGTATCCCGTCCTTGGCGGATAGAATCCTGTTTCTATGTGTCGCAAGAGCTTAAAGAGGAGGTGAAAGATATTTTCCGGTCCTAAGCGTCGCCACGTCTGCGATTCTGGGCTTCTCCCCCTGCTTTTTTCATCGCCGCGTCCATCTCTACTTTCTTTCGAGACTCTTCACGCTTTCTTCGAGCTTCCTCTGCTGCCTTGCGCATGCGCTCTTCTTCCTCTGAGGTAGGGATCTTAAGAAAGCTGCCACTGTCGGTCATTTTGGCACTGGAGCTGCAAAGCGAAATGTCTGGAGAAAGGATTATCAAGACAAGAGCATACGTTGATCGATACTCTGAGAGGGCGTACCACTGGTTTCAAAAGCTAACGGCGATACTGATTGTTCGTCAGTTAAACAATGTAATATCCTAGAGGCAAGAGGAAGGCTACAGATGAATATATAGTCAGGAGCTAGGCACTGCTTCACGAGCTGTCGAATCTCAGTTGGTTACACCGTTGGCCGCTCATCACATCCTCTAGGCTTTTGTTTGTCTAATTTTGCCGCCTTTCACAAAGCGACCTATACAGATTCAGGTGGCATACGCCAGAACAAAGGCCGAAATTAGGCATACGGGCCGTGAAAAGGTCGGGCCACGGTGGTTGGACAAACAGTTCATGCCAGCCAACATTATTCCTATCACACTATCTTTATCCATCCTCTCCTCGAAAGCCTCATCAAAGTTGCTTAGAAGGCTTGCATAGTAACGAATCTTTAGACGAACATCTTCCAGGTGCAGGCCGATATTGCAGGGAACAATACAGCTCGTGCCTGTGGCCCACCTTTTGTTACCAAGTCCCACCCGTTGGTAATAAAAAGTGGACCGCCGGCATGAGTTTAGTGGCTCGATGAAGGGAGCGGCACGGATGAACCTTCAGCCGAGACTCGGCTGCTAGAGTTGGCTACCCTAGACCTCTTCCCTTTTGCACACTTCTAGGTTCCTACCTACCTAGGTAGATTCAAATAATGAATGGCCCTCTATTTTGTATTCTTGACTCTTTAAATTCATGAAGTCTCCGAATGCGAGCGATCCGCAGTTAGGGATTGAGATTGGATATGTTTGTCGTTTTGCATTACTTATGTTGTCCAATTAGGCTAATACCACACGCTGGCTTTGTGTTAATAAAATAGGATGGACGCTTCACACCACTCTTCTAAGCAAGGGTCACCCTTCTACGTCTACGGAACTAGCAAAGGGATTCTCCAAGTGAACAGAACTTAATTCACAGATATTCGCATCCCAATCAAACCTTTGGCGAGCTTTGTCGCGGAGCACTTGACTATCTCCCCATTGCTTCTTATCACCACGTGCCGGGGCGCGTTTGGCTGTGGGCCCTGGGTCCGAGTTTTTAGTGGTCGAGCAAAAAGAGATACCCACTAATCCACAGGGGCTGGCAAATGAGTCTGTCGGTGTGCGCAATCCCTCAATCCCCTAACGATTGAGATCTGAGTTCCAGTCCAACGCTTCGATCCCCGTCAATTTCTGTCTGCCTACAAGGGGACGCTTGATAGTACGCGATGGAGACTGCCTCTTATCTCGTCATTGGCGGATGCGGCCACCAGGGCGCCCACATCGTGAGGGTCCTCCTCGAAAAGTATCCCAAGGCCAAGGTTGCTGTCATGAGCAGGAACCCAAACGTGAACACCTTCCCGGGAGCACAATATCTGTAAGTATCTACCGAGGATACGCTGGCTTCTGTTCTCTGGTATGCTTACCAGTAGTCCGCGGTAGGAAGGGCGATGTGACGTCCTCTGACGATCTCCAACGCGTCTTTGGCATCTGCAAGCCCCTGGTTGTGTTCCACACTGCGGCATTGATCGTGGCGTTCAGAAAGAAGCAGCCAGACGCATTGATTCAGGCCGTCAATGTCGACGGAACTCTCAAGGTCATCGAAACCTGCAAGAGCTTTGGGGTGAAGGCACTCATTTACACAAGCAGCACTTCGGTGATGCACATAGACCAATCCAAGCCTATGACGGATGCTCTGGAATCGGGCCCAGAAGTCGACGAAAACTCGAAAACAAATACATACAACAAGTCCAAGGTACACATCCCAGTTCTATATCTCAATCGCCCCGCTCATTAGTATCTAGGCTGAGGCAGACCGCATAATTCGTGCTGCTAATGAGGATAATGGCCTGAGGACCTGTTCTCTGAGGGTCGCCGCGATTTACGGGGAGTTTGACACAGAGCAGCTCCCAGGATACCTCAACGTCCTTCGGTCAAATCAACACTGGATGCAAATCGGAAAGGGAGAGAACCGGATGTCCGTAGCATGTGAGTCTCCAGCCTGGAACCTTACGCGAGGCGAAGCTGTTCTCATGGATAGCTCTTTATCTTCACTACAGTTAGCTAACATCTTACTCAGATTCTGGAAACGTAGCACACGCCCACATCCTTGCAGCAGAGAAGCTTCTTGCTGGAGCCGAGGGTGTAGCTGGTGAAGCCATCACTATTAGTGACGGGTCTCCCAAGTTCTGGGAGCATGGGCGTGCAGTATATCGTGCCGCCGGGACTGACGTCAAGCCAAATCAAATCATCCGAATCCCTTACGGTCTCATCATTATCGTTGCCCTGTTCGAGGAGTTCCTTGCCTGGGCCATTGGAAGACACCCGACGCTGACGCGCGAGTCGATCCTGTTCTCAGTCAACGACTATACTGCTAAGAATGATAAGGCCAAGAAGGTGTTGGGCTACGTTCCTCCCGTAGGCTATGAGGAGAGCTTGGAGAGGAGTGTCAAGGTGAGTGATGATTCTAGTTAAATTCTCTGATTTATTCTGACTTGAAGTAGTGGTGTTTGGAGAACATCGAAGAGCTGAAGAAGTAGCCTGCGGTTGTCCATTGAGAGGGGGAGTTGGGGTTTGGATGCGGAGGTCTGTATCATTAGAGGTTTAGACTGGCAAATCACGGCGCAACTCATAGCTTTCTCCGAAATGATGTCAATGCAAACAGGCTGAGACTTGAGCTAGCTCAGCCTTGTGAAGCTGTTGGTTGAGTCGGTGTTTTTGTTGACCCGATACACAGTGCTTTGTCATTTATTGGGGGGAGAATTGTGGAGAGCCGCTGGAAGATGCCGAGGCACTTCTATTTTCAGGGACCGAAGTGGATATTCGATTCACATCAGACGAAATACTCTGCAGACTTTTCGTAGCAGGTGGCGAAGTAATTGTCAATCCTGAAGATGTCTGAAGAATTCTCTGATGACCGACAGCCCATCTTGAGTGACTGCTATCGAATACACCATAATCTGACAGGCAGGATTCCCATGTAGGGGCTGAATCCTGGCGTGCTGATAGCCTTATACAGCCAAGCGAACCTCGGCTCCTTGCTAGCGCTGAGATTAGGTGCTTATTCTGCTCAAATTTAGCACGAAAGAGAGCATAACCCTTGAGCCTTGGCTGGTCTAGTTACTGCCAGGAACAACTAAAGAATTTTCTACAGTGATGTGACGAGGACATGCCGCCACTAATGTAGACAATGTATCCCGTATCCGGCACACTTTTTCCTTGTCCTCCATCTGCCGTATCTGCCGCCGCGGGGAGAAGGCCTAATTCGTCATTTCTCCGAGACAAGGCCCTACGAAGGGATGTCATCACATCATCATGACTGCTTAGAAATGCATTCCACTCGCCGTTCTGATCATCCAGCTCGATCCGCCATTCCGGAACTCCGTCTCCGTCTCCGTCTACGTATTTTATCGTTTGCTTGAGTACACGGCCGTTTCTAGTATTTAATAAAGTCAATTACCTCACCACGTACATCACAAACAAACTCCTCACTCTTACAATACCATCATCCTCTCCAGCATAATCACGCAATCATGACTCAAAATAAAACCCTCATCTTCAAGAAGATCCCCACTGGCCTCCCAGTGGAGGGAGAGCACCTGGTAGTCGAGGATCGCCCCATCGATCTCACCAAGGCACCCGAAGGCGGCCTCGTCATCCAGAACCTCTATGCCTCCTTCGACCCCTATCTGCGCGGCAAGATGCGCGACCCTGCCGTCAAGTCCTACACCCCCGCCTTCGAGGTAGACCACCCCATCGCCAACAGCACCGTCGCCAAGGTCCTGAAGAGCGACACCCCCGACTTTCAGGAGGGCGACCTCATCAAGGCCTTTGTCCCCATCGCTGAGTACGCCCGCGTTGAGAAGGCTCATCTCGCCTTCGCCCGCAAGATCAATAACCCCTACAACCTCGACCTCGGGCTGTTCCTCGGGCCCCTGGGTATGCCCGGGATAACTGCCTGGTCGGGCCTGTACAAGATCGGTAAGCCCAAGAAGGGCGAGACCATCTTCATCAGCTCCGCTGCTGGCGCCGTCGGCCAGGTCGTGGGGCAGATCGCCAAGCGCGAGGGACTCCGCGTTATTGGCTCTGTGGGCTCAGATGAGAAGCTGGACTTTATCGTCAAGGAGCTTGGGTTTGATGCTGGGTTCAATTACAAGAAGGAGAAGCCTCATGATGCGCTGCCCCGATTGGCACCTGAGGGCATTGATATTTACTTTGAGAATGTCGGCGACGATCATCTTGAGGCTGCTCTTATCAGCTTGAACACCTTTGGCAGAATCCCTGTCTGTGGAATGGTAAGTCTGAGCATCGATTGCATCGAATTACATCAGTACGATGACTGAAACTAATACATCGCGGTCTAGATTTCCAACTATAACACACCCAGGGACCAGCAGCGAGGTGTCAAGGGTCTCTTCCAGATCGTCACCAAGCAGCTGACGCTACAGGGCTTCATCCAATCAAACCCCGAGTACGGACCTGCCTATGCACAGGAGCACCAGGAGAAGATGCAGCAGTGGTTCAAGGAGGGAAGCGTCAAGGCCAAGCTGCATACCACCGAGGGCATCGACAAGGCCGCTCATGGCTTCATTGACATGCTGACCGGCGGGAACTTTGGCAAGGCAGTGCTCAAGCTCAACTGATTACGACTGTTATGAAATGGGAGGGTAGCATTTAAATATGAATTTAATATGATTGCATCTGATCTTGCATTACCATATTTGACTGGGATTGAACAATGGCCAAGCATGAGGGTTCCAAACTTAAGTGAGAAATAATTGATGTTCAAGTCATTACTGAAACCGAGGGAAATCGAATACTCGTTGTTCAGTATCCACCTTGCCACATATATTCAATGGCACGACATATGGGTTAAGATAAAGCTCGTGTAGTCTCTGCAGCGGGATCTACCGCGCATAGGAACAGGGATAGGATGTAGCGGATACAGTTGGTGGAGGCGAGCTCAATGGTCAGTGAGAGGAACAATACGGCGAGAGTGCCTTTGCTGATATTGTAATCATATCGTGTGGAAGTATATGGTGCATTCCGTTTTATTCAAACGGGAAAAGTTACTTGAAACGGAAGAGATGCCCATGTTACGAATCTAGATTAACATGTGTTGCTTTTGAGATGACAAAAGACAACTAAACAGACCACTTGCAGCGCTCTCTTATATCCGCGTGCCACTTGTTTCGTCTGACATGCAATGCGACCAACCCAGCTCAAATTCATCGGATCAGGTGACCCCCCAAGCCGACCTTCGGAGCCAACCTGCAGCCAATTGTTGCATTCTCCGGGTTCAGGCCGCATAATCTTGGAGGGTTGACACCCTTGTCTGCCAATGAAAAATACCTTATAATTACGGCCAGACCGACATATCGGACTCTTCCCCTCTTTGTTCACATCAACTTTTTCTCTTAGTTGGGTTTTGATTTGGAAGTAGGCTATCGAAACGTGATAATCATGGGGATAACTACTACCATCGAAGCACCACTGGAAGTGATTAATGTGCCCTTCCAGAGCAAGGACCCGGGTCCCGTCTCTCGCCAGGGCGATGGCGGACTTGGACCTGAGCCATCACAGCCAGCTACCCGACTGTTCACTATTGAACCTGTGTCAGCCGGGGACTCTCACCCAAGGCTCGTCATTACCACCCTTCTAGTGACCCTGAATATGATACAGGTAAAGAATCTCGAATCATCTGCCTTCTATCGTTTAGAACTTGGCTAATGGATGGTGCCAAGTTCTTGTACAACTTCATCACCATCGTTGGTGGTCTGACGCTGAGCGTGGAACTTGGCCGAGAGACCGGTGTTGGTCAAGCGAACTGGATGGCAGCATCATATTCGTTAGTTCCCCCCAAGTCAAGAGTGCATTCACCGACCCGGAGAACTATCCGTTCACAGCTGATCCATTATTGCAGACTAACCCAGGGTGCCTTCGTCTTGATCACCGGCCGCCTTGGCTCCATCTACGGACATCAGAACCTGGTGCTCGCCGGCTGTGCCCTCTTCTCCATCTTTGTTCTTGCCAACGCTTTCTGTCGCGACTACATCTCTTTCGTGGCTATCCGAGCTCTCGCTGGTGTCGGAGGCGGGATGTTCATGCCCAACGCCGTTGCGATTATGACCACGGTCATTCCCCCAGGCCGATCTCGTAACCTTGCTCTGGGCTTCTTCTCTGCTGCGCCTCCCATTGGGGGCGTGATCGGTGCCCTTCTTGCTGGCCTGTTTATCGAAATTGTTGGCTGGAAATGGCTTTTCATTCTGATGTGAGATTCATCCAGGTATCTGTGCTCTTGTGTAGCTTGTGCTAATCTCTTCAAGCGCCGGGTGCTCTATTGCCGTCACAGGTGTTCTCGCCTGGGTTTTCCCTCGGGAGCAGCCCATTGATCGAAATGGCAAAATCGACTTTGTTGGAGCCTGCCTGGGCCTCTTTGGCCTTCTTCTTTTCAACGTTGTCTGGAAGTGAGTATTGTGGCCCGTGAATTTTCAAACGACGGCGAAACTGATAAAGAAAATAGCCAGGCGCCGAGCGTGGGATGGGACACACCGTACGAGATCGCATGTCTGATCCTGTCCGTGCTCTTATTCGCATCATTCATCGCGTGGGAGAAGTACTGCGCCAAAGATCCGATCATGCCCGTGCAAGTCTTCCGGGCTCCTACATTTACTGCTCTAATCTTTGTCGTGCTGCTCACTTACATGGGCTTCTCCATCACGCTCTGATATTCGGTATCTTGGCAACAGATTCTCAGGGATCTATCCATCCTGAAGACAGGCATTCACTTCATCCCGTTTGGAGGAGGCGCAGTCATCGCTGTCGCTCTCGCGGCCTGGCTCATCTCTCGGGTGGCAGCACAATGGATCCTGGCCATAGGCATCGGCACAGTCATTGTGAGCAATCTTTTGCTGGCGACTATGCCCATCCAGCAGACGTACTGGGCAGGTATCTTCCCTGCCGTGCTGCTGTCTAGCTTCTGCCCCGATCTAGCTTACGTTGCAGCCCAGTTGATCGCGAGCAATAGCGTCGGACGTCGCCATCAAGGTGTGGCAAGCAGTCTTATTGGTACGCTCAACTTGTACGGAAACAGTCTGGGTCTTGGATTTGCTGGCACCATTGAATCGCAAGTGTCTAATGGCCATGAGATTGGGGACATCGTTTTGGGTTATCGAGCGGCATTGTATTTTGGTATGGCTTTGGGTGTGGTTGCACTGATTCTGAACTTTGCTTTCGTTCGGATGCCAAAGGATCAACGCCAAGGCTGGGATGAGACACTGGAGTCTGACCTGCCAGAGAACACATCGGCTCTGGCTTCAGCTGTGGATAGACGGATGGTGTCTTCTCTTGGGTGAGCTGCTATTCACAACCTAGGCACTTCAGTGCTCATTACAAGCGGCCAGCGCATTCAGGGAACACGAAAAAGTGGCACAGCGGTATGTGTTCAGTGACAACAATGGCTACGTAAATCTCAACAGAACTGCGATTAATTTGCATACTTTGGTTTCTCGTTATCTCGTGGTGGGATTTAGTGAATAGTCTTGATATGTTACTATACCTGTCTGTTAATTCTATCTGACTTGAACAGAGGAGAAATTTTAGTACCCTAACCCAAGAAGAGTAGCATAGATATTTAAAGGGTTATAACACTTTCTTGCTTGAATCATCGGTCAGTTATCTAGCGAGCAGTGCCCGGGGTGCAATATTCAGCTGAAAAGCCGCCCACCATGTCAGCTCTGCAACAGTTACATCGGCCTCCAAATGAGCTGACCACACTGTAGCCATAGCCACCAATGGTCAAGATCACCTGCTGCATGACTGCCTGACTGCACATATGTGCGGGGGCTAAGCCACAACGATCTACCGTCCTGATCACAACCTTAAGATACAAACCATACGTCATTATGTCTGCATGTTGAGTTGATGAGAGACAAACCGCCCATATCATGGATCCGTTTTCTTCTCTTAGCTTGGCGACGTCGGTTGTCCAAGTAATCGATTTCAGCTCAAAATTACTCTCCGGCTCCTATCAGATTTACCACTCCGTCGATGGCCATACCGACGATGACCGGGAGCTCAGCGAAAGGGCGGCCGTTCTTCGAAAACTGGCCTCGACCTTGACAAAGCGAACTGCACCAGCCACTACCGACAGGATTTCAAAAACCGTTGATGGTCTAGCTATTGAGAAGGCCCTGGTGTCGACTGGTTTGGATGTCCCGGCGCACGCTGCTGATCCGCTCGCTGGGTCGCAGGGGGAAACAAATGCCGCACAAGATGGACATACTTCTTCTAGAAATCATGAAATGGGGGCGACTGATACTGCATTCCCTGGCGAAGGTCCCGGTGACGAAGCCATGCCGGTTGGGTCAAATAACACGCTTGGGATTGAACAGGCGTACCGCAAGCTCCAGAAATTGAGATCCAGGATGCAATCGACCGCGGATGCATTCGTTCCCGAAGACGCACAACGCAGCGAGCAAGAAAAAGGCATCCAAACAGTTGCGGCCGGGTGCAGCGAGATGGCCAAGAAGATCGAAAGCACATTGGAGAAGCTCCGCGCAGACCCCAAGAATCAGAAATTTCGGACGCTCGTGAGCTTTCGGCAAGCCTTCCTCAGAACATGGAGCGAGAAGAAGATACATGAGATGGAAAAAGCGCTCGACAAGAAAAGGAGCGATTTGATCCTCCACTTGGTGGTGGTTATGAGGTAGGTGTATGGCATCACACTGTGTATAGTGTTCATTGTTGATGGATTGGATGCAGTGACCAGCAGTCTAGCGTTGTTAGAGAGCTCCGTACGTTGCGAGAGGTCAGCAATCGTCTTGGGTCAGCATATACGGAGCACTTGGACAGCATCACGAAATCCTTCAAATTGATTCAAAGCCAGGCGGGGAAAGAGTCAGACTTGAGGCGGAAGAACCCGAAGGCTTATTACCAAGAAAGCAACGACAAGGACGGCAACGATGGGAAGACGTTCAATCTATTCAATCTACATATAACTCCGCACAAGAAGTCACTGGAACAAGGTGATATCGTAAGCTACGAAGAGAGTGCACAGGACCTTCGCTACCTGGCTGAGGCTCTCTCGCTCCTGACCTCAACGGCGTCCAAGGTAGCAATCGCCCAGAGGGTTCTCGCAGGTCTCCATTACAAGACCATGATGATGCGGATGGAGAGTGTTGCCGAAGCATATGCGGACACTTATGAGTGGATATTTAAGACACCGCGAGCAAGGGCTAAGAAAAACATCAAGGTGTACTTTTACGAATGGCTGTTGAAGAAAGATGGGATATTCTGGGTATCGGGCAAACCAGGCTCAGGAAAGTCGACTTTGATGAAATTTCTCTGCGACCACGCCCGAACCGAAGAAGCCTTGTTAGAGTGGGCAAAACCACTGGATCCAGTCGTGTCGACGCATTTCTTCTGGAGCTCGGGAACCGCCATGCAGAAATCACAGGAAGGCCTCTTCAAGTCCCTTCTGTACGATGTGTTTAGAAAATCACCTGAAATTATGAGAGCTGTCTGCCCTCAACGATGGGCGGCAGGCAGAAGAGGAGAAGGCGAACTGGAACCTTGGACGATATCAGAGTTGCGCCGAACACTAGTTTCTCTTGCGAGGTGCTCTGGCCTACCATACAAATTCTGTTTCTTCATTGATGGGCTTGATGAATATGAAGGTGACCATTCGGAGATGATCACCGTTCTAAGATCGTTGGCCACTTGCCCAAATATTAAGCTATGCGTCTCAAGCAGGCCGTGGAATGTCTTTGAAGATGCTTTCGGCAACACTGATACTAGGAAGCTATACCTTCAACACCTGACCAACGACGATATACGGCTTTATGTACGGAAGAAGCTCGAGGAGCATCCAAATTGGCAGGTTCTACCAGAGGAGCATGATATCTATCGCAGCATATTGACAGAAGTAACTACGAAAGCGCAGGGGGTGTTTCTGTGGGTGTATCTCGTTATCCGCTCGCTCTATGAAGGCCTCACCAATGGAGATCCATTGCGTGCATTAGAACGAAGGATCCGCAGATTACCGGCGGACTTGGAGCCGTTCTTTAAGCATATGCTCAACTCTGTGGACTCATTCTATCATGCGCAGATGGTTCAAACCTTTCAAGTGGCACTGGGTTCACCTAGTCCGCTTCCTTTGATGATTTATTGCTTCCTGGATGAAGAATACGAACATCACAACTTCGCGCTTCACATGCCTTTTAAGCAAATGCCAATGCTTGAGGTAGAGCGCCGACAAGCACAATTGCGTAGACGGCTGAATGGAAGATGCAAGGGGCTTCTGGAGGTGCATCAGAATGGGGGTGAGGGCAAGCACTTGGGTTACCGTGTGGATTTTCTTCACCGTACAGTCCGAGATTTTCTTCGGACCAAGGAAATGAGTGACTTTCTAATGGATACGGCCACGGAAGATGGGCCAAACGCGCTGATTTTCAAGACCTTTGTTCCGTTGATCAAATCGATTCCCTGGGAGGAGATGGATATGTCAGAAGATGGCCCCTTGTCGATCATCTTAATGGATGCAATGCACTACGCTTACAAGGCCGAACAGGAGTCCGGAAAATCTCAAACGGAGCTCCTTGAGGACCTTTCTCGTGCACTGCGATTCTATGCTACTACAACGGGGAAGCCCATTCCTTGGTATAAAGGGTGCTATTCGAGGTCTAAGAGTATTCCTGGATACCCCCCTTGTCAGACCTTCTTGGAATTTGCGGTGCAGAATGGGTTATGTTTATACGTAGAGGAGCAGCTTCGGCAAAAACGAGAGCCTCTTGACGTCAAACAGCCACTATCGCTCTGCGCGGTCGCCCACCTACCCCCTTATAAAATAGAAGCACCAGACCTAGGCGATATGGTACGTCTTCTTCTCGACATCCGGACGCCAGCTACGCTAGACTCGGTTGATGACCTTTGGACCGCGTTCATGTCGACTTGTGGAGAGATTAATGATAATCCGGACTATTTCCCCAACATTTCCAACATGGTTAGGCACAGACAAGGAATAACGGAACTGTTGTTGGCCCGTGGCGCCAACCCAGACACTCTCTCGCATGACTCCATCCCCGCCTGGTGGGACTTTCTCGTGAGCTGTGGATGCCGGAATATTCCTTCTTCAGCATATCCGCACCTGCTCCAGACTCTCAAACTTGTCCTCCCGGCTGGCGTTCGTTTCTCTGGCCGAGGTTGGAGCGTGTCAGATGCGATAGATCAAATCATGTTTGATGGCTATGATGACTATGTCGAGGTAGCGGAAAATCCCGCCGCGCGACTTGAATTTCTCTCGGAAATTTGTTGTCTGGTGATTTCGCACGGTTTCGAGTTATCAGCATCACAAAGAGATAACTTAGAGCTAAATTATCCGGCTCGACTCGTTGCGTCAATCTTTTCGACTATAGAGGAGCAAACTTCCAAGGCCGAAACAAAGCCCCAGCGCAAATACACTGATTATTTAAGTATATGGAAACTGGTATCATGGATGAAAGGTGGAGGTTAGTGGCAATAGCTCTGCCACTCCTCTTTGGGCCGCTTGTACTCCGAATATTGATTCCTATGTGAAATCAATTACGTTCTTGGGATTCAAGGTGTGTGGTATTAATAGTAAGTGAGGGAGCTGTATAGCTGCTGAAAAAGAAAAGGGGGAAAATTCCCAGACACCAGTAATTTGATAACTTGATACCATACCCAGGCATCACAACACAATAGTGTGGTATTAATATGTTGTCAATAAAAAAAACAGACATAACCGGCCAACAGCTGGCGAGCCTGAAATACAACCATAATTAGCAAGGCCCATACTCTGTTGGTTTGCACTGGGATCTCCCGCAGAAACATTCACGGATTTTACTGTCCATCATCCTATTACTGTGGCAGAATCTCTCACGGTTGATAATCACTGATTTCTCATGGTAACGAGGCGAAAACTGGATAGGTTTTGATCAAAGAATCCTACTGCACCAGCATCAGAACCCGCCTATAAGTATGGAGACTATGGATTTCAAATCACAAGGCAACATTTCTATCTCTTCGTCAAGCCAGCTAACTACTAAACTAGAGAGAATAGAGCGTAGAAGACTAGAAGGTGACGCAGCTGCCAAGACTATCAAACATGCGTTTGACAGTTTGGTGTGATTGGCTAGATACGGCTCATACCCTGGCCCCCTGGACGTGGCTTTGATCTCAATAAACCCTGCAGCTGCTTGAGTTTTGCGCGTCTCCAACTCTTAGCCTCGATCAACAACACTGCCTGAGTGAGCACGGTACGGCGTTACGCCATGTCGCAACAAACGCCGGAGTATGAGTACACGCCCTTGACCGGACACGAGATCATCCGCGTACTTGTCCTCCACCCTGCCGCTACAGATAAGGAAGTGATTCAATGCTCATTCCGCGAAACTCCCCTCTGGAGAGGCTGCTCAGATTCGCCCTGTGCCTACGAAGCCCTGTCTTACACGTGGGGAGAACCCCGAGGAACACGCCCTATCCTATGCCATGGAAAGACACTTCTCATCACCCCAAACTGCGAACAGGCGCTTCTTCATCTCCGTGGAAAGAAAGAACCACGACAGCTATGGGTCGATGCTATCTGAATTAACCAAGACTCGACAGAAGAGAAAAGTGAACAAGTGTCCCTCATGACATTAATTTACCAGTGTGCCCTCCGTACTATCATATGGCTTGGTCAAGACACGAGTACGCAAATCTCAAGCCTCTTGCGAGAAGCGTGTCCTCTCCAAGGCCGGCCGTCTCGCCGTGCCAAAGCGTCCAAGAAACTACGCAAGTTATCTCGAATCATACGTCGCGATCCTCTGAATCCCTTGATCGGCGAGCCAGGCGAAGAATATTATAGCGAAGGAGATCAGGAAGCCTATGGTTTTTTTGAGACTGGTACCGGTGAGTCAAGGGTTTCGAATCTCAACAGACATTACTCGTGTGACTAATGAAATCAAAAGGTCGTACGGAGAAGGCCAAAGAGCTCTGCTCAAATCAATGGTTCCGCAGGGTTTGGACAATTCAAGAGTTTCTTCTATCAGAGTCCTCGATATTCCTTATGGGAAACGTGCAATGTCCTCCACGTGACTTGTACATCTACCTCAAAGACCTCGTGCCTCTCCGCCATGCGGACTTCGACCATTATCGGCTGAGGCACAAGTTCTTCAACTTCGGACCTAAGCAAGGCGAAACGGCGTTTCAAAGCTTCATGGACCACACAATCCGCCTGATAGAACAGAACAACGCGACGGACCCACGGGACAAGGTGTACGGCATGTCGGCGTTTATAGAGAGTAAGTGGCCCGAAATCCAGTTTCCCGCCATTGATTACTCGCTCTCCGCCATGGAAGTCTATGAGAACTTTACGCGGGCCATCATTGTCGCGTCGGGTTCCCTTTGGCCCCTAGAGCTGGTGGTCGGAGCGCCAGAATTCGACACGGGCCCGACAACATCTTGGGTATTAGACCTTCGAGGACCTGGCCATTTGGCTCCAGCCCAGGATCCGGACTATCTGCGCTTCGACTGGAACTGCTATGATGGGTGGAAGCCGGGCCCTGGTAAACTTGCTACTGAGATACTGCGAGAGGAGAAGACGTTGAAAATACGCGCGAGGCGGGTCTCTGAGGCTGTCCATGTGATCAAGGCCAGGGAGGGCTTAGGATCTATGTGTTCTTTTGAGAGTAGGTTCCTGACAGAGACCATGGATGAGTTATGCCCCGCCCAAAGCCCAGGCGATGTACAAGCGGGAGACATTGTATATACCGCGGAAGGATCTAGGGTCCCGCTTGTTCTGAGAATTCGTGATGGGTCAAATGTTATTTTCATAGGGAGGGCAGACATATCCACTTATAGTTTTAAGTTCATGTACGAGCAGTTTGATCCTGCCGCTTGGACAGACGAGACACACATAGAGTGTCTGGTCTTGGCATAGGCGTAGAAAGTAGTATTTACCACCAATTTTTGAGAATAAGGTCCGAAACCCATATTTACTACTTGGTAAATGTAAGAAGAGTCTGTTTCTGGTGATAAAGTCGACCAAAACTGACCGACTGAGGGAATAGCTGGCTCTTAATGAACGAAAGGGGCACACACAAAGCCTGAAATTATGCAGTTAATGTTTAGCATCAGCAACTCCGTTTCATCAGATGGAAGATCATTGGTCCATGCTCACATTTGAGGGCATTTGTGCCGTGAAAGCTGCGGAGGGTAGCAAGTGAAGTATTAAGTTATGTGCTTGCTACATCCACTCCCCAGCACTCGCGGGTGGTGTACACACAAACTAGGAGGAACTCACAGACACGTTCTCCTTCTGATACAAGCAGTGACTGGGCCTATTGTGACCCTTCTCCCACCTCCGTACCCCGCTTTGTGAATCCAACTTCTTAGGCCACTCACTCACCTTCCCTCTCTCCTTTTCATCCTTTTTCCTATCTTTTCAAAGAATCTCAACGCAGCTTTTGCGCTTCACCACAGACTTCTCTTCAGCCGTCTATGACTGGATACACGCTTCCCATTTGCTACACTATCATCCTCTTGTCTTCAACACCCGAAACTTCCTTTCCAGTCGACACAACCGCTCCTCTTCTCCATGGGCACAACAATCGCGTCTTCTGCACCCGAACCAATGAAGCTACGTCTCAACAGGCCTCCAACCTCTACAGGAGGGGTTGGTCGTGCATCCCGGGCAGACAACGTTCTGCCTGAGCTGTCTAAGCTCGCTCCTTCTCAGTGGGATCACATGCTGGCTGAATACGGGCTCGCGCCGATGAAAGACAACCTCCGCCAGCAATGGCTTGCGATGAACAAGAACCAGGCGAAGCCCCTCGTCGAAAACATGGTCCGAACCATGATGGAACATGCCAAAAGTCCGGTTGCAAAATTCAAGAACGCATACAAGGCCCAAGTTGATAACCTCTTGTCAAACAACTGCCATCACGTCACGGACTGGAGCTGGCCAGCGCTTGAGCTTGCTCGTGATGAGATCATGCAGGTCGCCTTCATCCAAGAGAACTATAAACGGACCGCAATGATTTCGTGGCCAGCTATTGGGATCATTTTCTGGGCGCTGTCTTTACGAATGGTGACCGCGGCTGATGCGGCAGTCGAGAAAGTGGTCAGGCAGTACGTGGAGCGGTACCATCTCCTCGACAAAATTCCGACCGCTATTAGGGCATTCCAGTACTATAAGGAATGCCGAAGTGGCGTCTTCATCATTCTAGATTGCCCTAAGGATGTCCATGGCCCGCTGGCGAGCAAACCTGCCACGTACAAGAGAAGATTCATGGATAAGGAATTCATGGATAAGGTAACCATGGAAGTCAACAGTTTGCCTCGAATGAAGTTTTCGTTCGAGCCCACCGACCATCTCAAGCTCATGATCACTGATTCCCGAGTGAAGAGACAGGAGCACGTTAAACCTGTTCGTCTACCGCCATCCTTCGACGTCGAAGAGGAAAAGGTCTGGCACCGCGACACCGTGTTGGCCAAACAAAAAGGCCCCTTCACTCAACTAGAGGCTCAGAAGGAAGCCGATTCAGGACTTGCGGAGAAATTCAAAGCTCAGAGTGGCGGAAAGACTGTGGTTCTCCCTTTTGATATCAAGGCTGGAATCTCCTTCTTTGCTCAACGATTCGGTTTTGCCGAACCTATCAAGACAGTCAATGAAGCGACTGACACCAAGATCACACAGACCACCATGGCCACTGTGAAGAGACTTAACAAGGACGCCTAGTCCAGTAAGCCGATTCGAGGAGTTGCAGGCATTCTCAGCACAATGGCTTCGGCTGGTGAGAATTTCAGCGTGGGCATTAGATCCGAAGCGGCCCGTGTCATGGAGCGCAATATTGATTAAATCCGCGCCTTGAGAAGGAACGCCGTTTCCGAGAACAAGTCGAATGGGAGCATGGGCGCTTAGTTTTCTGCGGTGATAGACCTATTCACTGTTAGAGATGGCATACACTAAGTGTCCTGCTAATGGTTATCACTTTTGTTATGGACTAATTGTGGCTGGAGAGAACAGGGGTCAGCAACAATCTTTCTGAATTCTGGTGACGTAAAAGCGCCTATGAGTTGATAGTGCAAAATTCCATGTACCCAAGGGCTGATTTGTTTCTTCGTCCGTCTTAACGTGATATGTATGTATTTTGGACTTCTCTGTGATGATGTGTACTGGCTTCGAAACTGTAAGCCTATTATTTCAAATCTGCTAAGTATGCATGTACCGAATATATTCACTAGTTATATATTGCTTAGGGAAAGAGAGACCAGACACGGCCAACATACATCGGCCCATAACTGATAGAGCTGAACAAAAGAACTCAAAAATACAACTCCGCATCTCAATGACCTTGTTCAAGAAGGCCTTTATTTAGTGTATTGATAGACTATCAGACAATGGTAAGTTTGTTCACATGGAACAATTCAAATAAACAAATAAAGGCAATTCAGAAAGTTTAATAACAACCGGGGCTTGTTTGTGTTTGTTTGTTTGCTTTACCTGCAGCCTCGAGATAGATATTTATGAATCGGTGGACTCATCAGATTAACTGTTTCATCTTCAATTTTCGACCGCACATTCCCTTCAATCACGCAGCCCAATCTATCATTTCCCGCATTATCCAATAAAATTCCTACTCACCTGTAGCAGATCATGGCGATCAATGACTTAAAGCCATTTATTCTTGGTCTTTCAAACGAGGTCCTAACAGAGATATTGGAATGCTTCGCGAGAAGTGGGCAACCTACAAAGCCGATTCTCTTCGTGTGCCGCCACTTCTACCAACTTGGCATACCTATTCATTACAAGTGTCTGAGGTTAAGTTCCCACTGCTTATCTGGCTTGAGGCCCCGTAGGCTACAGCGAACGCTCAAGAAGCATCCCGGGCTGGGCCGACGTTGCCGTGAACCCTACATCCATTCCGACATCAGAGAAGGTAGCGAGGACGATTACAGCCGCAACAACTTCTCGTTTGTCAAAAATAATGCTTCGCGTCTTCCGAATGTTCATTTTCTTGAAATGAATGGAGGTTTTGAAATAGATGGGGAATCATACAGCGCCGAAAACCAGAAGACTTGGAAGCTCTTCCGTTTTTGTCTGGCCAAAATGACGTCTCTCCGAACAGTGTCTCTACGTCAGTGCAAGAAGCCTGAGTTTGGTGAGCGTGTCCTTGGTGAATTGGATGTTCGCAAAGTTTTGGACGCTTTGAAAAGTACATCAATTCGACGCCTTATCCTGCATGGAATCGCTTATTCCAATTCTCTTATACAGGAATGGACATCCCGGGTATGTATCGCTAATTCGCTCAAAAAAGAAAGGGTAAAACTGCCATAAGCACTCACTAATCCACCTCTAGGACTGGCCTTCCTGCGTTACCGAGCTCGAGTTGGAATTAAATTACGGGAGTCCAGAGGCGGCAGCTCGCCTTCTCGATAGTTGCCCGGAAACACTAAGAAGCCTCAGATTGGACAACTTTAATCACGAGGGCAAAAATATGGATATGCCGATGCTTGAGTCAATACTGAAAAGGCGCAAGGATACTCTAGTCAAATTATCAATTGGGTCCCTCTCAAGCCAAGATCAGGGAAAGCTATTGGACTTCTCAGCGTATACGGTGCTGGAGGAACTGCAGCTTGATATAAAGGAGATCCTAGCATATTTATCTGCGGAATCCAGCGAACAAGACTACAATCTCCTACTGCCGCCTAAGCTGAGCACTTTAGGAACGAGAATCTCTCCCATCGGCAACGATAACCGTATCCAATTCAACGATTACTATATTCATTTCGACGACCAGGTAGGGAGGTGGCTGCAAGGCTTTGCAAAGGCAGCAATTCGCCAGAAAGTGCCACTGCGAGAGATTGTCATCGACATCCCGGGAGGCTTCTTCCCCAAGCGCTATGGGCAATCTATTTATGTAGTAGACGATTGCTTAATAGCGGGACCGCTTGATTTATTTTGGAACGCGTTGGATGCTCTAGAGAAAGTCTTGCGGTCGATGGGCATAGCACTAACTTATTAACCCAACCCGAGTCTCTCTCTGGCCCTTTTACAAGAAAACAGGGGTAGAGTTCCCAGGTTCTGTTTATGAAAACTTTTTCTCGGAGCTACAACATATTTGCAAAGCATGGCTGAATTGGAGGGATGGTGGGGTTAGAATCAATACTATTTAAGTCATACCTAAGGGCTGCTTAATACAATTGGATTTGTTATTATTTAATGAAAGATTAAAACTTTCATGTCAAAAGTCTGAGAATTCTATGAAGACACTAGATAAGTAAACTTTCTATCTAGTAGTATTTTACCGGGGCTAACTGAACATGATATTTGTGTTTCAGCGAAGATAATTCCTCCAGAGAGCCTAGATATGCCACTTCCCACAATCGAAGACTGTGAAAACCCCGATTCATGTTAACTAAAACTCATCCACGGGACGGTGCTTGTGACCCTCTGCTTTAGAGTCTAGTTTCAGACTCACGTTATTATCTGATTATCGATTGATAACCATTATTGCCAGACAGATAACATGCGAAATATTGCGAAATATATCGGTTTATAAATTGAAATATTCTCTTAATAACAGAAGGCGATTCTCTTCCAGCTAAACTTATTCTGACGTTCAATGAGTTTTCTCCTCATTGACTATTTCATATTCTCCCTGTTTTATGGGGACTAAGTTGCCGCGAAATTATCTCATCTGTGTTATCATCTGCTGTAGTATAATCAATCAAATTGTTGAGAAAGCCGATCTCGATTGATGGCCATATATCAACAAGTGCCCGCTTGCTCTGCTCGTGCCTCTCCTTGAAAATTTGCAAGTGGCCTATAACTGATCCAGATCAATGAGAAAGGATAGCTATTAGGGTAGAGCTATTAAATACAGACGTTCTCACAAAAGGGCCTGAGTTAACTTTAGGAACATCGGTTTGATTTGAAGATTAAATTCGAGAAAAATCCAGCAGTACTACCCTAATAAACAATCTGTTTGGATTTCAGTGATAATAGGATCTCAGGCGGGTTTTTATCAGCGAAATAATTTGCCAATATAATATATGGTAAGTGTTGGTTTATCTCGGTGATTCACCTGCTCGTGCGAGCCTAGATCTTATAGCCGGGCTGTGCCTTCAAGCTCAAGATACGGGGGTTCAATGATACGAGTAATTAGGGATGATCTCCATCTCTAGCTAGCTAAGCTACAGGTCAAAGACCCCTTTTTATCCCTCCGAGAGGTCACGTGACAAGGGTCTCTGCCGGGCCCGAAAGGCCCGTAAAGGCAACGCCGTAAAAGCCCGTAAATACAAACCAACAGTAAGAATGAATCAATGAGATTACCAATATTTAATTCTCATGCCTCTTTGGTGTTTGTTGATTCAAAATATACAAAAAACCAAAATGCTTTGCATTACCTAGTTTATAAATAACCGATAGAGCTGAACAAAGGGACTCACAAACATCAAGGCGTACCACCTTATCTGAACTCTCCAATCCTAGAAGGCGCCCACTTAATGTGTGTATTAATAAATAACCAAACAATGCTAAATCCATTTATACGAACATTCAAACAAACAAAGTCAATTCAGAGCGTTTAATAACAACCGTCTCTTGTTTATTTTCGTTCGTTTGTTTGATTATAGCCTTAAGTTTCATACTTATAAATTGGTGGACTCATTGAAGAGATGAATTCATAAATTTTGGACCATTACGCCCCTTGAATCACACAGCCGAGCCGGCTATTTCCCGCATTATCGAATAAATCCCTACTCACTCTGCCACGGATCACGATGGACTATCAGAAACTGTTTATTCTGGATCTTCCAAACAACATCCTCCAAGAAATACTGGAACTCGTCGACACATATTCATATAAGTATCGTTTTAAGCCGATCCTCTTCGTATGCCGCCGCTTCTACCAGCTTGGCATACCTCTTCAATATAAATATCTCCGGATCGATTACAGGATTGAGGAACGTCCTGACCGCAGCGGTTTCTATTCAAAGGGGCTGGGTCGAACACTCCAGGGGAATCTCGGGCTGGGCCAGCATTGCCGTGAACTTTCGCTCCATATTAAGGATGAAGAGGACATTGATTCCGAACGCAACACCGAGCACTTCCCCATCGCCCAACGCATCATCTCGACTCTTCCGAACGTTCATTCTCTGAAATTATCTGGAGGATTCTCCAGTCCCCAAAAAGGGGCAGACTGGAACATCCTCCGTTCTTGTGTGGCATCTATGCCGTCTCTCCAAACAGTGACCCTGGAACTCTCTCTCCACAGCGTGCGCATCAAGAGCGTGCGCAACAAGACGACTGGTCCAGATGGACTAGATGTTCGTACTGTTATGGAGGCTCTGGGAGGTACATCAGTTCGACGTCTTGTTCTTCAGGGAGTCGCCCTCTCCAATTCGCCTGTAATCCAATGGACATCAAAGGTATGTGTTGTTGATCCACTCAAGAAATTGCATGTTTGTCATAGACAGTCACTGATCTGTGTTAAGAACTTCGAGCCCACGTGTATAACCGAGCTCGAATTAGACAATTATTCCGAGTGGCCAAAGGTCACACGTTGCCTTCTCGATTGGCCAGAAGCCCTGACGAGCCTCGTGTTTGCGCGTAGAACTTATGATGACAGGCAATACATGGACTTGCCCAAGCTTGGGAAAATGCTGACAAAACACAAAGATAGCCTCGTCAAATTATCAGTTGGACGCCTCTCGGAACATGGCAGAGGAAGGCTCTTTGACATCTCGGGATTTACACGGTTGGAGGAATTGGAGCTTGATATGTGGCAGATGGTAGCACATTGGCCGACGCAACTTACCGAGAAAGACTACAGTTTTCTGCTACCGCCAAAGCTGAGGCTTTTGAGAATGAGATTTTACGGAGACTACAATTATTTACACGGGCAGGCAGGGGATTGGCTGCTTGGCTTTGCCATGGCAGCAGTTCGGAAGAACATACCGCTGCAAGAGATTATTATCGATACTCCGGGCTCACCCCCCAGCTGGTGGGAGGGTTACTACGAATTTTGGGACACGATACATCTTCTTAGGGGCGTCTTGGGGTGCTTCGACATAAAACTGACCCTAGACGACGGTTACTCGTGATTCTGCAGGAATATTTGCGCAGGTTTCTCAGCCACTGCTGATGAAGGCCGTATCTAGGAGCTAGAGCATATCTAGGTAGTACGATTGAAGTAAATTATTATTACACAAGTCGTATTCAACACTACCTAATACGATTGCATCTGTTGTTTGACGAGAAGATAGAATGATTCAGTCAATGAATAATTAAGAATTCTTTGGATGAAGACAACACATGGATGAACTTTCTTTACGATCGATCTTTCACTTGGGCTAGCTAAACATTGTCTTTGTGTCCACAGCCGAGATGAACTTTCCCTATGCCACTTCCCGCAATTGACAATATAGAGTCATTTCATGTTGAGTAAGATTCATCAAACAGGACGTTACTTGCCACCCTCTACGTCCTCTGTTGACTTTGAACCCTAGCGCAGCAGCAGGGCAACAATCTCCCTGTGGCCGTGCTGTATTGCAGATGCAATTGGACTCTTTTTTTAGGGAAAACAAAGTATTGATGTTAAATTGAACACGGAGGCTCTACACATGCATGCCGAATGGAAGAATAGCACAGCCAAAAGGAGAAAAAAGAAACTATACCCACAGGACAAAGGGTAAAAAAAGATGATTTGAATTATTTGAGATATTGAAGTGGCATGTCTGTAATCGGTTACATATACCTCCATAGAGGACATGAAATTACAGAATACGCTGACAAGGTCATTCCAAAAAAGAGCTTACAAAAGCCCGGTGCTATCAAGTGTGTCTATATAGCTGCCGAGCGTGAGTTGTTGGTATTCACATGGTAGTAGCTAGCGAGCTGATCTTCACTCACTGAGACATGTTCAAGATTAGTAGAAACACAATACCTTATTGCTAGGCGGTGTGAAGTAACATTCCAACGAGAGGGTTCTATCTTAGTGAGTCTTGAACATGATCTCGCGCTAGGCCATACTCTTCATAGCTCAAAGGACACAAGGCTTTGAAACATGACTATATGCAAGGCATCGATAGAGAGTTCTGATGAAATTACTCCCCATAATGCATTAAAATCATTCATGGAAACATTCCCGCTTTCAGTGGCTAGGAAATAGCAGTATAGCGGAGTATTAATAGTAGTTGTGATGCCAGGTAATATGAAACCCATTGATAGCCAGGCAATTATGAAAAAATTCACAACATCATAATCCTTTCCAGGCGTTGGAATTACCTGATCGAGATATCTCATACGTGATTTATAAAAATACTTGCTAAATATTTGCGAGTAATTATGAAGAGTGTTCTAATTACATACAACCAAGAACGCCAATGTAGTCCTTTGTGTCATAACAAGTCTTCACCAACTGGCCATCATCATCATAGGAAACCTCTTCCATATTACAAAGGCCTGCCAACATCTTGATAAACGCAGAGGCTGTTTCGCGGCCATCTTTGGAACGATATTCATGCCCGAGGTCGACGAACTCATGATCGAAATCATAAAATACCTGATGCGATGGCTTGCAGGATGATGATTTTGGCAACACCTGATCGTTGCGGTCGCAACGGTCAAGTAACCATATATCTGGACGCGGTCCGACCTCCAACATGAGGTTGCTTACCAAGTTGGCTATGAGTCCCCTTGGACTGAGCTCCTTGTATAGATTGGTCTTTGATTTGGGAAAGTCGGCATTCCAACTTGGGTCAAACTCGAAAACGAGGGACTTGGCCGTGTTGTGACAAACCAGGTCAGTGAGCGGCGCAGAGTATTCGAGAAGCGTGCTTGTAAAGCTAAACAAATTCCCTCCCTTCAATAAGGGACAGGAGTTGAAGTCGATGTCGATGCTGAAGCAGTATACATCCTGAAAGGGTCGGACCATCAGGTGGAAGAGCTCAAGAGTAGCGCTGGACACGGCTGGGCGTGGCCTAAGTCGTTGCAGAATTGGGAGGCATTCGTCTCCCTCGGCTGACTGCCACACCTTTTCGGACCGATCAGCCATTAATCTTAGCTGTCGTCTCCTCTTCTCCCAATAACGCATGTTGAAAGCTTTTTTGACTACCTCGCGAGACTCCCAGCAAGCAGTCCAGAGTCCGTAGTCCCGCTTATAGGCCGACCGATTCTTGTCATCGACGTAGCCGATTACAGGGATCATGCACATAGGATCCTTGTATTCTTCCACCCAGGCTGCCATGGAACAATAGTGCATTGCCACCATATCTAGCTGTGTTGGGCGAACTGATGCCTCCCATATTTGAAGCCTTAGCTCAGGCGGTAGTTCTGAAAAGCAATGAAAAGTAGCCATGATAACGAATTGAAGGTATCGGTGTTAGGGAATTTTTGGATAAATAGGCTGGGGTATAGGATCATGGGTAAAGAGTGTTGAGTGAGGGGGAAGTTTTTTCGTTCCAAAGCAGGCAAGTAAGAGCTTTATGTATGTTGCTTCCGCAGTAAGCACCGTGGACACTACAACCTAAAAATGGGTCTATTACCCCGTGGATGGAACTCTCTTTGACACTTCTACTTAGTGTTGCTAGGTATCAGTCACGATTGGCTTTTGAGGTTCAAGATCCTGCACTCGACATCTCAAAGCGATGATACTTGATGGTTTAACTGTCTAGGTCCGCGACTATGATCAGTGCTTCTAAACAAGCTCTATCAACCCCACGAGGAGTGCTGAGAATCATTCAGAGAGTCAGACATGTGTAATCTTCATGATAACAGAAATTGTATGAAATATACATTTGCTTGAAGAAAAAAGTAAAGTTCTCTTGTTTAGGCAGCAGCCTACAGTGCCAGCCTGGTGGCTTAATTTTTACTTTATTATTCCATGCATGCGTCAGGTTCAATGTTTCACCTAAGGGCCCATGAAGTTAACGGCAGCCGACTTTGATTGCCTGAACCCAAAAGTCTTCGCCGCATTCTCATCGTCTTCATTTCTTGGACTATGAAGGATATTGCGAACAGGTCTTGAATGCTCGTGGTAGACACTGGGGGGTCAGCAGTGCCGCTCCTTGGCTAAGGCGTAGATATTATCTCTCCTTCAAGAGTACCACAGACCCTATGAATAGTGAAATGCCATGCCATCGTGTCTTTACATTAGGTAGTCTGATTTCTAAAAATATAACCTTCAGCCACAAAGCCATGGTGCGGGACTTTGAAATCACATGCGATTAGAAGCCACATGTGGCGAGTTTTAGGCTCCGGTCGATTTCGGCCATTTTGGATTTTGCGTTTGACTCGGAATTGCCTGTCTTATGGCGTTTGGCAGTTGGACTCATAAAGAATATCTGAAATGCTCCAACCGGCACCAAGTTTGTACTTACGTATGATGAGCCTCGTGGTAGACGACGGGGAAAGAAATATGGGGCCGGATGTGAAGCGCAAAGTTTGCGCCTTTAGCTCGGTTTCTATTGGCGGGTAATTTTTAACTAAGGTGTATGATGATTGCAACGCCCCAAACACTGCGATTCTTCAATAATGAAGCTGTAGATACGTAGCCTTATGAAGCTTGAAACTGCGCAAGATATTTTCAGGATTGGCTCGAGTGAAGCGGTTCCACATCGCAGGTGAGAGGAATGAATCATGTTGTATTACATAGGTAAGCTATGAGCACATCAGGTTTTCTACAAGCAGGCACTCAAGCTCGTGCTGGTAAATGGGGTCTTTGCTATAATGCCGGGAGCCATTCTCAAACCAACGGTGCATGGCGGGGCAAGTCAGGTAAACGTTTACCCCTCATGTGTCACGTTGCAGTGAATTCTCGGTAATGAATGAATCATGGGCTAACGGCCTTGCCAGTAAATTCGGCCCGGGGACAAATCGTATTGATTCCAAGGCGGCCGAATTTGTTCCATTTTTGGATACAGGCGAATTAGCCCATTTCTCTGGGTGAATGAATACGAGGGCTTTAGCATGTGCGAGTTTAGCGCAGTCTTGCCGCTATCCGCGCTGCCCGACCACTAAAGATGGGGCACATGACAGCGGTCGCTGGGCCCTACAGACACCGACAGTGGAGCGCTAAACGAGCTGTTAGTGGAGCGGTAGAGCGGTGCTGTAGCGACGGCAGAATCTTCGGCCAAGCTTCTCTTCCAGCTTAGCGAAATGGATCTCCCGCCCGATACGAAGATCCAGCCGCCTGGTCAGCATGAGCTGAGCAATATTGCTGTCCGAGCCAGCTCGTGACAGCAAATGACCGATGACGATGGAAGATGGCCGTGGAAGAGATGGATAAAAACTCGCTCCCACCTGCTTCCAGAAGTGAGCCGCATATCTTATCTGCAAAACACCAACTTATCTAACTATCCGCCTCCAAACCCGACTCAGCCCATCAAGCGTCACAATGCGCCTGTCCACCATCATCGTTGCCCTGTCACCTCTTGTCTTGGCTGCCCCGATCAACACCAGCGATGCATCGGGAACAGCCGACATCATCGTCAGACGGAACATGGGCGGCGTTGCTGGTGACCACCACAGCGACACCAGAATCCTCGTGCCTTTGGGCCGTGTCTTCGCCGGCCATCCTTCTCTCGACGCCGTGTCGACTCTCTCGCTCAACGCCGTATACGGCGCCGACGCTGCCACCGTTAGCTGCACGCCCTTTAAGAACACCGACGGGACTGGTGACGCCGCTCCTTCGTTTTCTAAAGAGCACCCATCAGTCGTCTCGACTCACAACGACAAGGTTGGCAGCATCTTCTGCAGCTGATAAGACATCTTCAAACGCGCCCGCATCGAACGTGCGGTGAACCAACTTTCAGACGATGAATAATAAAATATGCGGGCGTCTCTTCTCTCCACCAATCCGGCCCACGAAATGTTGCGGAGAGGAGATGAATCTACGCCAAGCACATTCCCATATTCGAGAAAATGAGTTTCATGCCGACTGACACTCAGTCTCCGGCCTGATCCTACGACAGCTCCTCGGGTACTGCCTCCGTCCTACAGTCCATTGTCGAGGAGATTGTGTTTATGGAGAGGATCTCCAGACCCGGCGTTGACCAAATAATCTAAGTGTCATGCAACGCACGAGGGATCATGTCGGTTTATCCCAAGTTACAATACCAAACTCTCGCACAGGCCGCTAGCACCCCCGAGTTCGACAAATTAGACAAGCTCAAGTTGTCGGATATGTAGAAGAGAAGCCTAGGGCCATCGCGATATACTGATCCTAAAATGCTGGCTATATCTAGAGTCAACCTAGCTCCTGAAGGTTGCTGTGGGCAAGAGAGCTACGCAACCGTGGACATGATGCCTCCTTCAAATTGGATGGTCATGTCCATGTCTACAACCAATACATCGCCAAAGGTGATAAGTATCACCATATACTTGCAAAAAAAAATTATATAAAAAATCCATATATTCATAGTCGCAACTATACTAAAACTACCATACCCACCCATCAATGCTCTGGCCAGTTCCAGTTAAATTTTCCGATCTCATTCGGATAACAAGTGACAGTTTCCAGGGAACGATCCATTCAAGGCTCAAGTTCCAATCCTAAACTCCTGTCGCTCCGCTAATTTTTCACACAATTCTACAGCCGTGTCAAATGAATGACCGTGGCCTGGTAATAACACAATTCGTAGGCGCGCCAAGTAAATGGTCGCGGCCTAATAGTAACACAATGTTTTCATCAGACATGTCGACGGGAGGCATCAGATAAATGATCACCGTCGACTGTCTAGAGGCAAATTCGATATCTGGCTTCAGGTGAGGCCTTACAAAAGGTCGCGGAGAGGCCAAGTGGATGGTGGGTAGTTATCCGTGAGCTCACAGAATAGGGCATTGGAGCTCCTTAAGTTGGCGACCACCTCCCTTCTTTCTGAGCTCCTGGACGAACCTGTTCATGCCCCATGGATAAACTTCGTTGAACTTGAGCTTACCCACGTCCCCAACCTCCGCGGTCTTAGGCCAGCCCTTGACACTGTGGCCCTTGCCGTCCTTCAAGAACTGAGCGATGACCTCGGCAGCGATGTTGATCAGATCATCGGTGGGCTGGCCCGTCTCCTGAACTCCCTTTCGGCCGGAAGCAGTGGCGAAAACATACCCAGCGACAAAGGGAAGATCCTTCTCTTCAGGGAGCGGTGCCGCTTCCGCACCGAAAGTATCAACAATCTGCTTGCGGATCTCCTCTAGCAACTTCCAGACAGTGTCGTGCATGGCGAAGTAGTTGAAGGAGAGCTCAGCACGCTCGCCCTCGATTGCTTCAGCGATGTGCCGAACCAGCTGGCTAGGAGACAGACCTTCAAAGTTCTTCATCTTGGCTTCTTCTTTCTTACCCGGGAGGATATTGCCCTTGCCGTCGATGAATTGATGACGGCGGCCCTCTTCGAGGACCTTGGCGAGGAACTCTGCGCTTGGTGCCGCACGGGCGCCGGTCGGCATGAGGCGGTGGGAGAGCAGCATCGAAACTCTACCCATGATCTTCAAGAAACGCTTGTTGGCATTGTGGGCGGTGGGCGGAGGCGCCTTCTTGCCCTTGACCTGCTTGGCGCGGTTGGTAGGAACCCAGTTCTTGGCGGAGAGGCCGAGAGACAAGCAATAGTTGTTGAAGTAGGCGTCCCGGGAGGCGGGAGCTTCAATGGCGAAGAAACTCGCGTTTCCTTGCATGTCCCAGATCGTCTTCAGGTCTTCCCAGATCAGGTCGTCGCCGAGAAGCTTCTCCTGGCGCAGGGCGTGGTAGAGCTGGGTTGTGACCATGACGGCACCCGGCTCTGCAATGTACTCGGCGCCGGAGCGATGGAAGGTTGTTCGCATCATGTGAATCCACAGGCCGCAGTGCATCGGGTTACGGCGCAGGAATTTGAAGGCAGGGCTGCCAGGCCCTCGCAATTCGCCGAGCTCAATCATCTTGTCGCGAACCAGTTGGATCGGATCATGATCCCATTTTGAAGCCACAGACAGGACGCGGTCCCGCGCTTCCGAAGGGGGGACGTTGAGCATGGCGTTCTTGATCATGTTGCTCTCGCGGACCATCTCGTCATATCCCCGGCTACAGCGCGGTCCAAGAGGCTTTAGAATGTCGAGGTAGATCTGGAACGCCCAGGCGAGCCACATGGGGGTCTTTGCGCCGCGACCAAATTGCAGTTGCTCGCTGACGCCGCGGATCAGCTCGTCCTCGACAATGCCACGGCACATGTTGGAGCCGAGGAACTGGATGTCGGGGAGTATTTCCAAAAGTGCTGTCATGTCTTGGGTCCAGTTCTCGCGGTTTGACAGATGTTCCGGGTCTCCCATTCTCGGATTGTACCAACCAAAACTTCCGTTGTAGCTCGTGATCAGGTCTTTCGTTGAGTTGTTTTCAAAGTGGCCATTAAGCAGTTCTGCGGTGTTGATGAGAAGGTCATGGGCAAGAGGGTATCCCCAGAGGTTGTACATGTCTCCAGCTTCTTGGAGGTCCTCCCCATCAAAGCCAGTCGCGGCGCAGATATTCATGAAGTACCCCTTCAGGAAATTAAGGCCCCCGCCATGTTTGTCCGAGATAGGCTTGATGTCATCTTCCATGCTTCGAGCCAGTTCGAAGCACAGGTTGGTCGCAACGGAAACCGAAGCCAGGTCTCGCTTCCCTTGAGCCCACTCCTTCCAAAGCCTCTCGAGGGCGGAGCGGAGTTCTGCGTACTCCACGGAAAGCATTGTAAAGAGAAACGAAGCCTCTTCGTAAGAGTTGTCTTGCTCGACAGTGTATTTGACCTCGGGCTGGCTACTCGCACTCGGAGTAGTCTTAGGAGGTGCAATCTCTTCGTACTGTTCCGAAGGCTCGTAGATGCCCAAGATCGAGTAGTAGTTGGAAAAGGGACCGTGGGTATTCTGTCCCTTGCGGGCAGCCCGTGCTTTGTCGAGTTCCTCCTCATTGAAGACACCGGCTTCCATCTGGGGTCTAAGGGTATCGCGGACCCTTTCAAGGACATTGGCAAAGTACATGTGGCGCTCGTCAGAAGCAGTGTCGGCAGCGCTACCACTTCCGCCTAGACCATTGGAGAAATTCTTGCGGACTAGAGTGTAGCCAGTTAGTGATCACTTCGTCAGACGGTGGGAGAGTCGAACAGTACCCCAAACAACACGCTCGATAGCGACAGCAAAATAGTCAGGGACCTTGATGGACTCGATTCGGCTGAGAAAGGAAGCCATGGGCTCAAAGTCGCTGATCTTGAGGACATATGTCTTGGCCTGTGCAGCAGGCTTCGAGCTGATGGTCGCCCCGAAGTCCTGAGGAGGTTGAGCTACTTGCTTTGCCTGCTTCCTGGCTTTGCCCTTCAGTCGGCCAGACGGTGCACCGCCGGAAGCAGCGGAGCCCAAGCCTTGGACATAGCCACGGGCCTTGGCTGTCGTAGCGAGCCAAGTAGCGACAGCATCTGTGTCAGCTTTGTATTGCTGGTAGATGCTCTTAAGCGCGGGAGGCAGCATGGTCACGCGAGGAAATATGGTGCCTTGTAGAAAAAGGATGAAAGGTTCGAAACAAAGAGACCCCGCATCACTTTAAGGAGGAGGAGGGGACTACGCGTGGCTCCGCTTCGGCGCGTTCGAAGGGGCGGTCAAGGACCTATAGTGGAGTTATTATAGACTCTTCCTTTCTTTTTCCTCAGTCTTGTCTCTAATCTATCGATGGTGGCAAGTGGGTGACATAACAGATGAGACGCCAAACAAGTACCTTAAGCATCTACAGCGGAACAGGCTCTATGTTTTGCCTATGATATCCCCAGCCCAAACCCACGTAAATAAATTCAGAAAAAGGCCGATATATAATCAAAGGCTATAGAAAATATCCATGCTTTCCCCCTGATATCTCAGTAATTCTGACCGTAGGATATAACTAGAAAGAGTACCTAAGAATTTGGTGTCTCATATGTTTTGTCATCCCAGCCACTTCGGTGGGCAAAGTACAGGGAGTATGACGCTATAGAGCATGCTACAGGGATGCAATGATTCCTATATGATCTAGACATTGTGCTACGTCCGTGAGGAGTATGACGAGTTCGGCGTCAATAAGCCACGTGATTGGATCGAGAGCTCAGACAAAGACTGTAACATAATACAGACGCCTGTGAATCTCATTAGTTTTAGATACATCCTAGAAACAAATGAGACTTTTCGGTGGCTTGACTCGCGTAGTAAGTAACAGCAATAGGAGATGCCAGACCGGATATCTCGACACATTGAATAATTTAACTTTAGATATCCATCTCTCCTCAATTTTTCCGTATATCAAATGTTCACTACAGCCTCAAGTTGATGGCATCTTATGCTTAGCAGGCTTAGAGTTAAGTCTGGCTAGAACTGGAGCTAAGTCATTAAAACACTTGTGATATCATAGACTAGGATTCAAATCATTTGTCAATTTACGTTAAATTAGTTCATTATATCCCCAAGCTTCTAGCTCGAAAACTCTCCTGCGATCCATCTGTTCATCATATCCAAAGACGCCGCCGGCTGGTTTGTAGGAACCATATGCCCAGCCTGGAAGACCTGGATAAAGGCAAAGTGCCCCGAAGTCGTGAGGTTCCCCCACTGGGCGCCGCCGCCTCCAAGCTTGAGCGGCTGCACGGGAGCGGCGTTGAAGGCGTCCTTGCCGGGCCAGTCCAGGGCCTTTGTCCAGGCGCGGTTGCCGAGCCAGTTGCAGATGAAGTCGGCGTCGCCGGCATAGATGAGGACGGGGATCTTGGCGAGGATGTCCGGGACGAGGCGGTGGATGGGCTGCATCCAGTCGCCGCTGTTGTAGAAGGCGTTGTAGACGCTGTTGTCGCACTCCTCGAACGAGGTGACCTCGGCGCCGATGGCCTCGAGGACGCTGGGGGTGTTGAGCCACTTGTCCACGCCCGTGTCCTGGGCGGGCGTGTCGGGGCGGATATCGTAGACGTCGCTGCCCGTGTTTTGGTACGGGGTGAGCATCCAGTTGTTGCAGGAGGTGAAGGCGCTCTTGCACGATGACAGGGTGCCGTCGTAGCAGCCTTGGATGAGCTTCTGGCAGCTGGCCAAGTTGCTGTCCATTTTCTGGCAAGCTGAGGACGAGAGAACAGATGGGTAGCCGCCCTCACCGCAGGCCATGGGGCGGTAGTAGGCGTACTGGGTATACGGGTCTGTCAATCCGTTTCCAATCAACAAACTCTTCAGGTTGATGATTGTGTTGGGCTCGGAGATGATCTTGTGCCCAATTCCAGGAATATAGTGACCAGCGTAGGACTCTCCTGAGATATGGAAAGGCTGCTTGGAGTACTCGGGGAATTGGGTGAAGAAGAGAGTGAGCAGGGCGTAGAGATCATCAGCAGCGGCGACGGTGCTTCCAGTAGCATTTGTCTTGCTGTATGACAGACCAGTGTTGACTGGTTGATCAATGAAGATGACCGACGCGTTGTTGTTCCAAGCGTACTCATTTCGCACAATCGTCTGGTTAGACAGAATGGCAGATGGGCCGAGCTCGTTGAAAAGCCCGATCATGGAGGAGCATCCAGGACCTCCATTGAGCCACAGGACAACTGGGTCATTGGCAGGGTCGTTTCTCGACTCGAAAAACCCTGTTCAATTACGAGTGAGAAAGATATTCGCCAGATTTTCACAACTCGAGCCAGCTTGGTGCTTCTACTTACAATAAAACAGGTGCTTGTCCTGCTCGTTGTTGTCAAGGTAACCACTGTACTGCTTCACAGTATCGATGCCCAGAGAAGAAGGATCGACGGCCTTGGCGCGGAGGTTGAAGTTGGACAGGTCGGTGCTGTCCTCACTCCTAGCCGCAGCCTGTGCCTGTGCCTGTGCGACATCAGCACCGCTGACAATGTGGTCCCAGTAGCTGTCTGGTCGAGGCTTGAGACGATCATTGATATCTCTCTCTCGGACGTTGTCAAGCTGCGCAGTGGCGGATGCAACTGCTCCAAGAGCGAGGGCCAAGGTAGAGAAATGCATGATGGACTTGGACTTTCAAGGGGTCTGAGGTCTGCCTTGGAACCACAGTAGAAGCCATCAGGGTCAGCAGGAAATGGATCTTATATAGCAAAGCAGCCAGCGTTTTATCGTCATCGTCAATGCTTCAGAGCGGCGTGGTCAGGGTCTATCAATTGGAACCTTCCTAAAGTGTAAGTGGAGAAGTTGGTTGACAGCAATGATTCCACAGGGCCTTTTGCAGACAGCTCCGCGTACAGCTTCCACGAAGGGAACCCGGGCGATGATCACTTCGCCAAGGCTACAGAAAGACCTATATGCAGTGGACCGGACCACTACGACATCTGCCGAAGAAGCCAGCCAACTCCGTCCCAAGTAACATTTCTCATCGGACTGTCCTTACACTCTCAATTCATCCCTCTTTTAGTGCTTTCTTCTCTATGCCACTGAGCAGAAAACACGGCTCTTGTTATAAGCTTCTCCTTATGATAGGCATAATCGGTGGGGAACTCAGCCCCCGCCTCGGCATCTTCGCCCCCATCCCCTGTCAAGAGGTAAGCCCAAGTGCCGTTGTATCCGTTCTTCTCTGCTAACCTTTCTGGCCGGCCAGAACTCAGGACATAAAGTCCTCAGACTACTTGCCTTTCTGGATTAGAGGAATACCACCTATCTCATTCGCTCTGATACGGGATCTACTCACAACTCCCAAACCAGTCAACATCCCTGATGATCGCAGCAAGTGTGTCATGAACGGAACTTTCCCATGACAGTCAATTGAAAGTGCCGACCGATAGCGACGAGCCGCATCAGCCGTGCAAGGGACCTTCCTAACTTCAACTACACAATACTACACAAATTTCATACTCTTGCATGGTCTTTTTGCATTGACAGTTATATGACGTTCATATGTGGCGCGATCTCGGGCTGTGCCGACTGCTGACCTTTTGCCACATGCCGGGATCCTGTTATACGAGACCCAAAGCTCCCTAATGCCTGAATATCACTCAGCTCGTCCCCTGCATCTCTGTTTCAGGATCCCAACGTTTCTCCTGCGTGAATTTCTTACCAAAGCTTACATATATCAACTTAGGTTCACACTTTACTCAGCAAACAAAAGGCGTTTCGGATAACATTCATGGCTATCGTTGTAGTTACTTATCGACATATATCATCTTGCTGTTTTTATGCCCTTCTATTGCAATATAGGATTATCTACAGCTCTTTAGCGGAGTAGGTTAGCCTAAGGCACTTTCAAACATCTAAAAGTTCATCCCAAATGATTGCAATTAGAATAAGCCAAGCCTCGTGTGGTTGAAAAAGAAATTTGGGATATTTCGAGCTTAAATGCGATTTTCCATATCTACAAATCATAAAATCCTGCCTCCCACACGCCATTGTTGAAGTTCACTTGAAATCCTTTTATTCCACCCCTTCTTAGTCCCTCGATTGAGCGCAAGTCTCCATCACATCACCGAAAATAGATTGCCTTGACATACAGTGGCTCATACTAACTCAAGCCTCGGAGCTGAGAGCATTATTTCATTGGGCTGATAAAGAAATGCTTGTCCGTTGTCTCCATAACCGACAGTTTCATCCCGACTTTGACCATCCCCTCGTCCTTGGGTGCACAAAGCATGCCAAAGCTAGGCTTGTACTTAAGACCTTGATCAATACGACGGTATTTCATGAGCTCATTCCAGGGTCGTCGGGGATGCTTCTCGGCCGTGTCTGGATCAACATTCGGGACTTGGCAGCGGAGGCATCTGCACACCACATTCATTGACAGAATCGAATTTTCGCCGGATATCTGCAACGTCTTCCAATTATCCTCGGACCACGGCTGCTGGCCGCGAAGGATGATGTTCGGCCTGAAGTGCTCGATGGTAAGTTCGGGTTCGCCCTGGATGCGGAGACGCTCATTGAGCTCGTTTACGCTTGCCATGGTTCCAACCAAGACAGGCATCATGTCGGCGAACTTGGTCGCTTCCGCCCTGCCTAGGCGTTCCGGGGTAGCGCACCCCTTGAGGATGCGTCGAGTCGGGCCCTTGTAGACGAGGCGGATGTCCATGTCCAAAAGGTCTGCAAATGGCTGTGAGATCTCAGATTTATACTCCCAGCCATCGGTCTCCTCGCTCCAGATGACAACCTTGCGCAAGTTGGTGTTTGCGTCGAGCCATTCCGGGGTCGGATGGGCCGGGATGGTGACTTTCACGTCCCTGTCCTTGATGGAGATGGTCAAGTTGTCGGTCTCCTCGTCCCAGCCAGTGCGGATGAGGGTCATAAGCGAATTGGTGCGGATCGTGATGAACTCCCCGTTGGAATTAGTGACAAACATCCAATTCCTGTCCATGTCAAGTCCAGTGCGCAACAATTTAGCGGACTGGACTTCAAAGCCACGGCATGATTTGATGGGATAGACGCGCATGCTGACGATCTCATCCTCTGAGAGGGGCTTGCGGGTGAGAAGCCTTTGTAAGTTGGAGAGACCATTGTTGGTGAACATGTAAATCAGAGCGGTGAAAATCGTGAGAGCAATTGTGACGACCAATGGCGTCACCATCGGCTGGAAGTCGACAGCTAGCATGACGAATCAAAGGATCTTAATCAACCTCACAGAGCTCTTAGATATTATCGATGAGTAACAAGCGAGACACTCGCCCGAGCCGCTTGTGTTCCTTACTTGTTGCGCGTTGATGTAGGTTCGTTTGGCACGCTCTTTGGCCTCCCTTGCCTCGTTTTTCTGCTTAGGTAAGAAACTCTGTTGCCCCAGATGTGTTGACCATTCAGATCACGTGGGGAAGCAGTGGGGATCCGCAAGGAGAGATTTGTAAGCGGTGGGCAAATTGAAGTCGCTACCCTAGAGCCTTTATATCAGTGCTGTAGATAATAGGATCAACATCTGGGAAAAAAGTACAGAGTTATGGGCTATGGTATCTATTTAGACTTACACGGATCTTGGTCGAAGTTGCTGCGAAATATATTCAATCAATTATGGAAATACTTTGGCTTTGTACCTGAATCTCAATGTGGCTTGATCCACGCACGCAAACGAGAGTTCACATGTAATGAAAAACTGCAACGAAAGTAACCAAACCCAATTCGTTAGCAAAAACAAGAAGGAAATCTATTCATCACAGCATGCCATGAGCTTTGATCTCATAGACCTGGGTTATTTTTTCCCTGGCTATTGAGCCTCTACTAGTCGCATTCTGTAGCCTTCTATCTCCTTTTCCGTCCACTCCCAAAGCTTATTCGCTAGAACTGCATCCTTCACATATTTTCCTGCCTTGCCAGACACTCCGATCGGTTCGTAATACTCGCCACTAATGACAGCGCCGGAGGTAGCAGCCCATAGCTGATTCTTCACTCCGTCTTCGACACTAGACATGAACAACCTTCCCACAATCATAAGACAACGGAGCAGGAGGTTCTTGCTACTGACAGAAGCGCTAAGAGGCGTCTTAACGGCTCCTGGATGTACTGAGGCAATTTTCACTTGAGGATACTGTCGTGCCAACTCTTTCGCGAAAAGTATGACTGCTAACTTGCTTTGTCCGTATCTCGCCATTGCATCTAGGTTGGTAGCCTTCGATTTAAGATTATCGAATTGGATACCGCCGGCAGGTGCTTGCTTGTGTACTGCCGAAGAAACAAAAATGATTCGAACGTCTGAATCAGGGTCGGCCTGGGCTGTGCTCAACAGCGTAGGGAGAAGCAGCTTCGTCAAGAGTGCGTGTCCTAAGTAGTTTGTGCCAAAATGGACTTCGTAACCGTCCTCAGTCATGCCTGGTGTGTAGGACATCGTGCCGGCGTTTAGTAGGAGGATGTCTAGACGGTCGCACGAGTCGCAGAAGGTTTTAGCTGCTGTTTTCACGGATCGACAAGAAGCTAGATCGAGCGCCAGCGGCTTGATCGGTACATCAGGGACGACCCTCTGGATCTCTTCCGCGGCCGTTTTGGCCCTTTCCGAGCTTCGGGCGGTGAGCCAGATAAGTGAGGGCTTACGCTGAGCGAGTTCAATCACGGATTGCCTCCCAAGGCCGGTGCTGCCTCCGGTGACGAGTATGACCTTCCCTAGAAGGGGAGGTATGTCCGTCGCGGCTTTGGATTTAAAACCTTTAGTTCTGGGCAACGACATGGTGTTCTGTTTCATTTTGTTTGAATTTTTTTTTATTTTCTGTTGGGGAGGGCTTCCCTGGTTGTTTTAAGTTTGAAGAAGTTCAGTCGAGAGGCAGAGAATTAGAGGGTGATTGTTTAGGCTCGGGGTAGAAGTGAGACCCGTTGGACTGGATCGGAGTCCAAGTCGAACCCGGTTAATCATTAACCGCACGGTAGCCTAGGCCGTAGAGCTCGGGATCGTTTCACGTTCAAATTCATGTCTTTCTCTCTCTTAATATTTACTATCACCCCTTCTTGACGGTGAACATAGTAGCCTTTCGTGTCTAGTGCTGACTTTCCAGATATTTCTCCGTTCCCACTTGAAGATTCCGAGCAGTAATGTCGACTAACGCTTTGATCCCCGAGCCTAAGGAACTCGAAATACCTCAAGCTTATTCCCTAAACGTTAAGTATGATCACTTATCTCTGGGCAAGGCTGAGCTACTTAGGCAACAAATCACTACCTTTGAAACCAAAGCTGGCGCCACCGTGTAACTGTGTCACCAGTTACGGCCACTGCTTCTGACTTTGGTCATCCTGAAACAATTCTGAGATCAGAAAAGCCCGTTACCCTCGTAAGCGCCCTCTTAATTGAGCGCAGTATTTTCTAAATGAAGATTGATTCCACCCGTGGCTGCTCCATCTGGGCTTTACTAGAGCTGAATTTCCTTACTACCGTTCTACTCAAGGCTGGCGAGCATTCTAACGAGATGCCTAAGCCATAGGCTGATTCTTGATACGTGTTAATCAAATATACGAATCGGCTTTAAATCGCGAGGCAGGTCCAAAGGGAATATGTTTGCTAACTTGAACAATAATGCAAGTAAAAATAGCAACCATATAGCGTCACCTTCTTTATGCTAATTATGTGAAAGATTAACGCAATTGTGACTGCGGCATTTGATCGTCTACTAAAGGACAAATCAGCTCACATGGATTGACAGGGAGGGATAAAAAACTGCTAAGCATACGCAAGCATGTTAATTGCATCAATGCGATTTAGATGATGGCCAATCACAAATTGGTACTCGAACGTCTATGTCACTTCATTAATCAGCGTCTCATCATATCCACCAGACCGTAACTTCGGCCTGTAGACGGACACCGACAGGAGACCGATAGCATCAAGTGCATGAGTAGCTGTGATCGCTCTGACTATATAATATGGATACAGGATAATTTGCTGAGGACGAGAGAATATTCAGTGCGGTGCGAATAGTCCATCAATCTGTGTCGAAATATGGCTGAGAAGTTCGAACACGAGCCGATGAATCGATATCCCGATTCAGGACTGTCCCTCCTGATAGTAGGGGGAGGGATCGCAGGCCTCGCCTTCGCTATCGAAGCTCACCGTAAGGGACACAGCGTCCGAGTGATAGAACGACGGCCGTCGTTTGACGACTTTGGTTGGTGCGCATCACATTGCAATGACTGTAAATACTGACGTTTCGACCACAGGTGACCTCATAGCCATTCAGACACCTGCGCTCCACACTCCTAAGCAATGGCCCGGCTTTATGGAACGCCTCAGAGCATCCAGCTTCACTCCACGGACAGTCATCAAGAAATACGACGGTTCCCTCGTTGGGACGTTTCCGCTGGGCACTCCCGATGATCCAACTCTAGTGTTCAATAGATTCGAATTTCACAACATACTTGAGGAATATGCCCGATCGTTGGATATTCCTATCGAATTCTCGTCAAATGCTGTTGCCTACTTCGAGTCCGATGAAAAAGGGGGAGTAGAATTGTCAGATGGCTCAAAACTGGAGGCTGACATCGTAGTGGCTGCGGATGGAGTCGGCTCTAAATCGTGGAAACTCATCTTGGGGGAAAAGAATGAACCGGTCAGCTCCGGCTACGCTCTCTACCGTGTCAGTTTTCCGGTCGGTCCAGCAATGGAAAATCCCATCATCGCGAAAGAGTTTGAGGGCTATGCAGACCGAGTGTCGGTGCATGTCGGCCCAGATGCACACGTTGTGATCGGCAAATCCGAGAAAGAAGTATGTTGGGTATTGACCCACAAAGTAAGTTGTAGTACCTTGTATGTTATTGACGCATATAGGGCGTGGTACTAATGCGATAACTTAGGATGACGGGAGTGCAAACGAAGAGTGGACAAAGACGGCGTCTAGTGATAAAGCTGTAGAGCTGGTCAAGGGTTGGACACCCTTCCTAACGGAGCTTATCAATGCTACCCCTGGACATGCGGTTACAGACTGGAAGTTGATGTGGCGCAATCCACAGTCCAGATGGGCATCACCAATGGGTCGAGTTATCCAGATAGGGGATTCGGCACATTCATTTCTCCCAACATCCGGCAGTGGGGCGACCATGGCTCTGGAAGATGCATACTCATTGGCATCTTGCCTTCAGCTCTCTGGGAAACAAGCTGCTCCGCTTGGAATCAAAGTCCACAATCATCTCAGGTACGTAGAACGATGTGTTGATCTCCAACTGGTGTTACAAGATTTCTAACGCAGTACAACAGGTTCGAGCGAGTGGACTGCGCACAGAAAACGGGTTTCAGAAGACGTGAAGCGTTTCACAAGACGGATTGGGAGGCTGTTGCAAAGAACCCCGATATCCTAGGAAAGGCAGTTGGGGATTGGGTTTTGAATCACGATCCGGAGAAGTATGTGTATGAGAATTATGGCAATTGCGTGAACTTTCTTGTTGCTGGTGCTCCGTTCAAAAATACGAATGGCGTACCAGGCTATGAGTATAAACCTTGGACGGTTCAAGAGCTTCTAGAAGCCTCAGAACGTGGAGTTCCTACTGTGGATGAAGGTGATTGGTCCTGATATGGGGTGGTTAGGTTATTTACGTATCAAGATTACAATAGTCTCCTTGACGATCGGGGTAACATATGTGAATTGACTGAATTCGATATGTCCACTATCCGAGCTTTTCTTTTGTCCTTTAGAAGAGTTACCTTCCTCCACTAATAGTTGTGCTGCCTGGGCCTTTGACCTCCCGCTTCAGAGAATGAATTGCATGGCCGGAAGCAGAGGATCTCACGCCCTATGGTGTTATGACAACCTCACCTGGCTCGGTTCTCTCAGCACCAGTGTTGAACGCCGCTGCCCAATCCTCCAACTTGAACTTTCGAACTGGCCCCATACTATGAGAATCTAGTGGCAGTAGCCCTGTCTCAGCCATACTGATCAATCTTCTTGTCTGCTCCTTCGTGCACATCCAAGTCCCCTTGATTGTCAACCCTTTGACTAGAATCTGCATGTAGTCGAAGCTGATACCGGATAGGACACTACCCATCAAACTGATGCGCCCCCGGTTTTTCAGGACATTGAGACTACTTGTGAAATGCGTTGAAGTGCCAGCGCCTGGTGGCGACATGTCCCAAAACACATCCGCACCGCCAGGGCCTGTTGCTGCGCGAAGCCCTTGGGTATCAGCATCAACGTCACCAGTAATGGGAACGGTACTCAGGCGTTGAGGATGTATGGTGGCAAGCTGCTGGAGGATTGTCCTGTTGCGGCCAATGGCAATAACCCGCGCCCCCAAAGCCAGTGCAAGATGCACCGCAGCACTGCCGTATCTTCCTGTTGCTGGCGCAATGATTGCAGTTTCGCCAGCTTTGAGGTCGATATCTGCAAGACCCCCGAAAGGGATCAGCATGCTAAACAAGTGTGTAAGATCGTCCAGCGTATAGCCCAGCCCTCCGTCCTGAGAAGGTCTCATAAGGCGTGCTTCATCGAGAGGGAAGCAATTCTCCAGGGGCAGGTTGGCAAACTCTGCAAAAGTCGAGTCCTTCCATTCGCCGCGAGAGAGTCTTCTACTCTCTTCATCGACCCATTCCAGAAGTCCACTGATATACTTGGCATCAGATGAATCGCGGCCTATTATGTAAGGGTCGAAAAATACCAGTTGGCCCCCTTGTAGGCGTGTTGCGTCTGGACCGATTTCTGCAACTCGTCCGATAGCCGCGAAACCGGGTACGAATGGTGTGGGCAAGGGGTGGCCACTACTGGGCTCTTGGTAGACGCGACGAGAATTGGCTCTGATCGACGAGGCAAGGATGCGGATGAGTACGCTCCCTGGGCCAGGTTTCGGTGTAGGCCGCTGTTCAACGTGCATTGGTTTTCCAACTTCGTCCAAAATAAGAGCATTGTGATAGTCAGGAGTAGCTGATGCGCTAACAGCGCTATTGGATGCCGCCATGTTGTCTCTGTAATGTGAAGTAAGAGTCACAGCTGGTTTGGTAGCCGCTGGGGAGGGGGATTCGGTGATCTAGAACGCTTTGAAATGTCTCTCGACTAGCTCTCCGTCATGAAATAACCATTCGAAGTCTCACCTTTATATACCAATTTCAAGTTTCCATTATGGTCGTTGGGTGACTGGCGGACTTCAGTATCTGTTTGCGGAGTTTGGATGTCACCATTAGATAAAGGAGCAGACAGTCGCCTCGAGACCTTATTACGGACCAATTGCGGAGAAAATTATAAGATAAAATGTAGAATGAAACGTCTAATAACTAACCTTATACCCACTTCTTCCCACTAAATCAATATGCTGCCGACCCGAAATAGCTCGTGTACTTTTGAGAGATACTCTGTTGGACTAAATTTACACACTCTGAAGCGATTCATCACCGTAATCTATATAAAAGGAAAGCTTTAATGTTGTGAGTTGAGTTAATAAATGCAAAAGAATCATTCTACCAGATCGCGCTTGGCAATGTCTACAATGTTTTAAAGCAGCAATTGTTAGAGGTATGAGGGACAGAGTACCCAAACACTAGATTTATTGTGTCTGGCTCACCTAATAGGCTCAGTGCTCTCTAGAATCATGACCTTCATCTCTATATTTCGAATTTGGCAGTATGTCGTTATGCCGAATTGCCTCACCCCTCGTCTGGATTTATTGGGTTGCGGAGTCTAACCGCATTGCCGGCGTAGACACGATCTAAGTACCTGAACTGCCTACGGCACTCATGACATAAAATTTGCTGTCTGCCCTGTTCCTTGCGAAAATCAAGAAGGAGTTCGGGCTCTTGGTAGGGCCCGTCCCGCTTGATGGGGTCTCTCCACCAAAAAGTCCGCAGATCGTCGGGGAACGAAGCAGGTACCCCCTGGAGCTGAGATCGGGTCGCGTGAATCTGGTCTCCCCGACAAAAATTGGAATGGAATTGTTTAAACGGTGGGGAGGGGAAAGAATCGCAAAGAATGCATCGATAGTTGGCAGGACACGGGTACCTGAAGATGTTGCCGAGGCTGTTCTAGCATTAACGCGGAATGATTCCGTCACAAGAACCAGACATTGTTGAAGGGGGGCCTTTGCTTCTCTGAGGACTAGTCTCCTTTATGACGTCCTTAGTTGAATCGGCACTTTAGTTGTTGCTTCTTTTGAGGGTCATTGGTACTCCAAGACGACATGCCCTTCTGAGTGCGTTGTAGGAGGAAAGTGGGCGTCACTCTTGTGTTCAGGCATGTCTTTTCATTTTGCCATTCTTCGATATAGCCAGGGATGAGCTATATTGAAGTGAACAACTCGATGCAGAACAATGGCAACAAGGTAAAAGCATGTTTTATTGTAGGTGTTCAATGGTTGTCGCGATGTTGATACAATTCGACGCGCGATATGGCCTTGACACTGCGACATATCCTCATGCTATGTATGTCCACCCCGTTTCGACAAGTAGTGCCGAGACTATTGGCTCTTGTTCCCCTTTCCGTTGATTTTAGTTTCAGATCCCAGTGAGATCTCAGTGGGAAACACGATAGCTGACGCCGTCCTGAGAACCACAGGATCAAGACTTGGGAGGTGCGTTCGGCTTCTCGTTCTAGAAAGGTATTAGTTGACTAGGCTAGTGACGACGTGGCTTTTTGTGACAGGAGCTTGTGACCAAAACGGGAATAGATGCGATTGGTAACTCGGTGGGTGACAGAATAAACCAGACATCAGATCAAAAAGTAACAATACGACAGCAGTCCAGCACGATTTATAGCGAGATTTTTATCTATTCTCTTCCCGAGCTTTAATAAGTTGCTCTCAATAATATAACAATACCATATAAAGACTGGTATGATGACGGCTGAGTGTATGCCAGCTGTTGGTTCTCAAGATGTCCAGTCAACTCTAGAAGAACATGCTCTAGCTTACGCACCACCCAAGATCTTTAGCCCCCCCTGCTTGCTGGAGACCGAATGACGAACTGCCACATTGATCCAAGCGAGTTTATTCTCCCCTGTTCCAAGAGAACTGTCCCACCAGACTAACCGCGCCAAGCAACGACACACCATTCGAAGCGGGTCTAATGCATCTTTTATTGACTCAAGCTTGCGATGTCTTTGCAATCGATCGATCGAGGCGTCATGGCCATCGAATCCACTGGAAAATGTGCGACGGTGGCCACCGTTCTTGCGGGACGAAAAGGAGACGGGGCCAGAAACCACATACCCACCGTCCCACGATAGACAAAAACCGCCTGCATTAACTAGCGAAGATCCTACATATCTTTATTACCTCCACAGGATCAGATCACCGCGAGAGACGAGGGTCTCGTTTCAGTTCCAATGTCGCGCTCGGCTGGGCTCCAGCGGGAACGTGAGGTCCAAAGCTTCGTTCAGAGCTGGCAGTCCGCACAGGGCTCGTCGCTCAACGTAGCCCTCAATGTCGACAGCCTCGAGCAGCATAGCCTTCACGGCAAGGGCTACACGCCGCGGGCATCGCGCGACAAGACCCTCACAGCCTTTGCCCAGCTGGCAGTCTTGCGTCTCGGAGTGAAGCGTGCCATGGTGTCGCTGATTGACGACCAACACCAGACGATCCTCGCCGAGGCCACGCGTAACCTGAAGCTGGGCGACCTCGAAGCACAGGCGCCTCATGAGTCGAGCAATAATTCTGCTCCCGCCGGGAACAACGGCACCAGTGGTGGCACTCAGAACGGCATCAACGGTCCTGTCACCGAGAACGACTTATGGCGTATGTAATGTAGATAGTTGACCTCCAGTGCGACACCCAATATTCAATGAGACTTGGTGGATAGTCTACATATCTCACTGCATTGGCAAGAACCGCTAACAAAACTAGTGGGCGCCTCCGTCATCACTCGTGCGGATGCCGTCTGTGAACACTGCTTGACAGATACCTGTACAGCCCGCGACGAAAGTGGCCAGTCCTACACGGCGCCGGGACTGATCGTACCGGATCTCCGACTTGACCTTCGGTTTCAGAATCGTCCCTATGTGGCCTCTGAACAGGGCATACGATTCTACGCTGGAGTTCCCATCTTTTCCCGTCACGGCCACAAAATCGGCGCCTATGCCGTGTCCGATGAGTCTACCCGCCACGGCCTGACGGTAGACGAGCTCCAGTTCATGCAGGGAGTCAGCCAGGCCATCATGGAGCATCTGGAGTGGGCGCGCGATAGAGTTGACCGCTTCAAGGGCGAGCGTATTGTTCGCGGTCTGGCTGCTTTTATAGAGGGTTGCTCTGGAATGGATGATGAGCCCAACACGTCAAAACGAAGGTCATCACGAAGCCCCTCGACTGTCCGGCCGCCGAACATCTCTGTGACGACCAAGAGACCTCCTATAACTCGCATCAGCTCCCGCTTCTCCGACCAACTAGAGCCTCTGGATCAGCATCTCTCATCATCACCTAGGCAAGTTTCAGGTTCTGCAACACCAGTCGGGTCCCGCTCGTCATCACCCCGTCTAAAGAAGGCGAAGCAGCCAGGGCCGGACCGTCTATCGCGGATGTACCACCGAGCAGCCGAGCTCATGCGCCAGTCCACTCTCGCGGACGGAGTGATCCTCTTTGGAGCAACGGCCACCACATCTAGACAGATGGTGCGAGCGCTGAAATCAGGCGGACTTCAGTCAGCAGACGACAACGAACATTACCTGCAATCGACCTCAGGTTCCGAGGCCAGCGTTGGAATAGATAGCTCTGATTCAGACACGTCGCCCACTACCAGACCATGCAAGATCTTCGCGTACTCTCTTGCTGATGAGCGGGCTCGGGCCGATATCGAGCAGGGCACGGCTTTGTCTCTGGGTACCTTGGAGAAGTACTTCGCCTTATTTCCCAAGGGCAAGACCTTCTCATTCACTGAGGAGGGAGCCGGAATATCTTCAGAAGATGATAGTGCTAGCGATGTCGGCGCTTCTGACCATGGAGAGGGCGGTCATCGACGACGGAAGGTGGAAATGGACCATAGGGAACTGCTTAAGAAGATACCGGGCGCCAAAGTTGTCGTTTTTGTGCCGTTATTCGACTATGCTGAGGACACCCTCGCCGGCGGATGCTTCCTCTGGGCTTCGGTACCAGGACGTCTCATGACTCTGTCATCGGATCTGAGCTACCTTAGGGCTTTCGGCAACAGCATCATGAATCAAGTTGGGCGGATCACGATCCAGAAGAACGAAGCCGCGAAGACGACGTTTATTGCTAGCATGAGTCACGAGCTACGCAGTCCACTCCACGGAATCTTGGGGGCTGCTGAGTTTCTCAGGGACACCAATGCTGACCCCTATCAGGCGGGGCTCATTGCTTCCATCTCTACTTGTGGTAAGACGCTGCTCGATACGCTGAATCATGTCCTCGACTACAGTAAAATCAACAGGCTTGGCCGGGTTCAAATGAGGAGGGGTACGAGACAGCAGAAGATGGGCAATTTCGCACCAGACTCGATGGAGAGCCTGAATATGACGAACGTGGTGAATTTGGGTGTTCTTCTTGAGGAAGTAGTGGATGTTATTGCAGCCGGACACACTTTCAAGCTTCCCGGGACAGATATATCACGAAACTCAGCGATGCCAAGTGACGGGCCCGATGCGGGTGGCAGCCGCTTGGCGACGTTGAGCAGTGGGCCGGTGTCTGTGCTGTTGGATATTTGCCCAAAGACATGTGGGAGGGTACGTACCCAGCCAGGAGCCTTACGTCGAATCATCATGAATCTATTCGGCAACGCCTTGAAATACACCAGCTCTGGGTTCATCCTTGTGTCGCTGCGCGGGCAGAGGAGCGAAGATGGATCGAAAATAGAGACGCTCATAAGGGTGGTGGATACTGGTAAGGGGATGTCTGAAGATTTTCTCCGGAACCGACTTTTCGTTCCGTTCAGCCAAGAAGATTCCTTCCAGCCTGGTACTGGTTTGGGTCTAAGTATTGTCAAACAGATAGTCGACAACCTGCGCGGGAGGATCGAGGTCAGATCTGAAGAGGGGAAAGGAACTGAAGTAGACGTTCGTCTACGCCTTGCCCCAGCCGCTGAGGATGGGATACCACGGCCAGAGGATTCGCTGGACTCGGTACTCGAACAGACCAAGTCTCTCCAAGTGCGTCTTCTCGAGGGAGGAGCTGGTGTACACAAATCTGCGGACACTCAACAGCAACACTACAAAGTGAATGAGGTGCTTACTGACACTTGCACGACCTGGCTGGGCATGAATGTGACAAAGAAGAATGTCCCGGGCACGCAGCAACCCGACATTTACCTTTACAATTCGCCCCCCTCGCAGCAACTACTGACCACGCGTCTGGAGAGTATTTCCAATAACTTTCCTCAGGGTCAAAGGCCTCCCATTCTTATTGTGTGTCCAAATACAGAAGAAAGCGTCCAGGTCGCGCATCAGACACAAACCTTGACGAAACTATTGCCATCACAAGTAATCGAAGTAATACCTCAGCCGTAAGTACTCGAATCCCTCCACCTGTTACAAGATCTCATAAATCATTCCAGCGCTGACATTTAATTGTAGATGCGGTCCACGGAAGTTAGGAAGGATTATCGGCCAATGTCTGACATTGGCAAAGCAAAATGCTGACAAGGGAAGAGTGACCAATGGTGTTAGCCCTCTCCCACCATCACCACCGATTGAAGGAGGCCTGGTCACAGAGTTGGGAGCGATCATGACGGATGCAAACGGCCAACAACCAAAAGCAGTCCCACAAGTCATACCGAACGGTCCAATATCTCCCGTGTCGCCGCCACCCTTGGACCCAGAAACACCGTCTCTATTGGGTGCCATTGCTCCAGTTTTGGGAGACCCCGTCCCCGGAGCCCAACGAAGCGCTCCTCACGTTCTCGTTGTCGACGACAATGCAATAAATCTCCAGCTGCTCGTCATGTTTATGAAAAAGTGCGGCTTTACGTATGAAGCAGCCGAGAACGGACAAGAAGCGGTGGACAAATACAAGGAGGCCTATCAAAAAGCCTCGTCAGGGGCAGGTGGCGGTCTGACAGTCCCGGCTTTCGACTTCATTCTCATGGACATCAGCATGCCTGTGATGAACGGGATCGAGGCGACGTGGAAGATACGAGAGTTTGAACAGGATCTCGAGTTGCCGCGGTCATATGTGATTGCCTTGACAGGTCTGGCGAGCGCTGACGCACGGCGGAATGCGGATTCTGTCGGAGTGGACTTCTTCATGCCCAAACCGGTGCGGTTTGCCGAGTTGAAGAAGCTGCTTGTTAACAAATAGGGGGGTGTGTTTACCTGAACAGATTGGACTTAGCCATCAGATAATATTATAATGAAGAGAAAATAATTTAGGCAGCGGCGTATATGTGGCTTTTTGGAAGAGATGCTTTGTTGCTCTTAGATTCGGTGCTTCAAGGAGGCAAGAGCGGTTAATTTGAAAGCTCATCAGTCACCCTAGCATAAAGTCAAACATGCAAACAGGGCTGTATATTCTGAGTGGCTGGCCCCCCCAAGCTGGAGATTTCTACATAAACTATGCTTGATTTAGGTGGACGTGATAGAACAAAGGCCGCCTTTTTTTCACAAGATAAGTGGTATCGTGTGAAGGCATGAGAATGTCAACACGATAGTATGCTAAGAGAAATCCAAAACCATGTATTGCATCAGGCATAGTACAGACAGGAAAGTGCGTTGAGTTCTCGTGGTGAAACACTCGCGTTCGCCTTATGCAACGGCCCCCCGTCTACCTGTAACAGCTTACGCGGAAAGACTGAATTCCCGTCACATCCTCACACACACCGTCCAAATTATCTTCAGTAGTAATCTCGACCGCACAGGCTGTATCACTGAAGAGGAAGAAGTGGCAGTATCCATTCGGCTGCGTGCACGCTCGGTTAGCTACACTAGAAATAAACCAGGTTTGATCACTTGCCTCATCTTCAATAGCACTGATTGAGTTGTACTCTTTCCCCAAAGTTACACAGTCGGTATATCGTGAACCTTTGATCGAATACGGCGCTGAGTGTGTTAGATGTCGAAAATTGCATTGCGCCTCTGTTGGGCCTATCGGGTTTTTGAGAGTTCACATACTGGAGTCTCCGCAACCAGGTGAGGTATGAAGTGTCGCATTGTATGTACTCAATGCGGAAGCGAAGATTGGGGATATGGCTACGAGGCCGAGGAAAGACATAACAGAAGGCATTTTGTATTGAGTCGGGAGGAATAAGACAGAGGGGGACTCACAAGCTCAGAACGTGAGAACGGCATCCTTAAGTAGAACTCCTCGAAACTGTCAGCATAAGATGATGATCGCCCATCTGCGACAAATATCCCAGCTAGTGAGGCGGGATGAACGTCAGACAAAACGTTTCCCTGCGACTTTGAATATTCTCATTGGCTTGCGTACGACCTCCCATTTTAGGAATGTTCATCACACATCCTAAAACACAAGGTACTCATTTGGGTATCTCGATCTACTGGTCATCCTCACATTGTTATTTCCGTAGTATCGATGCTGTCATCATTCTTCCCTTGCCTTTCGAGGATCAATGGTGAGATTTGTCCCAATAATTTGATAATTATGTCTCTATCAAGCATGAACAAATCGACCCATAGACATGGCTTGGCCCAACATCCAATCTGATGTGGTAGGTGGGATGCTCTCGACATCTAGGGAGAAAAGCACAGACAGGCGGCTGACGCCGGCCAAACCGAGACCTAGTGAGGAGGGGGAGATATCTCGTTACAGACCCCGATCACTCTTCTCCATTTACGTGTAATTAGTTATAAATAGCAGTAGATGGACGTGCTTTGCCCTGTCGAGTGGTTTACCGACATGGAACAATAACAACCTTTACTCGATGTTACTACCCGGAACCCCACACAGAATTTTCTCCTGGCGGTTTTATAACTATTCAAGCCCCATTCCAAATCTAAGGAATATAGGTTGTATGTGTATGTAAACAGGTACCACCTTATCTGACGGAACTTGAGAATCAATCAAATTGATGACTAGGTCCTAGGTCATCCAAAGGGCGGCCTGTGCTTGTACTGCGGTCGCAGCCATTTGATGTATGCTAATTGTCAGCTACCAATTTGTTGACTGCTACTCTTTCCCGTCATGCTTCTACTCATAATTGTGCGTAGATTCTAATCTCAAACCGAAATCAGGAAAAAGGCCACACAAAGCCTCCTTATACAAGACAGCAATAGTCACAAAAGTATATAGGAGGTAGTTGCAGTCCTTATTATGGACATCGACATGTGTCAACACTGACAACACGATATCCAATCACAGAGCATAGATTAGTGGAGACAAAAGATTCATTGAACACCGCCTTCCTGCTTCAATTTCAACCCGGTAAATTCGCCTTATCTTATAGATAAGTTCCCTTCGATTAGATACGCATATATACGGTTATTTCAAAGCTCTATCCCTTTCCCTATCAAACCAAACCGCCTCTGTTATCCCTTTTCCGTTGAGACTGGAAGGGTTGCACCATGGAGACTTCGGATGATCCTCGGGTGGCGCTCGACTAAGATCTGCTCTTTCGGGGTACGTACCGAAAACGCGCCTTACCTAATTGGTCCCTCCAGTCAACAACATGTATGCCCGTGTTTTGCTTGTTCGTCTTTCTGCCTAGCATCTCTACATGCCACGCTGAAATAAATGCAGTCGCCCACCTCAAACATTCAGATGATTTTCTTGACCCATGTATCAAATCAGAACCCTTCGAACCTGCCGGCTAACCAAACAAAATGGCTCAAATGGATCCTTCAACGGGAGCCTTTTGGCTCCCTCGCACAACTTGCACAATTTGCGGCTTGGTGATCACAACGATCTCCAACGACGATCCACTCTGGTTGTCAAAATACCGTGTTCGTATGTATACCTAAACCTAAAATTGATTGCAAGGGATGGTACAGCTAATTTGTCGTCACTCAAAATTTACAGTCTATGACGAGGAAGCCAATGAGCAACAAATGTCTGGAAATATCAAGGTCTCCGGGATCGGGGGGGATAGGCAGGACATCTCCCGCGACCGCGTTTATTTTCCTAGAGACTATACGAAAACCCTCGAGTTCTCGTGGGGCTCTGACAAAGAAGGTGTGGGAAAAGTCGACCTCGGAACTCGGACAGCCCACATATTCCATGATTAATGCTGGACACTGCTTGAGCGTTCATACGCGCCATTACCAGTTCCCTTGAAAGAATTGCACGATACCTGTCAATCCAAGAGTTTTGACACACTGTATTCACTCATTGATTGGGGCCACAAGTATTTAACAGACCTTCGAATCCCATTTCCGAGCGGCAAGCGCTACCAGCAATACGTGCAAATATACCCGCTCTTGGCCCATGACGGCGGGAGCGGACGAGATCTTTTACCTGAGAGTCGATACCCTGATCCTTTAGGTTCTGTGGAGGCAGGCTCCTGGCGTGTTAATAGGGATTTGCTGCGAGCAATCCCTTCCTCGATGGGAGAATACAGCACCGTGTGTGAGAGCCGGCTGGGTCGCCTTCCAGCCGAAATTCGAGACGCCATCGCCCAGTATCTTCCTGCACAGGATGTTCTATCTCTAGGAATAGCATGTCGTCCTTTCTTACCAATCATTTACGACGAGCTCTACTATAAGCGACAATTTTGCCCAGGGGGCGATGCAGCTTGGTTCTTCGAAGCGGAGGCATTTCGTCGGGAGAAAGGCTGGACGTGGACGCAGCTATTCCACTTGACAAGGCGGAAAACTTTGAAATACCTTCTGCCAATCTTCATCAGAAGCAAGATATGGGAGCTAATCCAGCTCATACAGACGGAAGTTTCGAAGTTCAGTGCTTCATCGAAAGTTCCGGAGGTCAATGCTTCATCAAAACGGAAGTATTCGTCAATAAGTGGTGGACCAGCATCAGGAACCGCAATGAAGAAGAAACGAAGACGATAGAGGGGTAGTTATTCCTCCAAATGACGCTAATTTGCAGCTGATGGCTCTAGATTTTCCAGGATGAGCCCTACCGCATCTACGAAGTCTCAGAAGTCTGATTGCCACTTTTTGGTCGTTGGTCTTCATTCAACACCTATTTAGCTATTAGTCTGAATCTCTGGCACTTTGCTCATCATCACCTTGCGTTTCAAACCCCACTAGTCTTCACTAATCTAATACTCAAAATGACTCAGCTCGAGTGCCTTGTGCCAGCATATGTGATTTACGTGTCCTAGAACTCGGTAGTCGGCGATTTTATGGTGTTCATCATTTGTAATTCTATTGATTTGAGCGACCTATAAAACAATGACAGTGATCTATCCTGTTCTCATCGGAGATGAAAGCTACCGTGAGCTGTTCATAGAGTTTTCGATCTTCCTCAAACAAAAGGTGCCTTGGATAAATTGGCCTTTTGGATAGACCAAACCCGTTTGCTCATCCTAATAAGATCTGGCCCAAATTCAACTAATACTTGATCAACGTCCGGCTGGTCCTGGCGGAAAGCTTCTCGACACTGTTCTTGTGTCCCGAATGTACACTGATGCCATATCTTCTTCCACCTAGCTAGAGCAAGCATAGCGTCTTCCTGCTGGTTCTGAACTTTGGTAGCAACCATGTAAAATGACGAGCGCGCGCCATGTGCTGATTTAGGCTTGAATAGCCTCACAGAGGCGAACTTGCTGAAGGTGTATAAGATCTTGACTGTCGGCCACGCCTCTGGCTTGTGGAGAAGCAGAATAATCGTTCCTCCGGGGACCAAGCGCTCTAAGCCAAGAACAACTTGAGCCATTATGAGCCGGCAGCTTTCACGCCCCTGGCGATACTCTGCTACCTGATGATTTCGGACCGCACTGCCACCACAAATCACGAGCCCGAATTTCTGCCCATCTTTGAGCTGCTTGGGGTGAAACCGCAGTGCATCCGGGTGTTCTGCTGGAATATCTAGGACGCCCAAATCTGCCGCCATCATTGTCACATCCACCAACTTCACGGACAGCCTTGGATGCTCAGGAGCAAGTATTTCGTAGCCCCCACTCGAAGGCGGCAGGCTCAGAGCTACGACGTCTGAACGGGGGTTGGCTTTCATCGCCGCAGTAAGAAACCCGCCTGGAGCAGATCCCATATCCAGAATCCCGGGGTTGGTAGATCCCGGCAACTGGATGGTGAATGCATTAATCGAGCCCTGCATTTCAGCTCCTATATGTTTTGTCATTTCGAAAAATATTTGCTGGGTTCGTGGACTTGGATTGTCTGCTGTGTGGCGTCTTTTCTCCCAGTACTCGTCTCCTTTGGGGTTTTCCCATCCCTGTATGGGGTGACCACATGTAAGCATGTTGCCTTAGATCCAAAGTGGATAATTAGTAATGGATGTACATACTCGTCGCCTTATTTCTGACAGCTCTTTGAACACGTTGCATCGTTCTAGCAGATATTCGGTAACGACCTGGTGGGCTGCAGCTGCGGATTCTGTCTCAGTGGTTTGAAGGTCGGCCGAAAACTCCTCGTCCCTTGCTGGAATGCTTCGAGAGGCAATCAAGGATGTCGAAGGTTCCATGGTGAAATTGTCAGAGAGACTAGAGTCAGATCAAGAAACTCAGAGCCCTTGATACGAGCCGTTGTGTTTCTTTGTTAAGTGGTCAAGTGAAGAAGAATTTGGAAACCGTACTGAATAATTGATTGAGGAAAGATAAATCTTTAAATATAAATTCGTAATTTATCATTGTATGCATCTCAGTTACTTGAACTGGAATAATGTTCGTCATTGGTTAGTCATAAGTGCTCGTAGCACACTTACCTCTTGTATCTTTCATTTGTTTCTGTACTAAATCTTTTCATCATAACATATTAGAAGAAGGGTTTCAGTACTTGGAGTTTTGGCATTGCCACGTTGGCCACTTTATGCAGGAGGCCTTCCATAACTAATGCACCTACTTATCCAATAGGTGGCATAGATAAGAAATGTGCATCAAAACATGTACCGGTGAAGTGATAGGTCAAGTCTATGACGACAGAGTGGCCTTTCCTCCCCTAAATTACAATTTTCAATTACACACCAGAGTTTCCAAAGTTTCCAGACGCATCCCGGTTTTCGCTCGTGAAGGCTCACTCCAGCCATTAGACTTTGGTTGCACAAAGTCACGTGACGGCACGAACCAACGAAGCTGAGTTCGGGCTGCGACTTCTCCAGCTCCTTTATCAGGCATCTTCGCTCTACCACTTTCGAAAGAGAGTCAAAGTTTTCCTTCCTCATCCGCTTCGCTTGGCTCGCCTGGAACAGTAGAGCACCCTGAGCCTGCTCTTGACTTATAAACCACCCGGCCAACCGACAAAACAAACAGTGTTGACCGCGACAGACAAATCCCACAGCGACCAAGCACCACCTCAATCAACCACAAACAACAGGACCCGCACATCTGTCACAACACAAAAAGGAGTGCTGGTCACCGCCTTATCATCACACAATATAAAGGATTTGGAATCAGATGGATTCCCCCACGGCCTCTTCGACTTGGAGCTCAACTCTAACGCCCACCGCATCCGAGAGCGGAGGGTCAAGAGGAGCTCTAGTGACATCGCGCTCTGGTAGTAGCACCTTGGTCGGACCGGGCAGATCGTCATCGGCGCAGCCGCTCACCGTTGCTCCGCCGTCTGGTCCAGTTCGCGTCACATCTCTAGACGTATCTTCATGGCACCCGCGGTATCCGGTCATTGGGCAATTCGCCATGACGGCTTCACAGGAGGTGGTGGCTGCGGGCCCCGAAGGCCTCTTTTCCTTCAAGCGCGTAACTGACCACGCTTCCAAGCCATGGTCCAATCCCCGCCCCTTTCCAGGCACGCCTTTAAGCAGCTCATCTGTCTCTGGTATTGCGTTACATGAGAGCAGATGGGGCAAAAGATTAGACGTATTTTGCGTCGCCAACGGCAACTTATATGCTTTCAGTCGGTCCACCAGCGAGAAAGATGCGAAGACAACACCACCCTCGTTTGTTGCGGACTCATCCCCGCCCCTGGCCACGTACCGTGTTAGCGGCACGCCATCCGTTACCACGGTAAAGGAGGAATCGTACAGCAATTCGACAGAGCGATATAGTTTGATTGTCCCCAGCCGATCGGGTGGTTTGCTGCACACGTCCAATGGACCCAAGAAGCAGTCAGGCTACGGGTCTTACTCAGGGCCTAAGACCGAATGGGAGCCGGTCAACCATGTGGCCACTCACCTAGGTGTCATCTCAGCCGTCACTGCCGCGACGCTCGAAAATGACAAGACAGATTCATATGGCTATGGTTCCATGTTGGTCGACATTGTCGCGGTCTGCATCGCGCAAGGTAGATTGCACTCAGTCGAGGGACCTTTTACTGAGCCCACATCCGGATCATACTTTTCCACCCCCAATGGATGGAAAGGGGAGATCACACACAGAATTGACCACCCCGGCGAGGTGACAGGCAACCCGGTGCTGCTTCAAGAAAAACTTCAGAAGGGTCAGTTAGATCTTCTCGTCCCCTCAGCCGCAGGGGGCATCTTCCACTTCGTCCGGACCCCGTCTACGCCCGACGAATGGCACATGATCGGACGCATTGGATTTCCTAATGATCTCCCGCCGGCGGGCAGCCTGGCTTTTTTCCAGCTCAAGCCACCAAATTCATCCATATACTCCCAACCCACGATACTTGGAGCCGCTCTTGAGATTGGGGGCCGGCTCTATACCATTCAGACATCATCACTTCACCACCCATGGTCTGGGTGCCAGCTCTATCCAGTTAAGGGGCCAGGACCTTCGTACATGTATCATTGAGGATAATAGCGAGGGGTACAAAATAGGTGGATCACGAAGTGGCTATGTTTAGATAAAGATTAACTGGACACGACATTAGCAGTGATCTCAGCTTGAGACAAACTCACGTTTCAGATCATAATCAATCTTAATCGGGTGTTACTTCAGACAATCTACCTTCTATGCGTCATTATAAGTTCAGTCAAATGAGCTTCTGACGAATTATTAAGAGTCGAGGCAGAGTGATGGCTTTGTCGTACAATTAACTTCACAAACAACCCTGCCGATGTATTTTGCTAGTGGAAATTTTGTAAGCGCAATCGTCTGGCTGAAGGATTAGAATTAGCACACCACTATGCAAGGAGAAAGCCCTCACACCGGCTGGTTTCTGAACTCCCGACCTTCCCGTTGCAGAGAAGGATCTCCATTTAGGTAGGCATAAACGATCAAGTTACTGCGCCCCGACTCCCTCGCTTTGCCCTACAAGCTATATTAGAGCCGTGAAGTGAGAGGGTTATAATTAAACAGGACTAATGCTATGAAGCTTAAAACAGACTACGGTGACCTAATTACGTTTGACTCATTTTGGAGCTGAAGCCGAAACCGAAACCGAGATCCTGATCGACACGGCAATCAAGACAATGGGTGCGCAATATCACTTGCCAGTCACGGCAATTTCGCCGTTCAAGCCCATGGATAGTCACCTCACGACGTAACCTACCCCACAAGGAAATGAGGCCGAACTTACTCCCAAGGGGTGGGACATCTCCACGTTGGCTGTGGGTGTTTGGTCGATCTCCAATAACCTGATATGATTCATCTGTTGCATCCGCCCGCCTGGAAATGAACGGGACCTGCCTGAAAGTTATCCTTTCTGTCTTCGTTTCCATCAAAGACACGGGCCTATTCACAACGAAACGACATATTCCCATTGCCCGAGAATGCATTCGCTTCACTTCCTTTTTGCTCTTTGCAGCTTTGTCTCTGCAGCGCATCTTTCGCAGTCAAGTTTTGACGACATCATTCAACATGTAGGCGAGCCTGTTGGAAGTGAGCACGTTCACGATGGAGGTATGTCTCGCAACCTCCCGTCCAATCGTAAAAAACGTTAACCTTCAAGTAGTCACCATGTATATTAGCCCAGCGTCTCGGCCAAATGATTCTAAGACAGCCGTCTTATACTTGACAGACGCATTCGGACTTCCACTTCTACAGAACAAACTGTGAGTATCAAATCGAGATCATTCGACCTGAAATTCGGGGCGCCCAGTTTGACACAGGGATAGGTTAGCCGACAGTTTCGCGAGGGCTGGATTCACAACCATCATGCCTGACATCTTCCGCGGCGATCCTGCGCCTCATGACATATATTTCGATGCTGACGAGTTCCTTGCAAAACACACGACTAACGTGACTGATCCTGTGATCGAGACAACTATCAGCTATATGCGCAATACACTTCGTTTTGACCGGATCGCCGTGACTGGTTACTGCTTTGGCGGTCGATATGCCTTCCGTTTCCTCCGAAAGGGCCGAGGTGCCGACATTGGTTTCGCTGCCCATCCTAGTTTCCTCCAGGATAGCGAGGTTCTTGCTATCAACGGACCCGCTAGCATTGCCGCAGCTGGTGAGTCATTGCAAACCCCCCTCAGAAATCGAGTCTTGCGCGTTGCTATTTACGTCATCTCCTCTTTGAATGAATGTACGCACTAACAACGTGCTATTCTTGCTTAGAAATTGACACCCTTTTCGAACCAGCGCGACGATTCGAGGTTGAGGGGATGTTGAATCAGACTGCTCACCCATACCAAGTTACCCTTTATTCCGGCACATTTCACGGATTCGGCACCCGAGGCAATATAAGCATTCCAGAACAAAAGTTTGGCAAGGAGGAGGCCTTCTTTCAAGCAGTCCGTTGGTTCAAAGCCTGGCAATAGCCGAGGGGAGGAAGTCCATTGTTCAAGAAGACCATCAACGGGCGAAAATCCGTGGAATCGTTTGCTAGTGAATCTACAGTAGCATGTTTTATGTCGAATTTGCGTAGATACTAGTTCGGTGAATTACCCTACATACACACAGCTACTGTAGCCGTAACTTGATGAGATATATAGCTCACTTGATGATCAATCTATATTTGTTTCACGGATACCTGAGTGTAGAATATATTACCTGCTTGGGAGTTGCCGAGTACACGTAGAAATAAATTTGGATTCCGACTTGCCCTCCACCGTAGCCTCGGAGATTTGGTTCGGCAGTTACGGTGCAGAGACGGCAGTGAGGGATCGTAAAATGCACGCGCGGCGGAAATTTGTCAGTCAACCCCTGTTAGACACTGTCGATCGTGCCGATCAAGGTCCAGATGAGCATGGAACAGGGCAACGTCGGTCCATATCCAGGTCTTCCGTGCACCTACCTAGCCTGCGATCTACAGTGTCAAGTTCAAAATGATGAAACAAAATGTTACATCCGCTCTCGCTCTCGCACCCGGTAACGTTTCTGGATTGTATTCAGAGCAGCATTGAGTTGCCGCTGCAGACGGCTCACAACAGATCTGAGGAGTGTAAAATGGTGCCAATGCCCTTGGCAAATTGACAACTCGTCATCGCAATACATCTTTAGCCGGCAACAATTGTCGGATATTCTTGAGAAAAAGACCTATCCTCCATCTTCGCGCTTCTCCAAATGAAAATATACACATTCCTGCAATGTATTGCCATTGCGGCTTGGGCTATCTCGCCAGGTAATGCCGCTACCGAGGCCTACAAGACATGCCGCAAGCTTTCCAAAGACCCAGATTGGCCAAGCCGCGAAACATGGGAGGCAGCACTGCCAGGTGTAACCCCGATCCAGCAGAATCCTACAAATCCTCTGCCAGATTACCGATTTCGTGCACACTCCATCGAAGACGTTCAAGCTGCCGTACAGTTTGCTACTACCCACAACGTCCGCCTCGCCGTTATCACCACAGGGCATGACCAGCTGGGCCGCAGCGATGCTGGCTCCGGTCTTCTACTCGATCTATCTTTTCTCAGAGGCATCAAGGTTCACGAATCTTTCACTCCGACTGAGAGCGGTACAGACAGGCTCAACCACACGGAGGAACCCAATGTGATCACTCCACTTCCCGGGGTTCAAGCTGCTGTTACTTTTGGGCCGGCGGCAGCCGGACTGTTTCTCAACTACGCACTCGATCCCTCAGGTCTCTTCACCGTGAGCGGAGCTGCAGGTAAGTCCAAGGTCAAGACGAGACGTGAAAAAACGTGTCATGGCTTGATTCTAGCAGAACCAACGGCTAATTGAGTGTAGCTACCGTGGCTGTAGCTGGAGGATGGGGCCAAAATGGTGGCTACGGGCCGCTTACCTCTCAGTACGGGCTCGGCGTCGATCAGTGGCTGGAAGCAAAAGTGGTAACACCTGATGGCCGGCTCCGTATCGCAAATGACAAGGTAAACAGGGATCTCTTCTGGGCTATTCGTGGCGGTGGCGGAAGTACGTTTGGTGTCGTTGTCGAAGCCACCTGGAAAGTCTATCCTACAGTCCCGATGACCGGGTTCAACTGGTGGATGAACTCAACCCTAGAAGGTCCAAACTCGACTGACTCTGAAACTGGCCGGACACCAGTGAGTGAGGCTATGGAGTATCTTTTCTCTGAGTTGCCAGGCCTTCAAGAGAAAGGCATCACGGCCTACGTTTATGCCTCGCCGAGCAGCGTTCGATGCTACGCTATTCATCCCGCAGATCGTTCCGGCGTGGCGAATGCAAACGCCGTGTGGGGTCCGATCTTGTCTAAAATGCAGACATTCCCCGGTATGGTGCCTTTTCAGTCGCGGCCTTATGACTTTGTCGACTACAAGGACTTCTTTGACACGACTTACGGCCCGCTTCCAAACCCAGGAGATGAGCCAGCCCCGCCTTACAACCGTGGTATCGTCCCCTTTGACAGTCGACTACTCGGCGCCGAGCACTTCCGCAGTCCCAACATAACCTATGCGTTACGTGAAACGGGAGGTTACTTTGGTATTTTGGTTTGCTCGCCAGGTGAGAGACTGGGGGATGGATCTGAGACCTCAAACAACCCGGGATGGCGGAGGGCTGTCGCGCTCGTCGTTGGCTTCAAGACGAATACCACCAACGTAGACGGACTCCGGGTTCTTGCTCCCGACATGGGCACATATATCAACGAGGTTCGTTGGGCTCCCCACAGGCTATATTCTTTGCCGTCTTCAGCGAAATAAGACTAAAATGCTTACATACCAATCTAGGCGAGTACAGAGCAAGAGAACTGGGCTTCGACATTCTGGGGCACAAACTACCCGCGCTTGTCTGAGATTAAATCTGAGATCGACCCGAATATGACGTTCTGGACCAGTCCTGGAATCCACGCCGACCACATGGAAGTGGTCGATGGGCGTGCCTGTCTCGTTCAACCACCACCTGAGGGAACTTCTTTGATCCCCCCACCAACCGACAGACATGTTATCGCGGACCTAGCCAAGGATGGGCATTTCCTCTTTGGCGAGAAGGAACTCATCGGCGCCACGTACCCGGCTCCTGGAACATGGGTAGGTTTACAGCCTCCCGAACCGGAACTGTCCTAGGGAGTTTGATTTGATGCTATACCTTGCCGTCTACCATCTAGCTAGTTTCAATCACAGTGTAGGCGGCAGATGCAAGTATCAAAACCAATTGACAAAGCGAAGTCGGCGTTGAAAAAGCGCGCCCAGCTCTCAGTCGAGATAGCCACGATTGTAATAGGTAGGGTTTACAAGCAGCCGCCAGGCCAAGTTACAATTTGAAAACTAGATACATGAATTGAGCAATCTTTACTAAAATCCTCTCCAAAATCAAGTTAATTTTCTCTCCCTGTTCACCATGCTCTCTTCCCGCAGACCAGCCGTTCAGAAAATCGCCAAAATATCGCTCGCAACCATCAGGGCTCCCAAGCGCATGGTGGATCAGCCAACGCAGCCAAGTCAACTTCTTCTTCTTCGGCAATAACTACCGCCTCGGCTTCCTGGAATTCCCTGCTTCCATTACAGCGGAATCTGAATCTTCTTGTGCTGCTTATTCTTCTCCGCGGCAGCGGTCGCCTCCTCGGCTTCTCTGGCAGCTTGTCGTTGCGCAACGTTCCCTGTGAGAATGTCGAACCTCTCCTTGTCCACACTGGTAAATGGTTTACCCTTCTCATCGTTCTGAGCTGTTAAGTCAGCCAGCTCTTTCTCTTCTTCCGCCATGTTAGCTGCCTCGGCCTCCTTTGATATTTGTTTCGCGCGTTCAAGAGCCCGCTGGGTCCATGTCTCCAAACTCTGCAAGCGGTCCTGGTGAGTGATGGGGGTTTCGTTGACGACCGAGAGTAAAGAGGCGAATTCTTGCGTCTCGGGCTTGTTGGCTGGCTCTGTTACTGCCTCATCCGTGTCTCCCCAGTCCCCGAAACTGATGTCAGCGAGCGTCGTGGCGAGAGCGTCGTGATTGTCGTTGGTAGCATCGGAACTAGCGACATAGTCGCTCGCCATGGCATCCTCGTCCGTAATGTCGTTGCGCCAAGGCAGCGCCAACAACGACATAGATTTGAAATGGTTGGCCATGTGCTGCAGGATGGCAGATTGTGGCAGTGTTTCGAAGCAGACAAAACACCACTGCGGCAAGACCGCCATCTGGTGGCCATGTCGGCACAAGTCTCCGACAAACGATGGGTCAAGATCTCCGTGGTAAATCCTGAGATGCGTCTTGAACGAGAGCAAGCTGTCGGAGGTGAGCTCGTCGTCGTCGGCGGCGTCGCTGCTGCCGTTCTTCTGGTGCAAGGGGCAGTGCCAACTGCTGTAGTGAGGCTGCCTGAGATGCCTCTGCCAGGCTTCGAAAGAAGAGTAAGTCGCCACCCTAGTCAACGGCCCACCCCCCTCAACGGTCTACTATTAAATATCCTAACCTCTTTATTTTCTATACCTGTAACTGCGCGATTTCTTATATAAATTTTATTCTTTTTAATTAAAAATTATACTATTTAATTTATAAATAACTAGGCTTTCTAAAGATAATATTTAATTAGCTATTTATAATATAAAAGCAGGCTATTTATAGTAAATAGCTATAATATAATAGAGAATCCCTTAAATAACCCTATATATATATATAGAAGATTATAAGATATAGTAATAAGAGATAGAGATCTAGTAGTAGTTCTTAAAGATCTAGAAAGCCTATTTAATAAAATAGATCTTTATTTAAGATTTAATTAGGTTTCTTTTAATCTATATAAAGGTTAGAGATATTACTTTATTCCTACTATTTAAATAGGATAAACTTAATCCCCTTAGTAAATACTAATTAGAGGGATTTTTATACTATAATCTAGAGATTAGAACTCTTTAAGGTAAAAGAATTAACTTTCTAAGAGTTAAAAGAGCTATAGTTAATTATATTAAAGATTTCTTTATACTTAAGCTAATCCTTAATATCTATAAGATTCCTTCTTATAATTATTAGAATATAAATAAAGTAGATATTATAGAAGGTATTAGTAATAATAGCTTAGTTCTTAGATCTTCTTATAAGAACTAGGTAGCTAAAATATAATCTAGAACTTATTATTAAACTATAATAATTAAGTATATTAGTATAGTAGATAGATATTTTAAGTCTCTTATTATTTTTAAAGGAAAGATTATATAGTAATAGTAGTTTCTAATTAAATTAGATTATCTTAAGTAGTAGTATTTTATAGCTTCTAAGAAGAGATAAACTTCTAATAAGATTATATTAGTATAGCTTAAGGAGATATTTATTCTATTAATAAAGCTTAAGAATAATAACTAGTATTTACTTATTATTAATAGCTATAAGAGTTATAAAACTATTAAATTTATATAGAAATATTTTAAGAATAAAATCTAGCTTCTATTCTTATCCTTATATTTATTATATATATTATAGCTATTTAACTTATCTATCTTTTCTACCCTTAAGTAAGTATTTTATTATTTCCTTTCTAAATAATAATTATAGATAGATTTATTACTAATTAGTAAGATAATCTTCCTAAGGTATTATTATCTAGCTTAGCTAGCTATCTTAATAGTTAAAAATATCCTCTTAGATTAGAAAGTATCTAAAATATAGCTTATTAATATTATAGTACTATTAATAAGCCTATATATACTTATATCTTAATATACCTTTTAGACCTAGCTATTAATACCCCTAGCTATACCTATAGTTAGGTTAAAGAGGAAAGAAGTTATAATAATAACTCTAATAGGCTTATAATAGCTATATAGCTTAATATAAGACTTTATAAATAAAAAGGAGGTAGATCTAATAATTTAGCTATTATTCTATAAGATTTATAAGGGTTTTAATAAATAGTAAATATAGCTATCTATCTTAAATACTAAAAATATATAGCTAAAGGAGTTAAATAAGCTCTTATAGCTAAAGAAAAGATATACTATTTATCTGGATCTAAATAAATACTTTATTAAGATATCTAATATTATTAATATAAAAGACTGATATAAGGGTTAATTAGATACTAAGATCTTAGCTATTAAACTTAAAACTTATATTTTTAAAGAGCTATACTTTATCTAGTAGCTTAAATAGCTTTCTTTTTATTCTAAAAAAATTATTATATTAAGAAATATATAGTTAACTTATATAATTTAATTATCGAAGGTGGACTGTTAAGGGGGTTGGACCGTTGACTAGGGTGGCGACTTATGTCTTCCCGGGCAGGCTGCAGTTCGCGAACAGACAGACGTACGGCTGCAAGTCTTCCACGAGATGCCGTTCCCACCGCTTCGCTGTAGAGAACGTCTTGGCTGGCAACACTAGGTAGCAGTAGGGGCACGTCCTCTCCTTTTCGTTTCCGTCCAGCTTGGGCGGTGGCGGTACATCGAAAAGGCCGCCGCCTCCAAAGCCGCCATCGGCGGTTGTTGGAACAGACGAGGACAGCACTGCGCTTGCCGGTGGCGGCTTGGAGTTTGACACAAATAACTCTGGAACGGCCGTCTCTTCATGGGTGGTGTTGGAATGCTCGTACGGGAACATGGACCTGAAGTGTTCCAATTGCCGCCTGCGTACCGATACAGTTGCCACGCAGCGCCCGAGAAGTGTTTCCCGGTAGCTCTTTTGTTGTTCGTCGAGATCTTCCTCGTTGCTCGAGCGAAGCCGAAGCCATCTGTTCGGACGAAATCCTCAAACTCAGCTCCGATATCGAAACGAACGTCCTTGACGAAATTGAAGATTTTAGCACTATTCTCTCCCCGCTCTCTAAGAAGATAATAGTCAGAGTCAGATTCGAGGAGTTCAGGGATCTTAGTCAAGGTGTTTCGATTGCTCGCCTGTCGAATGGCGATAGAGAGCTTGTGCAAAGTGGTAATCCTGGATTCAACGAGCTTAAGCTCTTTTGTTCTCGTGTGGCCATCGGATGTAGACTTTAGCAACAGGCCTTTCGCAAAGACTGAGACATGCGTTCGAGGGGCGTCGAAAAGGGCATTGAATTCCTCCTTCGACAAATCCGGAGATCCCTTGAGAGCTGAACTAAAATGTCAGCTGATAAACGTCACCAGGAGGCGCCAATATGGCTTACTCTTCAGGAGGTGTTTGCAAAGGATGTCAATGTTGCCTTCGATGGCGGCTTTGACAGGGGGATCTGTGCGGAGCCGGTAGTCGAGCGATGCGTGCCGGGCCGCAAAGACTCCAATATTGGAGGCCCACAGGTTGAAACGGGCCAACTGGTTCGACGCCAACTTCCGGGGCTCCTCTTCTGTGATCTCTCGGCAGCAGAGAAAGAGCTGGCGCGCTCTATCAGCCGTGTCTGCGATGGAGTCCATGGATCCTAGGCTGTGTGGGAGTCCAAGGCCACTGATATTCATATACGATAGGGTATAGACGGAGGCTTTGGGCGTGGTGAAATCTTGTGGGTAGTCTTTGCGGAAGAGAAAGAGTATAAAGTTCAGCAGCAAGTGGGTGGTTTGTATATAACTGTGCGGCTCTCGTGCTGCTTGTTGCCTGAAGGGAAGGCCGCACTGGACAACGGTAGGTTCAGGCCAGTGAATGAGCTAGCTACTAGCCAGTGCACAGTCGCACGTAGTCGGTAACACAGATTTTTATTGGCGACTTTGTTGTACGAGTGATGGGGGTACGCAAGGACAAATATGCTCGATATATCACAGGCGGTGGTGTGCCACGAGCTACTTTTCCGGCTAGTCAAACGGGGTTCAAGCTATGCTTCAGCCTTATTCCTTCACGTATAGACATACACGTCCCTCACTGTGTTGTCTTTCATTGTGTTTCGAGGTTACATAGCTTTTTCTTGTTAACGCTCCCCTCTTTTTAAACCCTGATTACTTCCACGTCTTTCCCTCCCTTCTTGCCGCCCTAGTGATTTGTTCTCGGCATTCTGCTAGAATGACCCAGACCTTTGTTCCTCAACGACAAAGCTTTGTTACATCACACCAGGTAATCTTATCGCCTTTGAGAGAAGACACCAAGATCCCGTTCTTTGTCGTGATGTGTGTTGAAGGCTGCCGGTGTGTCAGTGCTGTGGCCACGGCGCATGTTAGTGGTTTCTGACAAATTTGACCAGTTGTAGCAGAACGCTCACCAGATGGAACCTCTTTGATGCCTCTACCAACCGACAGACATCAATTATTACTGCAGATTTAGTTAGGAAGGGGTATTCCCTTTTCAGTAAGAAGAAAGTCATCTACGCTATGGACTTAACTCCTGCAATATAGATTTACCGCCTTTGGGGCCGGAATTTATACAGAAGCATCAGCAACCTCGTTGCTGATTAAATATAAAAATAGCAAGGTGGCCCACCAAGGGTATCCATGGCTTCGTCAATAGTCGTAGACTCAGCAGCGTATCCCATGTTGATAGGATCAGACAAGAGGGCCTTGCGGGAGGGGGGCTGTTGGCTCAGGTGATGTGCCCGTAGTTATCACCACTCAGCTCAGAGTGTCGCTTCTTGGGATCGAGTGCTTGCCTATAATGGTGTAATACAAATCAGGCCCTTGATATTCTCTTACTCACAACGGACTCAGGTGATTAAGGATAAACCATGCCACAAGGTCCACATGCGGTCCATCATACCGTGGTGGACCCAAAAGGCGGGATCACCAGGGGAAGTGAAGAAGAGGTCACCGCCGGGGTCGCCACTACAATGATGGTTAGTAACTTCATCATTCAGAAGGAGGAACACTGGCTCCCTTACCTGATAGTGTAGTGGATGCCACCGTGAGGGCCAATCTCGATAGTGTAAGGAACACCTTCCGAGAGCAGTCGATATGAGACAATGTCCGGCTTGAGTAAGAGATCTACAGGAGAGTTGTTAGCTTAAGTCTCAAATGCCCTGCGGCGGGCCATCTTACTTAGAACGGTAGTATAGTTGGCATACCGCGTATTCAGGGCAGGGCCAACATCGCGCTTCAGGCGGCGAGGATTATACCCCAAGCCTCCATCTGGGCCGGGCGCGGTGCCCTCGAGGCCACCAACGGGGCCGAGATTGATGGTCATATTGGCAAATGGGCCAGTGGTCACGAAGCCGCCACCAACTTCAGCGGGAAGCTGGACGTTGCCGCCGCCCACTCCTTCAGGAGGGTCAATGGCTAGACCTTCATGAGGGATGAAGTCCCCATTGCCACCGAAGCTATATGAGCCTCCGTTGAAGATGGGCGATTTCTCAGGGGCTGTGTGATAACTTCGCCCAATCCCAATACTACCCGAGCGAAACGAGCCAGCCTCAGATGACGAGCACCGCTAGTGCCTAAGACCCATGATATTGACATGGGCAAAAGGCATGAAGAGCAGAGAATTATAATAATCTTACGGGCTGATAACCCTTGTATCCACACTCTTCTCGCAGCACCTTCTCGTATCTGTGGAGGAACCAGCGGTTCCAGGGCTGGAAGACGCCGGAGAAGTGAATATCCAAGGTCTGCTGGATGTGGACAACGACAAAATCATCGAACTAACGTTCAGGACTCGAATTAGAGGGATGTCGATCCCACAAAAATGCATGGCAGAAGTACCCTTCTTGTGTGATAAATCCACAAATTTATATTTGCTTTTTGCCATCTCAGCTGAAATTCAATACAGTTCTCTTGCATTTCTAGACATACATAACTAGTTCAATGCATTGGTCAGGAGAACCGTGATATCCATTTTGTATTTCCAACTGATGATGACTGCACGTAGGTAGCAAGAAGAAGCTACTCGCGGACCGTCCCTAGCAAGGATAAGCCGGCATATTGACTAGGATGAGAGTCAGTAGACGCCATCATTTCTGCAGGAGAATGACAGTCGTTGTGGCGTTTCCCCTTCCCAGAGAAGAGAATGAAAATCTCGTCCTCATCCGTTTATCGGCCATCAAAAAAATCCTGAGATAGGATTCAGTCATCTCTTCCCTCTACTCTAATCTGACGATTCATGCAAGCATGTTCATCCTTCATCAGCTTGGAGAAAGCCACAACGAAAACCGAATCCCCGCCAATGTGGGCCGAGGGCCGGGGATCCCCACGATCTGCGGATCTCTCGTTGCTTTGGCTCTGCTCTCCGTGGCGATCCGGGGGCTGGGTCCGGGCGATCATGGTTAAGCATATTGGTTCAGATGATTATATCGAACCCAAGGCCAGTGGCAGAGCACGTATTGCGTATCGCGTATTGTCGAGCACGCCTAATAAAATCGCGCAGGTGACCATAGCAACCAACGCCGCAGGAAGACTTCGTATTCCAGCTCTGCAAGCTGACAATGAACCAGCTTTTCTGCGTTGTCCAATGGCATCGTCACATACCGACCATCGTTTCTCAGCTGTACAAGACCAGTATTAACTATACGAGATGATGCAGCATCATAGACACACCTGGAGGGAAAAAAAACATCAAGTGGCCTGATAATGTAATACGATAGATACGACTCATTGGGCAAGGAAGGGCTGGTGCCAGGCACAGCTACAGCCAACACAGACAGGAAAGGCTTGGGCAGAGTAATTCCAATCACCTGGATCAATGCTCCGGGCACTGCATGAGCCCTAAACTGTAACCATCTCCAAGTAGCCGTTTCCGGCGATTTGCTCTAGCGGCATCCGCGGAGTTTTCCTCCTGTGTGGTCACAGCCTTGGACTAGCAGAGTTTATTTGTCTGGCCTCTCGTATTCATTGTCCGGCCGGCATCTTCCATTGCTATTTTTATATTTGTAGTCGAACTCTCACTCCTGCTACAGACGCGTCCTCCGAAGCCTGCCGTTGACCAGGCGGCATCTTGTCGGCACCTAGTCGAGGAGCAGCTTCGCAACAGCCAAGCAACCGTTTTCGGCGGCAGAGACTTCTCATTCGTTTTGTTTTTTGTTTATCCATACTTTTCGATTATAAGTCATCATTTTCCCTCATCCAAATTCATATCTTCCCCAGCGCCATCTGTTTGCCTTTGTCATCACAGCACAGCACATCATGAAGAACACAGCACTCCCTTTGCCTACCGGCTTTACTATGCCGCGCAAGGCCGTTACCATTTGTCTGTTCCTTGCCCTTGTTTTATGTTCATTCATCTTCCTTTCTTCAGACCCAGCCACTTTGAATCAACAGCTTGTCAAGGCTGGCAATTATGCATCTTCAACCCACCGAAAGTCAGCTCTCGCCATTCTAGAGTCCTCGCCAGATCAAAAGGTGACGAGCTGTCCCGAAAAGCAGACCAAGATTGACGCAAAGCTTTGGAACTCGATCAAGAAGAAGACGGATTCCTTGCTCGACGACAAGTTCACGTATGTTTACATCGTACCTTACCTGTTGCGGAAGAATGAATGATTGACAGGACTAACTTTCTCGGCACAGAATCTTGCTCCAAACTTATAGGCGGCCCGACATCCTGGGGAGAACTCTGAATGCGATTCTGGGAGAATACGTCCCCTCCCTTCTCGAAGTCCACATCATCTGGAATGATCCTGAGACACCCGCCCCCGAGAACTTTGTCTCAAAGCATGGTGTACCCGTCATCTACCGCCAGACCACCAAGAACAGCCTGAACGAGAAGCTCCGTCCCAACGATTACCGTACCAAGGCCGTGCTCCTCCACGACGACGATGTATACTATCACCCCGCCGACATGGAGTTCGTCTTCCAGACATGGCGAAAGAAGGCGCAAGACCGAGTCGTCGGTGCGTTCGCCCGCATGCACGTCCAGAACGCTGAGGGCGTATGGGAGCTTGGCTTTGCCAGCGAGGCCTACTCCGTCGTCATGACCGGTCTGGTCTTTGTCCACATTGCCTTTACCGAGTACTACTGGACAGACGACCCCGTAATGACGCGGATTCGTGATTTCGTGGATCATCTGACCAACTGCGAAGATGTAGCAATGAACATGCTCGTCTCTGCCATTACTTGCCAGCCTCCATTGCAGATCAATGGGGTCAAGAATCCCTCAAATGAAGCCCCCGCCATCGCCATCAGCACCTCCGCGGAGCACCCCGCGGCACGAATCGCGTGTATGAACGATCTGCCAGTAATGTTCGGTGCGATGCCTCTGATCAATACGACAGAGTCCATCAAACATGGACAGTTCGACTGGTGATGCACTTTCGTTTTCTCTTATTTCTTTTAGCATTCCTGTACGATTGTAATGAAAGCAACGGCACTGCACAGCTTTTATCGATTAAATCGGCTTGCTAGGATGCATTCTCATACATGTAAAAGTCATACAATTTTGTGGATTTCATACTTCAGAAGCAAGATGGTAATGAAGCGATTTTCAATCTCAAGAACATTGGTGTTATTCTCCACTTCCATGACCCCGGAATGCGAATACGACAACTGTGACACCGTGACAAGATAAAGTTATATCATTGAAGAGCGATTTCGTGAACGTAATCTTTCGGGGGCATCGACACTACGACCGCCGCCTCAAGCTCGTGAAACGGTATTCGCTTCTAACAAGTGCGACAGCTGTCGCAAGCGCGAACTGCTCTTCTCCAGACCGTACCCTGTGTTTGCCTATTGTAAACGCCTAGGTTCGGTTCATTGACCTCCTAATCTATAATGATTATTGAACAAGCATATCTACGTAGCAGATAGAGCCGTTGAATCTCTTCCCTGGCTAAGTATAAAAGGGGGGGGTTCTCTATATTTCATCGCTCTGGGACATCTCTCAGTGAATAATATGAAGAGATTATCTAGAGTCGCTTTATAAACTTTATATCGCAACGCCTCTATATTATGCGGTAGAGAAACAGGACGACCCGGTAGTCGGTCAGCTGGTCAATGGGGGCTCTCGTGTCAGCGGGAAGAATAAATTTTGATAGGAGGCTACTACATAAAGCGGTTGAAAACCGCCACTTGAGCGTTACACGGCTGCTTGTCGACGCATAAACGCCAAGTATAACGAGACGGTGATGCCGCAGGCCGCCGGAACCGGCCACTTGGATATTACGTACAGGTTGTTGATGGTGGACGCGATAACCGACGCTAAGGATGAGAAAAGGGAGACGATCCCACACCGGGCTAGAGCTTGTATTTTAGACTTTCGTATCCATGGTGCTGAAGTGCCGGCTGAACTTTCTCGTATGTTCGTATATGCTACATCGGACCGACGAAAACAGCCACTGGGACATTACGAGGCTTTTCGTGGACACATGCGCCAAGAAAGACGCGAGGGTGACACGAACGAGCTGAACCGCCGAAAACGGCAAGCTGGGTTTTGTGAGGCTGCTCCGAAGAGGACGATGTCTCAGAAATTGGATGAATGAAATGTGCCGTGGACTGAATTTCATGAAGTCCGGCAACTACTCGTATTAAATAAATGTGACCCGTGAAATAATTTGGTCTAAATTTGCTTCAAACCTCAAATGTCAATGATGCAAGTGTGTTGTAATTGTATATCATTCACTTTAGTTGGAGTTTGCCCTTTCGCACCATTCCTCCCCACTTGCATGGACGTACGTGTATCCCGCGCCTCTCACTTTGTTGTTGTTCTTTGATTCTGTCATCTCCCTATTCTCTGACCAGATAGATTATTTTCATTGTCCTTGCTTTCCATCATGGAGAAAGAAACGCCAGCATCACCAGTTGCTCGCTCAAAGGCTCACATCCCCGCCTATATCATGTTAGTAGATGCCCTACCCTCATGATATTAACTAGACTTTTGCTAATTGCATCTTGTATCTTCAGTGCCTGGATCGTCACCTCAAATACTACAATTCTTGCCAACAAATGGCTAATAAGCTCTGGGGGATTCGGTTAGTTAGCTTCCGCCACTCAAACGTCCCTCCTCAAAGAACACAACAGCTAACAAAACGTGTTCAGGATATCGTATGTTGCACATATGGTGATTATCTATGAGAAATGCTAACCGTGCTGACAAATAGCCATCCTCCTCACATGTTTGCATCTCACATTCGCCTCCGTCGTCACCCAGATTCTCGCCCGCACAACAAATCTACTTCACCGTCGTCACACACTACCTATCGACAAGAATTTCTTCCTACGGACAATTTTACCGATGGGCATAGTCGCCTCAGGGTCCCTTGTCTGCTCCAATCTTAGCCTCGTTTATCTCTCCGTCTCATTTCAACAGATGGTCAAGGGCTGCAGTCCCGTTCTGACCCTATTCGTTTCTTGGTTGCTGGGGGTAAGACAAGTTACTAAGAGTGACATACTGAGTGTCACTATTATTGCTGGCGGTGTTGTATTGGCCAGCGCTGGAGAGATTCACTTTTCTGTAATTGGCGTTGTATATCAACTTGCCGGACTACTCTTCGAGGCGACCCGCGTTGTTCTCATCCAACTTATGCTTACAGGCGAAGATGTAGCTCTGGATCCCATCGTCGGCCTCTACTACTATGCGCCCTTCTGCGCGCTACTCAACTTCGGCATCATGTGGGTGGTTGAGGTCCCTCACCTCTCTATTGTCGGGGTGACTCCGGTAACTTGGGTCATGCTCTTTGGGAGCGCCGTTATTGCATTCATGCTAAATTATACAAGCATGGCATTGGTCAGTGACAAACAATTCCACGAGTCGTTTCATTTCTAACCTCCTTGAGCAGATTGGCAAGACATCGGGCCTTACCACGACCTTAGTCTCAATCTTCAAAAACATTCTTTTGGTCGGAGTCTCGGTCCTTATCTGGAGCACTCCGATCTCTCCCATCCAGTTTCTAGGCTACTCTATCAGCCTCATTGGGTTGGTGCTTTACTCGTTTGGTTTTGGGCAACTCAATGCAGGTATTAAGTCACTATTATCGTGGCTCGGGTTGCGATGGAAAGACGATGCCGTTATCTTGGGCCAAACGCTTCCGACATCCCAGTAATTTTGCAATTCGGTCAGCCTACTTCACGTTTCCCCTCTAATGCAGCGACAAACACCGCACACGTCAAAAAATCTGTCTTTGTCATCGTTGACTTCAAGTTTCATGAAGACGTGCATAACGAAACTTTACCATTTGTCTTCTTAAAATATGCTCGCCCGCATATTTTCGGTTGCCATCTTTCTTTGGTGCTTTATATCATGGTTCAAGCGATTCCGCTGGTTATGAGCATTATAGATCTTTTATTGTATAAAGTTTCAATAAGTCTAGAAAAATCCATGGTTTTTGTAAATAACTAAAATATGGAATTGCGTTGATCATTAATTGAATATAAAAAGGCCCCATATCCCCATATCATAGCGATTCACCACCGTCGCCACAATTTCATACCACTCAATCTCTCCTAGAAATCCTCGACGTGTCTCCTTTCAAAAGGGCCCTCTCTCTGGATAAAATTCTTCCGCATCATCGCGATATATAAACTTACAATTCACTCTAGGCTAATCCTCAGAGCAATCCAGAGGCATGTCCAGGATATTCATTCTAGTTTGCGGGTTGCTGTGGTTGTGTGCTTCCCACCGAGCTTGGAGGTTCACGTAGAGCGTGCTACGGGTTACCGGATTTAGCACCAGGCTTTGAGCCGGGACTTTCTACTTGATTGGAAATCCTAGACGTATGATTGGAAATGGGGGCTTCAAACCTGGTTGTCGATGCGGGGAATACTGTAGGTGAATCTACAAATGAGCGAGCTATTATCATAGCACATGTATAGTACATGCCCATTGTTAGAAGACTAAGAACAAGGATCTATAAGAGCGTGTTCTATTAAATGCTACTTCAAGTGATTTGATTAATTTTAGTGGACAGGATCAGGAACAAGAAAGCTCAATCGATGGGCTCAACCCTTTGGGTTGGTATGGCAGCGTCGTCTTCGCCCAATAGTGATCATAACCCTCTTTTCCGGGGAGACATATTACAACCCGCCCTGCGTGGTCATTTATTGCGTAACTAATCATTGAGTCATGCCCACCCAAACGTGCCGCAGTCCTTGAGAAAAGATGGCGGGCTTCGCTCGCAGCTCGGGGACCAGGGTCGCTTCAACTACGTGGATTACACTACCGTCTTCCTCATTCTTTCTAACCGATCATTCAAAGCCGTCGGCTATAGCTCTATGTTGATCTTTTCTCAAGGATAGACATACACATTATGCAAGGGTATCTGGATTGTTAGATCCCAGGGCTCGAGAGTGCCGAATTCCGCTGGCGGTAGAGTCGTAGCAAGGATATGCTCGGACGATGACCGTAGCATTGCATTGGCAAATCATGCTTTACATACATCGACTTATGATGTGGCGGACATGGGGACTCTTATGAGCCCTTCTGGCTCATGTCATGGGTGGTTTTAGTCTTGGCGTCAAGGGGGTCGGAAACCGAAGCAGAACTCGGTGCTAAGACACTTCCACAAATCCTGAACGTGAATCAGCTGACCGCCACATTTTCTCTAATTATGTTTAAGTTCTAATTATCCAAAAAAGCTTCTTAATCTTAAACGAGATCAGTTCCGCTCGGATCCCGAGCATTGACCTTGAAAGCTCCCCATCTTCATCCCTGGAAACTTAATGGGCATGAGTGCCGGAGGGTTGAGAGATACGTGAACTCATGACAATGTGGCATTGTTATTGGGGTCACATCAGTCAGTCATGTAGAACCTTTTCCGGGTGAATCTTGCGGTGATTTGGTGACGCTATGCATGTAGTGTCGCCAAGAGTTAACTTGAACCAGAGGGCATGGCACATATATCCAACTTAACATGTGCAGCTTGCTGACTCCCGCCCATGTATGATTGACCACTTGGTAAGTCAATGGCTTGCTGCTATGACGGTAAGTTTGCGTAGTATTCGGTCCGATTCACGAGTCATCTGAGGTCCAAGGAACTGACTGCCAATTACCATGTGAATCCTTAGGCACCTTAGCATAAACTAGACCTCTGGGCTCGAAAGAGGACGTCATTTAGTATGACCAAACTTAAGATCGACGTCAAGCCAGGGAGGCCAATACCATACCCTTCGGTTAAATATTCCCTTCGGCCATTTTCCGAGCTTTGGGACCAAGGAATACAATGCTTGAACCCAAGTGGTGGAAGATATGATTCTTCCTCGGGTGAAAGCCCTCTGTTTTACTGCCTAGCTCTTCCAGTCTCAGAGACTAGTTAAGGAAAGCCTAACTCATCCTCTGCCGGGTCTTTCCGGAGACTACCTAGTTGCTACTTGACAGAGTGGGAGTAGGCATATCCTCCACATCCTTCACGGTTCTTCATCCAGAAGTATTCTCGGTGATTGGATGACCATCAGATTACCGCTTGTTGGGCTAGTGTATTTTGCAGAACTTAGTACACTAAATTATTCAAACAGCCTTAGAACACTTGCCTCTTTTTGTTTCGAAAAGTACAATGAAACGGTCTCTAGAATATCAACTACAGTAAGACGTCAAGAGACATCACACGCCGTCTTTATAATGTGAACAAAAGTCACGTGAACCATGAATTGTTACGGAGTAGTTAGAGCACGATTTGATTTACTATTGCCTATACAGTGCTCATTTTAGGCATTCAACACCAACTAAGCTTCTACTGCACAGTAATCCCACGAAGTAGTAAGACTTCAGCAGGTCCCAAGCGGTACCGGCAATGCCTTCCCCCTTTCTCATCTTTGTAAAATATTGGCCAAGCACTCATCTCACTCAAGTCTAGATAGTTGAGATTCCAGCTCAGGAAGGGTCAAGGCGTAATACTTGTCAAGTCCGGCGATGATCTCTTGACCCTGCCTGCTAAGCACGAAGCGCAGGAATTCACGAGTCTTGGGTTCCACAAGCTGCCCTGGAGCGCGGTTGAGATAGATGTAAGCATCGCGCGCCAGGGGGTAGTTGCGATCCGAGACGGTCTGCGGACTGAACTCGTAGTATGGTCCGGAGCTGTTTTGCGCAATGGCGATTGGCTTCACGTTGGGGTAGTCTTTGATGTGGAGTTGTGCTCCCCAGCCGATACCGTACCTGTCGTTAGATAGCTCCTCGAGCATGCGGTCACTGGCGACTGTCTTGCCGTCGTTATCTGCAGTGGCTTGTTTCTCTTCGACGTATTCCTTGTAGTTTGGATTCCACTTCTGGGACCAGTGGAAAAGCTTTCTCTGCATGTAGATAACGAAGCCGGGAGCAATGTAGCCATAGGTCTGGATCTCCTTGTCTGCCCACTCGCCCTCAATGCCGAGCTGGGACCATTTTCGGATGTTGGTGCTGGCATTTCGGCCATACTCGGCTGTGAAAAGTATGTTGTCACCCTCACCGACTGAAGCGAGGTTGTCGTTCGCCCCGAGCTTCCACCCTCCAATCCTTTCGGAGCTGAAGATGCGATCCAGTTGATCCATGGTCAATCTTTCCAAAGGATTGTCCTTATGTACCACAATCACTGCCGGCCATAGCGTACCACGCTTTTCATGGCCACCTGTAGCAATGGAAATCTCGGTGGGAAGGTACCCGTAGCTGTTGAAGAACGGCATCATATCCGTTAGTTTTGCATCATCGCCAGCTGGGGCAAGTTCCGAGAGACCCGTGTAAAGACCAGCAATGGATCCTTCGCTGCTAGTATAATTGTATATACCAATGGAGGCCCCAGGCTGGTATTCTGCAAAGCCAGCAGCAAGTGCTGGGATTGCGCCCTTGAGGTCACTCCCAAAAATTCTAAAGATACCGGACACATTGAAGTCGACTTTGTAGTCCGGGTAGCCAGTCAAGTCACGCCGGGGCAAGTCCTGAGCAAAGATAGACGCAGCACCAAGACTTACGGCGTATAAAGCTACTTCCACCGAGTCAGTGAAATCGTCCTAAGCTGGAAGGGGAATGCAATGATCTTAATAACCTCTTTTCATGCCAGTCACCATCATGATGACAGACTGTTTCAAAAATACTGGGAAATTGAGTTTTAACTGTATTCAACGTAGGTGCCTCAAAGAAAATTCTACAAGAGAAGTAAGGATGTGATTCCAGCGTAAGACTTGGACCCTAAATACAAAAGGTGCCAGTAGGCATAGCCGTCATTCTCAATAACCTAGCTGGGACTCGGAAATATCGCCATCCTCCTCCTTCTCAACCCCGCAATCTTTGAGTATGCCGGACCGTAGAAATTTCTCGCCCAATCCCAAACAAAATGAATTCTACTTCCTAGATACACCGACAGTATCAGATGACATTGAACCTGGAAGCCTAATGTTACACTGAAGCTGACGTTAGGATTGATGTTTCCCTCGGTGTAACCCACCCTGGAACGTGGGATAAATCCGAGCTTGGAACGTGGGGTACGACGGCATTGGAATACCCGATTGCTGAGAGTTCCCGGGAATAATATCCCTACTACCACGACCACTGTAGGGCGGGATGCATAATGACCTACCCCAGTCATAACATGGTTCCCCGCGTTCCACAAGAAATTCGGAAGTTTCCCGATCAATGGAAATTTACCAACTACATACGAGCCAGGGAAACCCAAAGCCCAGGGGGGTTTAAGCCAATGAGGCGAACAACGGGTCTCTACTCACACCTAAGGTAACGGTGGAAAGCCCAATGATCATCAAGGGACTTGTAGATACTTTACCTTCCTTGTAAATCTCGTGATTCCGAGCCTTGCTTCAAGTACTAGACTTGTACCAAATACTTGGCTAGACTGTCCGAGTTGTTCAGATGACAGAGTTAGACGGGAGTTTGCGGAACTCCTTGAGCTTCTTATCCTTGCCACGTAGGAGTACAACTTAACACAATGACCTCATTGGAGGTTTGACGTCAAAGACTAGGCATCCGAGTTGGGATCATCAGACCATTGCGAAAACCAGCCCCACAAAGATACGATGCTATCTTGTCGTTGTTGCAACAAGATTTGGAATACCTTACCTATAATAACCCAAGTCTCTTCTAATAAAAACGAAACAACCTTCTGACAACATTCCTAAAGAGGATAATCCAATCACTTGAACTGATTGCCAGCCAAGAACCAACATGGTGTACATCAGTTTCAGCGCACTCTGTGTTAGTGCTGCCAGTATATTCGGTCTTGTTCAAGCCGCAACTCCCCCAGTTTGCAATTCCATAAATTACACAAGTCCTTATGCCCCCTTGAATGCTAATCGTAGCATTTGGACCCTCAATGTTACAAACTTCCGCACTGAGCATTCGGTAAAGGGTGGCTACAACAAATCCTGGGACCTGTCTGACTTGCCCGCTTATCAGCCCCAAGACCTCCTCAATGGAACACTCCGTATTTGGGGCAGTAACTACCTCAAAGATGGCCAGCTCGGTCAGTATTGGCAGGAGACTTTCAATAAGTTCCAGCCAGGGATCAAAATCGAGTACAATCTCCCCACAACTGCCATTGGCATTCCGGCACTTGCTGTGAAGGCTGCTGACCTTGGTGTTGGCCGCCCCGCGACCCTCATGGATTATCTGACCTACCAACAAGTCTTTGGCCATGATCCTGTCGAGATTGTCGCCGCAACCGGCTCGTACGACGTCTATGGTTGGTCTCCAGCCTTTGCCATTGTTGTCCGCGAGGATAATCCTCTGGAAAACATCACCATGAAAGAATTGGATGGCGTATTTGGCACTGCTCGCGGAGGCGGGTATAATAGGAGTACCTGGATGACCAGCTATCCCTACAAGCGTGGACCCGAGTACAACATCCGTACTTGGGGCCAGCTCGGCCTCAAGGGCGAGTGGGTAAATGCACCCATCCACCCATGTGGTCAGACCACGAAAGCCAATATCCAAGATGTTTTTCAAAATCTCGTCTTGTGGGGAAGCAACCAGTGGGTTGAAGGCTTGCGCACATTCGCCAACTATGCCATGACAAACAATACCCTGGCTACCTGGAGCAAGCAAGTTTTGGCCGCCGGCAATGCCGACCCGTACTCAATCTGCGTTGGATCACCCGAGGTGGTTGGGCCCGGCATGAAGGAGCTTGCCGTCCAAGGCTTCAATGGCGGGCCCTACGTGAAGCGCAACTTGGAGACAATCCGGGCTCGCGAATATCCGCTTTACAATGAGATTTTCTTCTTTGCTAACAAGGAGGCCGGTGAGCCCATGGAGCCCATGGTATATGAGTTCCTTAAGTTTATCCTTAGCCAAGAAGGCCAAAATCAGGTCCAGCGCGAAGGGCGATATCTACCTCTCCCGGGCTCTGTTGTGAACAAGATGCTGAAGAAGATCGAGCCCAGTGCATAGCTAATGATGATGTTAGCTAGCTAGTGGCACGATGCTTGACTTCAACAGTGTTGAGAACAGTAGGAAGATTAGCCAACGCTTCGTTAATCTAGTGTGATATAGGTATCAACATAGCAGGTGGAGTTTGAAAGTGAACGATTCAACACTTACATAGTGTCAGATAGCCTATCTAGAACAATTGAAAATCCTATCAAAAGTATTACATGCTCCCATCCTAGTCCTCGCGGCCAACCGTCTCAATGCCAGTGGTGGTAATATCCAGGTACATGTTAGCCTAATTTTGGCTGATACTAATATTAGCCACACTAGTTTACACCGATTTCATCAATCAGACGCCAAGAAAGGGAAAATCTCTCCGTTGCTATCCACCTATCGTTTCATCGCGGTGACACTCAGAGCCCCGCCCCTTTTCACCATGAGACGTTCATGAATAGTGTAAGATTCTCTCACCATCAATCGCTAAACAAGTACTGTTCTTAATGTATATGGCTGGGTCTGCAATATATAGTCCCCTCGAAGAAGGACCATATGGACCTTCTTTCCGACTCCTGACTCTCCATCCGGCCCAGGAGTCAACCGATCCGTTGCACTGCACAGTCGTGGAACAATCCCTCCTCAATTGCGACGACTATGAAGCCCTTTCTTACTGTTGGGGCGATGCCACAGACAAATTACCCATCTCCTGCAATGGCGAGCCTTTCGCGGCCACGCGCAGCCTAGAGACGGCGTTGCGACACCTCCGCTACGAAGACGAAGACCGCTGCTTGTGGATCGACGCGATGTGTATCAATCAGGATGATATATCTGAAAGAAACACCCAAGTGCTCCTCATGCGATCGATATACCGGAACGCCAGCAGAGTGATAGTCTGGCTTGGCGAAGACGAACATGACAGCCAGGTTGTCTTCCCTCTCTGCCAAAGAATGTATGAAGAGCACAGCGACTTGTACAACGAAATGGATTATGCGATGTTATGGGGGCGTGATAGAGAAGATCGTATCAAACAGAAGTTAGAGGAGCACCGCCTAAGGACAGCAGATGATGAAGAGCCCCGAGATGGAGATGACACAGCCAGTCAGCCGGACTCTGATGACGACGATGGTGCCACTGATTCTGGATTCCACACATTCCTGCGCTTCCTTCGGCGCCCCTGGTTCCAGCGTTGTTGGGTGGTCCAGGAGTTGTGTCTTGCCCAAGAGGTGTTTGCCATGTGCGGCCCCAGGCTCATGCCTTGGGACATCTTCTTCGCCGGATATTACCTGTGTCTACTCACCAGCAAGAATGCTCTCACGGGCCGCCCAGAGCAGATCATACGTGGCAACTTCCTGGCCGCCACATCTCTCAGGCTCGCAATGACTCGAGCCCGCGACGGTACAACAACCGTGGATCTGCCAGATCTATTGGGCCTCTTGTGGTCGACAAGATCTCTGGAAGCGACAGACCCACGAGACAAGGTCTACTCGCTTCTTGGTCTGATCCCGGAGACTGAAGCGGATGCAATGAGTATATTGCCCGATTACGCTGCGTCTGTTGAGGAGTGCTACCTGCAAGCAGCCACGAAGATCATCTGGCACAGCAAAACCTTGGATATACTGACGACCGATCGCATGAAGAATCCGCATCATCAATTGGACTTGCCAAGTTGGGTGCCTAACTGGAGCTATCTCTCATCACCAGCTCCGGTTAGCATCCTCGGCGAGATCGAGTCTTGGCTGGTAGATTTGGAGTCTGACCCTGAACCATTATCAAGGCAGTATCGCGCCTCCGGTTCTGCTAGCCACTGCACACCTGAGCTGGTTGGTACTCGAACTCTTCGTCTATCTGGTTACATCCTCGATTCCATTGCCAAGATGGAAACGGTTCTTACCGTCCCACAAGGTGACAATGAGACTCTGGCAGCAAACATGACCTCGATCCGCAGCGGAAGCTCGTTCCTCGCCAATCTATTCACTGGCCTTGGCTCTTATTTCGAAACATTGGTAAAGTGGGAGCATCTGGCCATGGACAAGAAGTACGATCCGTATCCGACGGGCGAGTCGGCCGAGGAAGCGTTTGCATCAACCATGTCTGTTGGGAGCATACAGGATGGGCCAATAACACTGGAGCAGTTCGAGACGTGGCGCACGACTCTACGCTGGCCCAGGAAGCTCATGAAGCTACGATATGTCGGCGCGCATTACCTCGGGGCGGCCTACAAAATACCCCTCGCTGCTGTGGGAATGCTGACTTCGAAGGCCAGAGGAGACCGCACATTCTCAACTGCGACCGAGTTCACACTGTATCGTCGGTTGGCGAGGACGAAGATGGGATATCTTGCAGTTGTTCCAGCGGAGAGTTGCCCTGGCGATCCCGTGGCGTTATTCGAGGGTTGCAAGACGCCGCTGATTCTGAAGGAAAAGGGGAACCAATGGGAGCTAGTTGGGCCAGCATATGTTCATGGTGTGATGCAAGGTGAAGCATGGGATGATAAACGGTGTGTGAGCATTGATCTTGTGTGAGCTTAGTCGTTATTGCGGTAGCTTCTAGATGGCATAAACGGAAAACATCCCACCCGACCTCTTCCTAAGGACCAAAAGAAGACTTAAGTTCTATTTTCAAAGCATGTATATGTGTCAGCCAGTATCGTTTCAACATGATCGATGCTAAGCCTAAAGTTTTCCCATTCCACGGTCATCTTTTCACCGAAGCCTAGACTCTATAATTTGGATTGGCAGCAGGATCCTACGCCCTCTCCATGGCTTTCAGCGTATAGAACACTCTTGTTCTTGGCTTGCGTGGATACTGCAACGTCCAGACCAGGATTTCCGGAAAAGAAGTTGACAGGCTTAAGCCCAACCATGAGCTTCTCGCTTGGCATCACGGGCCAATCCTCGATCCGAGGGTTGTGGGTTGAGCCAAAGGTATGCCAAATGACAATATCCTGATCGCGCACTGACTGAGTAGCGCCGGACTCCCTTCGCCTGACAATCACGGAAGCAATCCCATCACCTCCAGCAGATTGCATGGTGTACTGGCCTGAAGGGAAATTTTCGCCATCTTGGTAGCGGGTCACCCAGACAGCATGAGCAGCAAACTCCGAACGTTTGGCATGATATGAGTCAGGGTGAGCAAGCAGCATCTGGCTGTAGTGAGGCATAAGCTTGAACCCGACAGGGGTACCTGTGATGGGATTGACCTTGCTCTCGTTGACAATCTTGAACGTGCGATTTTTAGTTACGTCAAGATCAAACCCACCCTCTTCCTCGACAGTGTGACTCCCTGTCACATAGCCATTACCGAACGGGTTATCGACGGACGAATCATTTACAGGCATAGCCTTTGATTCCTCCACAATGAGGGAGTTGGCATGCCCATCGATAGCAGGATCGATACGGAGACTGAACAGGTGTTGGTGGTATGGGGCCAGAACTCCAGGAGCAACAACAGTACCGAAAGGAACCTTGTCCTTGACACTCAAGTCGACGGGCACGGTAGACAGAATACCAGTTGCGCGCACCTCGAAGTTTATCGATGCGTCTTGAGAGAAGTGAAAGGCGAAGATGTATTCGTAGTTGCTGACCGTGATGATCATTTGCAGCACGAGGATCCGAGACCGAGTCACCACAGGATTCTGTGTGCGGAAATTGGTATGCTTCCACAGAATACCATCATCCTGCTCGTGGCAACACACCACATTAGGCATCTTCAATGGCTCTCCTGTGGGAGTGTTGTGGTAAGCGTCAAAGTACTTGATGGTCCCGAGGCAATCACACCCGAGTTGGAGGTTGTTAGCATTGATGCCAGCGCCATCGTTTCCTAAGTCAAAGGCAGCCTTGCGAGGGTAGGGAGCCCGGGGATCACCATAAGGAACGAACATCTCAGCCAGAGCAAGACGGTAGAAGACATTTCGACCGTCATAGCGAATATCGTGCAGGGTCATTCCTTCGCGATAATTGAAGCCAACTCTGAAGCTCCACTTCTCCCATTCAACGTGGTTGCCATGGATATGGAACGACGGGCCGTCTGGTTGCACGACCTGGTAGGGTTTGGTGGTCGTTCTTGGGCTTGGTCTAAGATCGGGGTGATATTCGCTTGCAGCTGTGGGGTGGATTCGGTTGCGATCAAACTTCTTCTTTTCATTGTGGATTTTCTCCTCCGGTTTTGTAGGTAGGCGGTAGACTTTGGTGACCTCAAGAACCTCTGATACCTCTGCGCATATGTCAAGGGGATAGGCGTAGTAGTTGGCATCGGCATCTTCTAATAGGCGCAGGTAGAACCAACACTTCATCACAAGTCAGTGTTTTGATTAACAACCAAAGGCATGGGTATACCAACCATGCTGATGCGAGTCGTCATATCATTCATGCCGTCTGTGGCATATGCCCAGGGTTCGACGACGACAGTTGACCCGGCAGGAAGATCCAACGTCCGAATCTCAGCCTGGACCTCCGCATTGGCCAGACAAGCTTGCTCCACTGCTTTCATGTACTCGGCGTCAATGTATGAGTGCTTGCCTCTCTGATGCTTCTTGCTAGCGACCTTCTCTGTATCAAGGTCGACCACGAGCTCAAAAAGTTCATTCTGCCCATTTTGGCCTTTAACGACAACCTCAACGCGAGCATTGCGAGCTGGTATCTTTCCGTGAGGCTGCTTCTGGTGCTCCTTCTCCAGATATTCAATCATTTCTTTCTTGGGCGGCTCCAGAAGGGTGATGACTCGGAAGTTGGGATTGCGGCCCCCAAAGTGAGGGCGAACAATGCGTGAAGCCTACTCGTTCTCCTTTAGGTCCAGTCTCAACGGTTTCAAAACAATAAGAATCACCTGCCTTTGAGATTTCCTCAGGAGTGAGGGGGTCAAACGGGTGGAGGGCCATATTGAAGATTGAACGAGCAAGAAGTCTAATAAAATCCTCCAATAGTCCAAACTTATGCAGATTAAAAGCCTCAAAACACAATTTGGACAAAGTCTACCAATTGATGATAGTTTGAAGGATATTTATACGAGCCTTGGGTGATATGAATGCTTGAAGAGAGATATCAATCACAGTGTTACCCCGCTGAATCTTGACGAGATCCACAGATTCCACACACAAGCGGCGCCTCAGTATGCGCTAGATGTGTCCCCGGCCCGGTGTACACGGCTGATGCGTATAACCTTGCCTTTGGAGGACAGGAATGCGAAAGGCTCATCTTCCCTCTAAAGGTATGGCTTCCCCAGACCGGGTCTTGACGAAACTCAAGGCGCCAATGGCACCTCTACACGTAATCCGAGGTTAGCTACTTTGACCAGCCAAGTCCCACCATCCCTGTGTGTAGGGTGCAATTGACAGTTGGATACTGGTAAGAGTTCCAGTCTCTTAGAAGGTCAAAGAACGAGAAGTGGCATGGACAAGGTGCGAAAAGGAAATTCTTCACAACCCTGATGAGGAAGCATGCCCCTGTTATTTCCTCAGTCGCAATGTTGAGGCCGTCAAGTCAAAAAATCAACGGAACGTGCAGTAAACCACGAAAAATGCAAAAATTGATCCCCCAAGGCCAGGGGGATCAGTTAATATATACACACCCATTGCACCCTCTTGAACAGTGGAGTGTGCATTTAACAACAGCACAGCAATTTTAACCTCCCCAAGGCCGGTGCCAGAAAAATGGCAAGAAACTGCTGGAAGATGGTGCAGCTGGATCGCCGTCTTATCAGCTTATCGGTCTGTTTTCCTCGGCTCGGCTCAGTGCCTCCCACAAACGCGACGCGACGCGTTAAACACCAATTTGTCAAACGCTGAGAGAAAGTCTGTAAATGAGGATATTAATGATAATTATTAATGAAAACGTGAAATTGCACATCAGCATGCTGCTAAATCGTCGTGGGTGCTAGCAAAATGTCAGTTACTTGGAGATAGAAGGAACCAGTTGCAAGCTCAACATAGAATGACCGTGAGGTATGTAGAGAAATCAGAATACATGAGGCTATCCATTAAAAAAACACACATAGATAAATCCTAGATAAAGTGTAAAATTGTAATTAATTACTACTAAAAGCGAATACATATCCTTAATGGATATAAAGACTGACCAAATCAATTAGTGATGGCTTCCATAGGGTGTATTTGGAAGAGTGTAGGGTAGCAAGACCTGAGTACCACGTATGTTCGGACTTTCTTTCTTCCGCTCGATCGGTATTAACCGCTGCTTAGCCGATATCTGATAAGAAAAAACGATTCATGCACCTGAAGCATGTTCTATGATTCATTACCTGCCAATTGGCAAACTATATAGCTTTATGCTTGAACGTGGCGTTAGGCCGCGACCGAAGCAGGCGTTCAATCGATAAAGAGTTCCAATTGGCCGTGGTTTTCATCATGTGTGCTTTACTTCTGCCTTGGCCGGGGTATTTACCAAGATTAGCTCGAATATTTGCAAAGTAGCGAAGCGAACAGCAACCACCTGCTCATTCGGTTGCTTCCATTACGCGTACTTTCGTTGACCCTTGAAGAATATGGCCCATTCGGGTTAAAAAACTGACACCGGGTGCATACTCACCCCTGGAGCGTAGTCCCGCGGGCAATGGACTTATCTCCGACAAAAGTATCAGATCAGCCCTAGATATCTGTCAGCAGCGGGGAAGCATAAATCTCACCGCCATCAGTCAATTTGAAACTTTCTGCATTCTGCATCTTACTGGCAAGTTTATCATCGCCATGGCTCTCAAGACGTATCGTGGCAACTGCCACTGTGCCGCCTTTGTCTTCGAGGTGACTATCCCCGAGATCACCAAGGCGGAGCTATGCAATTGTAGCCACTGCTACAAGAAAGGTGGCGTATGGGCCATGATCCCTGACACAGACAATTTCACCATGGCCAAGGGCGACCTAGACAAGGCCACAGACTACAGGTTTGCTAGTAAAAACTTTAGCCACAAGTTTTGCCCAACCTGCGGAACAGTCTTGCTCTTCTCCGGACGCCTCCCAGGGAGTCAGAAGGAACAGATGGGCGTGAATGTAGGCACTCTCGCCCGGACATTGCTCTCGAACATGGTTATTTATATTGGCATAGATCCGATGTTTCCAACACGGACTGGTTCCGGACATCTGGGACATGGACACGAGCACGTAAGATATCAATCACGGGGAGTTGTAGAGGTGAGCTTATTGGGTTCTGCTGACTGCGACGGGATCACCTAGCTTTGACGGGGCAAGCCTCGGTGCCCCTTACGAGACTCCCAAATACACTGGCCCTCTCCCCACGAAAGAGGTTGAAGACGGCAAAGTGTACACGGGAAGTTGCCACTGCGGAAATGTCACGGTGTGCTTGAGGAGCAAGCCTCTCGACCATTCATTTGAAAGTCCTGCCTATGAATGCAATTGCAGCACCTGTATAAGGGTTTGTTGCCCCCTCTCCCGAACCATCTTGTTAGTGTATATTTGCTCAACATGTCAACTAGCACGGCGGAACGACTATATGGCCGCACAAGGACCAAGTCGTCATCCAGGGCTCGGAGCACCTGAGCACATACGCTTCTGGCATGCTGAAAGCGTGGGAAAAAGCTTTTTGCAGCCAATGTGGTGTATTTGTTGTGAGGCGACCTCTCCCGATCCCTGATGAAGTCGCTGTCCATATCCCAGCTGAGGCAAGGCAATGGACTGTCGATGCGCAGCATTTGTTGCCTTTGAACTTGAAGCTGTTGAACGGGGTCGATATTAGTCAACTGAAGATTACGCACATCGACGGTTACGATGTCATCCCGCCTCCATATGTCAATCCTTGAGATGCACTGTTAAAGTGGACCAAGGAAATTCTACATAAAATCGGAATTCATTTTTGATCTTGGTATTCAATGATGATTACATGCAAGAGTTTACTTTTTACGTAACATCGTAGGATTCGAATGAATTAAAAACGAGAACTTTCTATTCCCTCATCCAACTATCAGCCTCTGTGTCTGGGAATGCGTCGGAGTAAGGATGTTTATCAAGCCAACAGTCTGTCTTCTCCTTGATAGCATACCGAGCAAAGAAATCGTGGAGGTGGTTGTTGAGGTCTTTGAAGTAGAGTTCAGTCAAGACTTTCGGTATTAGGTGAAGATGGCCTTTTCTTACCTTGGAGTGGCATGCCGAAAGATGGTTGTAGGGAGAAATGCGGAGCTGAGATAAGACTCAGGATGAGAGAAGACGGAATTGGCGTTCCTGCCAGATGTAAGGTTTAGTTTCTTTACAACGTATTGATTATACGGTGCGCTGGAGTGTTACCCTTTCGTATGGTGAATATGTATGGGATGTCAACTTTCATGCCCTCATCCTCTCGATCAAGCATTTCATCATAGTATTGCCGCACCATCTCCTGAAAATTAAAAGTATTCGGATACATTACTGCACCATTGCAGCCTGAAGGTCATCACGATTAGCCAACAACGATAAGGCAGAGGCTGATCACTGATGACTTGAGAGGAGGTGGGCTCACCGATATCAGTAGCCTTGGAAGGCGACGGATAGACGAGCCCATCTTGATTGACGATAACGCTGTCTTCAAATAAATCATGAGGCCGTCTTCCCTGCTCTGCTCTGTCGTAAAGGATCGTTGGAGTTGGGCGATAATGGTGTAGTGTGGCAGGGAACGAGCCAGAGTAAGCCGCTTTTATTGAAAGCTGGCGAGTCAAGAATTTGGGCCGGCTACCCAATCTTAGCCCTCTGGCCTTATGGGCGAACATGGCGACTCAAATGACAACGGGTGGTAAGTCGGCCTCTGTGACTGATTCCTAAAGATGATGTTGTGTCGAGAAGATCTGGTCGGATGATGAGCTATTCCGAATTAGTAATGGTAGTTAAGTGGATCCTGTCCACCTGAACCCTTTCGAAACACAAGCTGACAACGAATTCCGGAGATATCTGGTGAAATCTCACTCCCAACACTGTCCTCGAAATGGGTGCTCTCAAATTGATCCAGACCTTCAACAGGTTTCCCAAGGAAATTTTCCGCGTAAATAATGGTATCTTAGTGAAAGCACGTCCTTGGTCACCCCAGCGTCGCGTCTATGACATTGTTGCGGATGGTGGCCTTGTCATGCCGAAGGCGCTCGATCCCACCACCTACACTGGTTTGTAACAATTTCCTGTCTGTTGTCCCATTTGCTCATCGTACTAAAATGAGTTCAATAGCCCCTAATGGAGTATCACTGCGCCCCAACTCACCGTATCAGCAGTCACTGGTGTCTTGGAGGTTTAAAGGTCAAGATATTCGTATTTATGCCGTCCCTCAAGGTTTGTTTGACACGTAGCCCGAGCGTACCATGAACCTGCTAACATCTTTGTGAGGAACTGAAATTCCCAATGATCTTGTCTTGGTCCATGAACGCTCTGATCATTATTCTCTCCAGCCAGCCACTACAATGACCCTTGAGCGTAAGCCACTTCCTTTAAAAAGGATGTCAAACAGTTATTTAACAAAACTGCAGATTTCAATAAGAGAGTAACTCAGTTTCTGACGGGTAATTCAACTGTATTCACAAAGGAAGAATGGCTTCAAGCGTACCCCAACGCCACGGACAACTCCTGAGGTGGACATAAAAGTGCCTACCGGAGTTGGGTTTTAATTACAATCTTCTCTCAGGAAATTAAAAGAACTCTATAACATCATGACAATGCAGCCATCTTTCCTTTGTATATTGGTTTAGTGTCATGTTATATGGAGCTTGTTATAGGCACAGAGCTTGATTGGGGCCATACAACTGCTCAGACAAAACTACGATTCTGTGACGCGCTATATAATAGATAAACTCGTGGAAGCCAGCGAAGAATTTCCTTTGGCCTGGTTGGCCTAATCTCCCGGCCACCACCTTTCCCACAGCCATCCCAGTAGCCGTGGTGGAATACCCTTTAAGCTTTGTAGAAATCCCCTAAATCTTTCCGTAAAGCTATGCGCTTTGAACGCAACAATGATGAAAACAGCGGAGATACCGAAGGAAACCGGGACTTGGAGTATTTGGTCATTTTCTGCCTCCAACACTTAAGGACCTTGAATAACTCACACATAATTTTCGAGACATAGCTCAAGCCAAGAGTTCCTTTCTCATTGCGCTCGAACTCGGTGATGTTGATAGCAAAGAATGCAGCCATAAAAGACAACGGCAGCTACAATAAATTAGTCCCAGTCTACAATCCATCCAGGCTACATCATCAGGCATAGTTGAATAACAGAGCAACACTTACAAAAACAATAGTGGCAACCGTAAATAGCATCAAGGTTTTGCCTTGTTTCTCAGACTCTACTGTCATTTTGAAAGAGGCTTGGGCTTGAATGCGAGTTGCTCGGGCCTCCTCCACATTATTCTGCTTCTGCTTTAAGTCAACAAGGAAATTTAGCTGCAAAGCAATGGAAGTTAGCAGATGACACACTAAAATAGGACGCAAAATCCTCTTATCTATTTTAAAGAGATTGGGGGTTTCATACAGCTTTGTACGCCCTCTCCGTGCGTTGAATCATCATTTCTACGTCTTCAGCGCATTGCAGGACCACGCGCAACGGAAAGCTGGAATTTGGTGGACTGTGGCTGGCTCCCCAGATGTCACCATTGTAGATGTCCCTATCGACTGGTTGGGTGGTAGACATATCGTTGTTATGCGCGATATTGACTATCCCTTCGTTCCTTATAATGTTTATAGTGCTTTGTGTACTGGGTCTTTGAACGTGGCCCTTCTGCGCTCCGCCCTCTGTCTTCATCAGATTGGGATTGAATCGAGCATTTGTGTGCTCCGGTGCATCATTTGGACCCGAATCCGAATCCTTTCTGAGGCCTTTAGTCTCATGGGTTTGTTCATTCGGGTCGGTCGATGCCAAGTCGTTCGCATTTCCGGACACCTGGGAAGCTGGCTCCAAAGTCGGGGCTTGCATTGAGCGACTTATTCTCTCCATTTTCTCTACCACGATTCGTTGATTCTCGAACACCATGGATATAATGTTGAGTTCATCCTGGATGTCTTTAATTTGGCGTAAAAGCCCTATTTCTTGAGTAATATCAAGAGCGTCGGTAAGACGCCGGGCAAGCAGAGCCTTGCCCAACCTTTCTTCCAGATTTTCTAATATCTCTCGGTCCGCAGTCGCATACTTCGAGCGGAATCGTGACGTCACGTTAAAATCATCAAAGAGCTCGGCCTCTTCATTCATCTGAGCATAAGTTAGATAAATATTCTTAAGTGCCGTCGACCCGCAGATCCGATCACGCATTGAGGGAAGGACGAATCACCTACAATGTTACTAATAGAGCTCTCATATACCTCCGAAAACTGCAAGCCTCTAGGGGGATTGGAGGGGTCTAAGAATGCTCCTGAGCACTTGCTGGTAATCACTCCGACCAGGTCATAAGGATTCTTCACAGCTTGAGGCTCTTGCAGAAGATAAAGTTTGATTTTATGCAAGATGTCGGTCTTCCCATTTGGATCCAGGGGCATGTTGGTGCGAAGCTCCGAAGTCTGCCTGCTCGGGAAGCACGAAATGACCGCCTGGGCCCTCTTTGAAGGACCTACAAGGACCCAGAGCCATAGTTGGTCTGCCACAGCCATAATTTTCGGATCGTTTGGAAAATTGGCGTCTTGATACCGGGAGACGGCTTGGTCTCCGTCTCTTTTCTCTGTACTTTTTAGCGAGTGGTAGTAGAATTGATCCAAGGTTCTCCTGGTGTGCATTAAGTGAAGAGGATGATTTCTTCCTTCGTAGACGTAGTGATGTAGTAGTTTTTGTTCTTTGGTCCACTTGCCATTCATGTTTTTACCGCGGTTTTCGATGACAGAATTTCTTTCGTCATACGCATCTTTTTCGTCCCAATGTAAGAACGGCATCTGCCTTCATTTCAGTAGAGTTCTTTGATCTTCATCTCATCGAATAACTCACAAATAGTACGACATCTTGGTCTGCATTGATCTGTCCTTGGACTGGCGCCACATTCGCTGTGGTATACAATGTCAAATTCTTGTATCCGATATGAAGAAGTTTTGCTATGCATGTTACTCACTATCGACTTCCTTTGGAACTAGATCGCATAGTGGTTGCATGAATCTAGCATGCGGAGATCCAGTTGGTCCATGATGCTGTCGCTTGGCCCATCGGTCCGGTTTCAAAATTCTGTAACTCGATGGCAAGCTATTCTTGTAAAGTTTATGAATCAGGACCTATTATTGTGGTTAAACGTGAGCAATATGAGCGGTTGAATGCATTAGTCGCTCTCCTTACCTCTACCCATCGCATCTGATGAAAGTCAGCGAGGCCCCTAAGGCGTCACGAAGAGTATTGTGATACAAACTTACATTATTCGCGGGTAAATGATACCACTGGAAAGAGGTGCTATGGCTATCTTCTAGTAGCGTAGTATATCTCTCTTCGCTGAGAAGTTTATAGATAGAAATTTCTTCAAGTCGTGTCGAGATTTTGTGCCCTGAGTTGAATTCTACGATCGTGGCGTTAAAAAGCTGATCTGTTTCGCTGTGCAAATCGCGAGTGGATGTCGCTAGCTTCCCATCGTCGCCCTTCTGTAAAAGCATACTGAGAATGAGAGGGTGCCGTTCAGCAAGGTGTAACGGCGTTTCGCCCGCCGCGTTGGATCTTTCAGTATCCGCGCCTGCATCGAGCAGGACCTTCACAGCTTCACCACAACCTTTCCTTATCGCGAGAAAGATGGGTGTATCCCCCCCAGTGACCACGCCTTTCGCTGTTTCCTGCCTATCCGTTGCGTATTCAAGATTTGCTCCTCTGGAGAGCAAATACTGAATTACGTCTGTGTGACCCTCTTCGGCTGCGATCCCAAGAGGGGTCTTACCAGCTGAGGAATGATCAATATCCGCCCCGTTTCTGATTAGACACTCGGTTAACTTGAGCCAACCTTTGGTGGCGGCTTCAAAGAGCGCTTCGTCCAGCCGCTGTTGTTCATCATCAAACTGGAATACCCATGCCCCAACTAGGATCTCTATTGCTTCTTGATGTTCGTGTTGTGCAGCAAGGTCCAGTGATTTTTTTATATCATTATTCAGAAGCCCTTTATTTTCATTGTTATCAGGAATCTTCGATAATAATTCCTTGATCACTTCAGAGTGGCCCCCCACAGCAGCCCGATTTAGAGGTGTGAGCCCATCCTTACCCTCTGCTCTAAGGTCTGGCATTTGAAAGTTCTTCAGTGAATAAAGGAGGGCCGCCGTTTTGACGTGGCCATTCTTTGCAGCCCAAGAAAGTGGTGTAAGCCCATCCTCATCCGCAAGATTAGCATCGGCTTTTGTCAAGAGGAGCTGGGTTGTTGAAATGTGCCCATTGCCGATTGCCCAAGATAAAGCGCTTCTTTCGTTCTTGTCAGTTCGATTCCAGTCCAATTCTGGTAGGCCCTCTAGAAATTTAATGACTTCATCTCGACCCATGAAAGACGCGCATACCAAGATCGACCGGCCCGCCTCGTCAGTAATATCCTCAACGCTGCGCTTGGTAAGGCGAAGAAGTGTTTTCAAAAGTTTGGTGTCTCCGACGGCTGCAGCCCACAGCAGTAAATTGATTTCATTTTCTGGCAGATAATTTTTCGAAATTGGGATAGACAGTTTCACGCCATTCTTCATGTACGGATTGTTGGACACCTCAAAATCGACTTCGTTGGGCCACTCGCTCAAAGTCACCGTGATACGGAGGATGCAGTGAGGACAGAGGGAGGACGGAAAACGCGACGTTGCCTCGGGGTCCTCGATGGTCAATACTAATTCTGACTGGCCGTCTTGGAGACCTTGAACACTGATAAGCGGCTGGGGCAGTCGAGCATCACCGCCCAGCGAGCCCTTATCAAAGGGGTTGGTGGCTGGTAGAGATAGCGAGCCATGCAATCTGTGGTCCGAAAAACCAATGACTGCCCAAGAAACTGGCAGTTTCGCTTGGCCTGACTTGAAGGAAAGCTTCAAGGTAGTGCCTTTGTGAAATATGATATTTCCAGTAACATCAAATGTAAGAATGGTCCCCCGCCCTTCCTCATCGGGCTGGAGGACATCTTCCCCATCAATCGCATGTATAAGTCTAATAAGCCGTTTTTCAAAGGAATGTCGGAGATGCTTAAATCCCAATGCTTCAGAAGGTGACATCGTAAAATATATCAAGGCAAGAAATGACTGCTAATAGAAGTATCTGGTGAAAATAATAGTTTGTAGGTAAGAACACTCTTGCGGATGTTTTTCTTTCTTTATTCCGATTTGACTGTATAAATAGCTTGGCTAATTGCGCACGGGTCTCAGGTATCATAGATATTGGATCAGCCCCATGCCATTGAAAGAGGAATAGAGGAAAGAGCATTATGCAAATATTGGCTCAGCTCTTCCTTGGCGACTTAATATATATTGGCCGATTGGCCTATGAAGAGAACACCTAATGCAAGTAAGATTTGTGGCGTTTGTAAGACTACGAAGTATTCTATCTGTTACTGTAGGTAGAAAGATACCTATAACCTTTTTTGAGAAGCAGATGATTGGCTAGTTTTATGCATAACTGGTGATTCTTGAGGGCTGTATGCCTATGTAGGGAACTTATGACGGGGTAAACTGGGACGTGGCAACAGGTTATTGGGTGGTTGCTTCTCGTATCTGTTACGGGTGGCTTGGTGTGACTACTATCTTTCCCGACCGATTTCCCCATCAAGAAGTGGCGTTCTTGGGTAAGAGGGAAAACCCTTGACCTATCCAAGGGGGATACTATGTGTGAGCTTCTGTGAGACTCTACTTCTGAGAAGGGCACAGCAGGTGTGAATGATTTGGTGGGATGGATATTATGGCTCAACCGGTTGGTGACGAGAGTTCTACCTTGTGCCTTGACCATAGCATAGCATGATTATGGCGCTTTCATCTTCTCGAGAGTATTTTTTTTAGTTATACTGCCTGGTAGCGAATGCAGGGCGTCGGAGTCTATGGGAATTATATATACTGGAATCAATGATAATGAGATTGTTTGTTCGGCTCGAGACTCATAGTGGAGGAAAATTCGCTAGAAAATTAAAGCCTCGATAATCGCCTAGTAACAAAGTCTTTGATTGCCATGTAATATATTAGTCACTGGAAGTACAAGCTACATGTAGCTTCGAGTACTCTTCCCCAGGAAGCGGTACAGCTCGCCTTCCCACTTGATCCTACACTACTCTTTCTCGGCGTCGGTCTCTTCAGCCTCAAAACCGATATCGAAACCCAGTTTCTTCATCACGACAATAGACACCATGCCCGCTTCCGTTTCCGTCATGACTTTAAACACATCAGCAGCTGCCTTCAAGAGTCTCCCGTCCTGAACACCGCCGTCGATCCCACTCGCCGCCATCAGGATATACCCGATAATCCACGGCAGCTGATTCTCCCGCTCTATGTACGCGGGCGTATACAGCTCGCGGAGCAGCGGATCGCATTCGTTCTTGACTTGTCGGAGGAGGTTCCAGCACCAGCGATGCATCAGCGTGTAGGGGAAGGCCATCTCCAGAGACTCAAAGTGAAGAGCGAGAATGAGAGCTTTGACCAACTCCTCTGCCGTTGGCAAATCAGTCTTGTCCTTTTGCTGGCCCTTGCCCTTGCCCTTGATGGGGCCGTCCAGCTGGGACATGATGAGTCGATTTTCGCTGGGCTCCTCTACGAGGGATCTACTCCGCGCGAGAATGTCTTGGACCATTTCCGGGGTCCAGTTCAGTTCAGACTCATGACTAGCGATGAATTCGGCCGTGAATTTGGAAGACACGGGGCAGCCGTCCTTGATACCTCGCGGTCCGGCCCGGGAATGGAGAGTGCCGATCTTCTTGCGGCGGTTGGTTGTAAAGGCAGAGGCCGTGACGCCCATCTGCAGACAAAACTTCTTGAAGCAGTCGCCGATGCCAACCGGTCTCTCATCACCGACCCAGACGCTGGACTCTCCAAGTAGAGACAAGGTGAGGTCCATGTCGGGCCACAGACCCTGTACGAGATTCTGCTGTCGAAGAGCGTTGTAAAGATGGGCTGTATAGGTAATTGATCCCCAGGCGTTGGCAATTGCGATTCCGGCATCCCACATGTCGTACCGGGTGCGGTAGAGGTACATGCCAGCGAGCACGGGTGAGTAGATTAAGATACGGTGAAGTTCCATCTGTGGCGAGACTGGCACACCCATGCTTCTCATGACCTTGGACTTGACCTTGTGAATAGGGTCGGAGCCCATCCACTGGATCCTTTGAATAAGCTGCTTTAGCGCCATGTCGTTGGAAGCAGGCCAATTGTCGATGCGGAGGGTTTTGTGGTACTCGAGGTACGACTTGAGGTGTGTCTCTACGGCGGACGTTTGTTGGACCATGATATTGAAACTACTTCGGGTAGCGTCTCTCATTGTGTGGTTGATGTCGAGCAGAATCTGGACTGCAAAGACTAGAGAAAACGGAACCGTCTTGGTCTTTTCCAGGACCCGCATCCCACGGAGAACCTCGTCTTCGACTGGGTAGCCAGGCACGCAACGGATGACCGTGATGAACTCGGTGAACAGCTCCATGATGATAATTTGGTCCTCGAGAAACTTTTGGGCACCCGACTTCTTGGTGCGGTCACTCTTGGCGTCGTAGTGACCAAAAAGGCCCTCCTTGATCAAGGGCAGCTGGCTAGGCTGGAGCACATCCGCGCAGCTAAGTAGAAGTCGATAGGCGACCAGGTACGCCTCGTTAGTTAGCTCATATAAGTCGTAGGGGAAATTGTCGTCGCCGTCGAGAACCAGTTCATCAAGGGTGTATCCTTTCCTGAGGCCAAGCATGAGAAAGAATTTGTTGAGGAGACCATAGGCTCCTCCCTCGTAACGGTTGAGCATTGGTTCAACCTCATCAATCATGCCACGGGCCAGGGCAACGGCAACGTTGGTCGCGACAGCGGCAGCACCGAGGTCAAAGAAGCCGTCTCGGTGGTTGCTCCAAATCCACTCGATGCGCGAGCGGATCCTCATGAGGTCATTCATCAACAGGGTCAAGGAGAAGAGCATCTCCTCGAGAGAAACTTGCTCTTCAGCAGCGTAGGCAACCGGGTCTTGTTCTTGCGCCTTGGGTCGCTCGACCGGTGCGTTGACAAAATCGTCGATGAACGCTTGAGAAGGATCGTCTACATCCAGGGCCGCGAACTTGTTACTTAGATCTTCGGCATTTGCCTGGAAGGGTGAGGCGTTGGACGAAGCTGAAGGCTTGTCCGCCGATGCGGCTGCCTCTTCGGGGGTCATACCCGGTCGGAGACTGTCTCGAACAGCCTCGAGGACGCCGACAAAATAGCCGTGCTTTTCGTCCCCCTTAGAGTCTGGCTCTGCGCCTGATTCGGTTCGCATCTGGCCATATCCGGCTCTGAGCGTGATGACTCGATTGAGGGTCTGGGAAAAGACGGCGGGCACCGCCACGGAGGGGTTGGTTCGGCCGGCAATGAAGTTTGCCAGGGGAAGGAAGTCTTTGATGGCTACAATATATTTGTTGGTTTTCGGGGCTGCTTTGGCCTTTCCTGATGCCTTGGCCTGCTTCCTCTGCTTTCCCTTGAGCCTGTTGCTTTTGGCTTTGGCTTGAGGCGCGTCCCACGGTGAAGCAAGGAGATCAGCGGGATAGCCGCATGACTTGGCTGTAGAGGCGAGCCATGCAGCAACGGAATCGGTGTCTTCCTTGTACTGGCGATAGACGCCCGAGAGCTCACTCGGAAGCATCCTGGCGATGCGATGTGAGGTGGTGGGGACCGGGAAATCGACGCTTTCTTTGCGGAGAATAACCTTGGGAGGAGCTAATATAGGCTGGGGTAGAGTGGAGAGAGGAAGAACGGCCCAAATATGAGCGAGCGGGGAGGGACGAAGTTTTGTTGGTGTTGGGATTGAGGTTTTGCTTTTTCTGTTCTGCCGCTCGCCCAAGTCTAAAGTGCAGGGCGGTGAGTTGGGCACAATCACACCCAATGTCGGCGGCAGTTACAGAGATGCGGCACGCGGGAAGAGTTCGCCTACGGGATGAATGCAACCTCTTTCAGTCGCAGAGAGATGATCTTTACTAGCTACTAAACGCGTTGAGAAAGGTTGGAATCTCACCGGTTTGGATTCACTCGCAAACGCGACCACGGCTCGGTGAACTATGAAAAGATGGCTGTAGGCATAATGCCGCCGATCAAAGAGTAATTTCTAGAAGGGGGGCAGCTTAAATGAAAAGAGGGGTCGAGTAGCTAGGCTTAAGAGTTGCTGGGCTGGTCACTGGTCTGATGGTCAGAAATCTCACTTATATTTGCTCAAGTTTCTAGTTAGCACCGTAATGAGATGCGTCTATAGCCTCATGTACATATGAGATAGGTTGCGTTTCCCCTAATGCAATGTACATCCATGGGTGTGATTGAGACTGATGCAGAAGCCTTGCTGATCAATGTCACTCGCAAACAAAGACGGACGCATATCTGATGTGGTTACTCAGATTCCGTTCGTTCTGTCGAAGAAAATCAGTAAATTCATCAGAATTTGTATGGATTCTCTTCCTAAAGTACAAACCTCAGATATTTATTCGAGCAACGCATAGCGGCAATATCGTATCACACCAAAACGCTCACTGCGTAACTTCGCGCCCATAACCCACACCTCATCCTTGATCAAATGGCCCTCCGGGCACAAAGAGTGGCGGAGGATATTCATATGTACGCCGTCCGGTTAAACTGACCAAGCATGACCGAAGCACACGCGCGGATGAAATCAGGGTCCTCCCGTTCGTCAACGCGCGCCAAGAGATAGTTGAGCACGAATCCTTGTGCCACAAGAGCAACAAAAACGAATACTGCTTTGATTCTGTTCTTCATGGCGCGAGGTCCCGTAGATTGTTGGCCGAGTCGGAATATGACCACTAGGGTCAGGAGCATCGAGAAAACGTGTGCCGCGAGAACACTGTCCCTTACTCTCTCCATAGCTGCTTCTCTCATTTGAGCCATGCTTCCGTACTCTTTTGTGGGACTGGATCGAGGGAGAAGTTGGGTGCGGTAGTCGTGAGCTGAGATGTGGAAATTTCGTAGATGTCAGTTGAAGAGTTGTAGCTTTCTGTGTAGATTGTAGCCCTTTTTCTCCAAGCAATGTTGTGACAAACATGTTTGCCCAACGTGGGTCACTTCGA